CATTACACATATGAAATGTTTGATTTCATAATCAGAAATTATGAAAGAATAAATGTGTCAGACCATCTGGACAGGCAGCCTTGGGCTCACAGAGCACACTTAACAATAAGTCACAATACCTGCCCGTGCTCTCAAGGTCAATATAGTGTTTGGAGTGGGAGTGCCCATAACTGCCTTCACTTTCCTCCCAGAGTCCCAGGAAACTACAAGCTACAAAAAAGCCTATCCAGGCAGCTTCTGACATGCCCAGTCCCTACACACTGGGGGCAATCCAGAAGGTGGCATGGGTACCCAGCTGACCCTCGGAGCCCTGCCCCTGCCAGTGGGTAGAGCCTTTATTTAAACACCCAACTTCTTAAGATCAAAAATGGTGGAGAAGCCACAGAGGGGCCTTAGAGGTGAGAATGGATTATCTTCTTTAGGAAATCTATGGCACTAGGTTCTGCTGCTTCTCCCACACCATCTACAGGAATAAATTGGCACTAGGGGCAAGGCCAGGTCAAAGAACAAGTGGGGTATGGCATCAGCTTCCTCCCCCTGCCCCAATCCTCAGCAACCTTAGCAGAACACCAGCTTACCCTTCACCACAGCCCTCCGGCTGCTGGCCCTGGGGAGGCTCAAACATGCTTTCAGGCCGCCTTTGGAGTCTCAGTGCCCAGTCCCTTCTTTTTGGTTCTTTTTTCTTTCTTTTTTTTTCTTTTTTTTCTTTTTTCTCTCTCTCTCTTTTAAATCCTCATCTTCTGCCTCATCAACAGTAACCTCCTAAAATAGAAGCCACCCTTTCCTTGGGTCCCTAACCACTCACCCTGCAAGTGACCTTCTATCCCTCCTCCCATCAGCCACCCTTCCTCATCACAAAGCTTTCTTTTTTTTTTTTTTTTTAAATATATTTTATTGATTTTGTACAGAGAGGAAGGGAGAGATAGACAGTTAGAAATATCGATGAGAGAGAGTCATCGATCAGCTGCCTCTTGCACATCCCCTACTGGGGATATGCCCGCAACCAAGGTACATGCCCTTGACCGGAATCGAACCCGGGACCCTTCAGTCCCCAAGCCGACGCTCTACCCATTGAGCCAAACCGGTCTCGGCCTCATCACAAAGCTTTCTGAGCCATAATTCCAACCGGGCTGATAATCATCTAATTGACTAGAGCTTTGCAACTTAATAATGAAAAGACCTCCTCACAAATCTCTAGTAGAATTCCAATAACTAGCCAGTGCGGCAATCAGGATAGCTCACAGTTCTCCGTTTTCAGAGAAAACACAGTCCCAAGCGGGTAAGCAAAGGGGGTCTGAGGTTAAAAATACAGATTCCCAGCTCCAGAAATGCCAACAGAGACCTGCTGGATCAGGATCTCTGGGATGGGAACTGACGTTCTTTAAAAGCATCCCAGCGAGGGGGGAGAGGGGGACGGATTTAGTGGAATAGAACTTTTGGGGGCACTGAGCTGTGGCGTTTGGGGGTAAGACTTGTGGTCTCTAGGTTCTGGAATGTGGCTTCTGGGAAATCTGAGTTTCAGGGGGTCTTGAGTTTTGAGGATCTGAGACGGGCGGGTTTTGGGAGACCTGGGCCTGGATTCTGGAGACAGTCTGGGTCCTGGGGAGCTGGAGTTTGGGTTTTCAAGAATCTGGGGGTCTTGGAGGACCCTTGGTTTTGAGTGATCTGGTAAAAGTTAGGCCCCACCATCACCAGAAATGTCCCTCACACCCCTGCGCACATAGGTTCTGGCCCCTATCCTGACTGCAAGGCCGGACCCTCGTTGGGAGAACCTCCACTCCTGCGCGTCCGAGGAGACGGAGGGCCCCGCGGCAAGTGGCGCCTTAAAAGGGGAAAGGGCTCAGGGGATGAGGGACTCGGTGTGAGAGGGGAGACCACCGCGGCCCAGAGAGGTTGAGTAACCGACCCAGGGTCATACAGCGAGCTCCGGCCTGGCCGCGGGGCGAGCGCTCACCTCGATGAGCGAGTAGTTGATCTCCACATCCGACTTGACGAAGCCCCCGCAGCCCACCACGATGTCCTCGGAGCCACGCGCCGGCCCCACGCCGCCCAGCAGCAGCACCACGGCGGCAGCCACCACCGCGGGCCCCGGCGGCCCCATGCCCCGGCACAGCCGCATGGCCCGGCCTCCGCCGCCCGACCCGCCGCAGAAGTGCGCGTCCCGCTCCGCACACCGCACGCTGCCCGCCGCTTCCTCTTCGGCCGGCGGCTGACAGCCCAAGCCCCGCCCCGCCGCCACCGCGCGTGCGCGCTCCGGCCCCGGGCCCACGCCCCCGGGCAAGATGACTCCCGCGCATGCTCCACACCAAAAAGAGGTCAGGTGTGCCCTCTGGAGGCCTGGAGGACTCCGCACACCGTGTAGTAGTTTGCAAGGCGTGTGAGTTCAGGCACAAACTCCAAAGAGTTCTACCTTGGAATTCAGGATCCCTGAAACTGAAAAGGACCAGAGACTATTAATGGAAGCAGTGTTCAAAATTTTTCCCTATTATTTCGCAGGTTATAAATCTATCAAAAACCAAGTTAGAAATTTGATTAAATTGATGCATTCTTCCATGATAAATGACCAATAAGTTTTTTTTAATATATTTTATTGATTTTTTACAGAGAGGAAGAGAGAGGGATAGAGAGCTAGAAACATCAATCAGCTGCCTCTTGCACACCCTGTACTGGGGATGTGCCCGCAACCAAGGTGCACTTGACAGGAATCAAACCCAGGACCTCTCAGTCGCAGGTAGACGCTCTATCCACTGAGCCAAACAGGTTTTGGCACCAATAAGTTTTTTTAAAGCAAGACATAGGTCATTTACATTCAGCACAACACTTAAAATATATTTATATTTTATTTTAATCCAAAGCTCTAATAACATTTGCATAGAAACAAATTTTGAGATTTCCCCCCCCCCATATGCATTTTAATTTACTTTGAATTACTTCCGTAAGATGAAACATAATTTATCTGAAAAGTAATTTAGATTCAGAACGTGGTATTTTGTCCCAAGATTGGATAGATACTGTAACATAGATTGAATTTAACTGCAGGTCACCACATAGATAAAAATTGCTTTTTCTGACCTGACGCCTTTGGAAATCTTCCATTTTGCTCCTAGAAAAAAGCAAGTGCTTTATTTTGATAGTTTTTATATTTTGTTTCTAAATCATGAGGTAAAAGAAAATTTCCCACTGGAATTTGCCACAGTGGCTAAGATTTTGAAATTCATAAAAACTATAAATCACAATAATCTTGAACTACCCAAAGGTCAAAACCCTCAGGCTGGCTACAATACATCCACTGGGGATCTCAATAATGAGAGCATCTGACTTCAGTTTCTTGGTCTGAATTCTCACTTGAAATACAATGAGACTCTCAATTTTTGGTTATAGAAAGAAAAAAATTTAAATAATTGTTTTATTGCTTGAGGTTGTTATATATAACTACAATTGAAATATATACCCTTTACCCTTCCTAACATGCATCCCTGGTCTGTCTTGGCAAATCATCAGGGGTTGAAAAACCATCAATTAAAAAATGCTGGCCTATGGAACCTTCTAGCCTTACAGAATGAGAAACTGAGGCCCCGAGTGGGAAAGGGACTTATCTAGGGCTCTCTGCGGGTAACCATGTGATGTGCAGAGTGCTGGAAAGTGGCTTTGGAGTGCCCAAATTCTGTCCTTGGCTCATAGATTTCCTCTATGTTCATCCTGCTTTCCTGACCATTTCCCCTCGAATGTCCACCATTCCCCTCAAATTCACCTTCCAAAACACACAGAAATAAAGGATTAGGGCTGTGGCAATGCCAATTAGAGAGGGGGAGCTCAAGCCTCCCCCAAATTTCCAACAGCCTCCACCAAAACCATTGCACACAAGCAGACACGGTGTAAGTGTAAACAGCGGACCTGACACACTCCGCTCCAAGACAGATCCTTGGGTTCTTTGTGTTCCTGCTCTCCCAGAAGACCCAGACAGGAGGATGGCTGAAGGGGGAACAACACCAGACAGGGGGTGGGGAGAAGGCCAGGGGAACCCATGGGGTTGAGGTCCTGCAGGAAGCAGGAGAGAAGATGAGGTCAGGAGCCTGCGAAGTAAGAAGGCAGCGTGGAGAGAGCAGAGGATTGTCATCCTGCAGCCAAACGGAGCATCTGTGCTTATCTGTCTGAAAAAGCTGGGCCTTTCCGTCCTCTCCTGAAAGGAATGCATGCTCATTGCAGAGAGAAAGGAAATGGAAAAGGAAAGAAAAGAGAAAAAGAAAATTGGGATTCCCATCATGCCGCTTTAGTGCACTTTCATCTCTTCATATATGTGTATAGGCCACATAGAACCATTTCCAAAAAGAACTTGTGGCTTTAAGACCCAGGAAAAGAGGGTAAATGACATGACTTTCTCACCTTCTCCAACTTAAGCATTTATTTTTTTCTATTTTATACTATGATCTCTTTTTTACTTAGCATTCTGCAACCATCTATCCAAATTAATATATTTCTGCAACGGCTCCTTAAACCACTACTTAATAACCTATGAAGGACATCATAATACTCATGCTAATAATACCAAACTTGCTGAGCAGTTATGTGTGCCTGGCACTGTGCTGAACTCTTTACTGGTTATCTTCTTACAATCTCCCCACGACCCAAAAGCAGACAATGTCCATCCCCACGGATGAGAAAACAGAGGGCAGCTTAATCAGACTGTTACACACACACACACACACACACACACACACACACACACACCAGATGTTGGACTCTTAGCCTGTGCACACCTGCTAGGGGCTTTCATTGGGATAAATTGCGGAATGGCAGTTCCACAGTATGCAGGTAGTTTGGGGGACACTTTTTTTGAGGGAGCCTGGCAGGTTATCTGGAGGTGTCACTGCTCTTTCTGGAGCTGGGGGATCCCCTCCCCAGGAGCCTCGGTTCATCCCCTCTCGCTCCACCCCCGCCATGAGGCTGGACCTTGCCCGCTTCGCAATCTGGGGCTGGAATCCTGGCGGGCGGCCGGGCTCCGCCCCTTCCCGGTCTAGGAGCCCCGCCAAGGGGGCTGCCAGGGACTGACCGACAGACCCACAGACAGACCAGACGGAGGGAAAGACTGCGCTGATGGCCACGCAGGGAGAGCCCAGCGTGGGACCAGAAGTGAGTGTCCCCCGACCACCCCCTGCCCCTTTTCCCAGTTTGGTAGACCTCTCAGAAGGTATAGTACTGGGGAGGGGAGGAAAGATACCCCCAAATTACTAGGCCTGATGAACAGCAGTGGGGGTGACCCCTTTAACCAAGCCCGTGCCCAGAAGAGCCTAGCGTGGTTAAAGGGGCCTCCAGAAGAACAGGAACTTTGACCCCTATTTGCATAAAGCTCCAGAACCCCCATCTCTCCTGTAGGCTCTCAGCAAAGGACACTGGGGAGTGGAGTTCATGGGGTGGCAGAAAAGGTCACAAAATCTCACAATTTCAGGGGCCTGATAGGGAAGGCAAAAATAACAGCTGATGTTTAAATGAGGGCTTACTTTGTGCCCAGCATCTTAGAGATTTATTTCTCTTATTATCCCCCCCCCCCTTTGCAGGGAAGGAAACTGAGGCACAGGGAGGTTGCAGTGGACAGAGCTGGTGAGTGGTGAACCCCGGTGGAGTGAAGACGACCAGAAGGACGGGGTTGTGGGGTGGGCGTTAACACAGTAGAGAGAAAACCGAAGAGGCCATGCTCTCTAAACGTCTTATTCAAACTTCTTCCGGCGTTAGAGAAGGCCAGGGGCCAGGATAAGAATCACAAACCGAGAGCCAAGTGTGGGGTCAGTGGCGTCAGCTCTGTCGCTCCCCGTTTGTGTGAGTCCAAAGAAGCCTGTTCCCCTCTCCGTGCCTCAGTTTCCAGGTCTGTGAAATGGGGGCAGTAACACCTATATCCTAGAGTAGTTATAAGGATTAACATACAGGAAATCCTTAATTAGAGTTAAGAGCACATTAAACAGTGTATGAAACCCTATTATTAAGTCTGTGCCCAGCGCTTATCAGGGCCCCCGGCTCTCCTAGACTCCCGGACCCAACCACCTGGGTTCGAAGAGCACCACCCCTTTCCAGCTCGGCGGCATCAACCAAGTTAACTCAGCCTCTCTGGGCCTCAGCTTCTTCCAAAATCAGCGTGGTCATTGCATCTCCCTAATAGGGTTGATGCTGGGCTAAAAGGAGTTGAGGATTATAAGGTATTCCAAAGGGTGCTTGGTGTGTTTTCATATAAATGTTAGGGGTCCAAAGAGTTGCCTGGCTCCTCAGCAGGTGCATGTCGGACCCCTGTGTGGTACCATCATAAAGTCGCCCCGCTGTTCCCTCAGGTCTGGAACCGGACGGAACCTGAGCCCGATGCCGACAGCCTGCTGAGCCTTTGCTTCCTGAAGACGGCAGGGGTCTGGGTGCCCCCCATGTACCTCTGGGCCCTGGGCCCCATCTACCTCCTCTACATCCACCGCCATGGCAAGGGCTACCTCCGCATGTCCTCCCTGTTCAAGACCAAAATGGTAGCTGCCGCCCCTGGGAGCCTGGGACCAGGCGATGGTGGGGGCAGGGGGAGGAGCAGGCTGGAACCAGGCAGAGACCCCGAAGCGGACACTCCTCCCATCAAGAAGCACAGGGGGTGGGGGCACGAAGGGAACTTAACCAAACAGAGCAACACTCTGCAGGACACAGAGGTAAACTCAGGGGAACAAGGTTCACTCAGATTGGTGATAATGAAAGCGCACACACACACACACACACACACACACACACACACACACTCAGGCATTCCTGAACAGTTTCTGGCCATTCTGCGAAGCACGGCACACACGAGGTGATTTTAGGATTGCGCTAGGATAAACCTTTTCTATGTTCAGCAGTTACGCATTGATTTTTATGTTTCCCAGCTCTCCGTACTAGAGAACAATTCTTAAAATTGTTAGGTATCGCCCCAGCCAGTGTGGCTCAGTTGGTTGGGCGTCATCCCGTGCACCAAAAGGTTATAGGTTTGAGCCCAGGTAGGATGGGTTGGAGGATCTTTTGCTCTCTCTCTCTCTCCCCATCCTCTCTCTTCGCCCTCTCTCCTACCCCTCTCCTCTCTCTCTCCATCTCTCGTCTTCTCTCTCGTCTCTCTCTCTCTCTCGCTCTCTCTATCTCTCGCTCTCCCTCTCTTCTCTCTCTCTCTCTCCCACCTCTCTCTCTCCTCTCCTCATACTCCCCCTCCTTCTCTCTCTCTCCTCCCTTCTCTTCATCTCCTCCTCTCTCCTCCTCTCACTCCTCTCTCGCCTCTCTCGCTCTCCTTTCTTTCTCCTCGTTCCGCTCTCGCCTCGCTCTCGTCTCTCTCTCCTGTCCTCTTCTCTCCCTCATCCCCTCTCCCATCTCTCGCCTCGCTCTCCCCCATCTCTCTCCGCCGCTCCTCTCTTCCTCTCTCTCCCCCCATCTCTCTCCCTCCTCTATCACTCCTCCCCCCATCCTCTTCTCACTCTCCTCCCTCTCTCCTCTCTCTCCTCCCTCACTCCCTCTCGCCTTTCCCATCTACCTCTCGCTCTCTCCCTCTCTCCCTCCTCCCTCGCTCTCCCCTCTCTCTCTCCTCCCTCCCACACACTCCCCCCCCCATCCCTCCCCCCAAACATCTCTCTCCTCCTCCCCCCCACACCACCTCCCCTCCCCCATCCCTCTCCATCTCCTCCTCCCCATCCTCTCCCTCCCCACCCTCGCTCCCCCCATCTCTCCCTCTCTCCTCTCTCTCCCGCATCTCTCTCCTCTCCCCCCTCTCTCGCTCTCTCTCATCCCCCTCTCTCTCAGCTCTCTCCGCCCCCTTTCTCTCTCTCCGACCTCTCATACTCTCTCTCCTCTACCTCCCTCTCGCCTTCTCTCTTCTCACCCCCTTCTCTCTCCTCCTCTCTTCTCTACTCTCACATCCCCTCCTCTCTCTCATACTCTCCCCTATCGCTCACTACCATCTCTCCCGCCCTCCTCTCTCGCTCTCTCCTCTCTCTCCCCGCCGCTCTCTCCCTCTCCTCTTCTCTCCCATCGCTCTCCCTCCCCCCCCTCCCCCTCCCCCTCCCCTCTCTCTCTCTCCTCCCCCCCATGCCTCTCTCTCTCCTCTCGCATCCCCCCATGCTCTCTCTCTCCTCCCTCTCCCTCTCCTCCGCTCTCCTCTCTCTCTCTCTCCTCACCCTCCCTTCTCGCCCTCTCCCTCACTCCCCATCTCTCTCCCTCCTCCTCCTCCCTCTCTCTCTCCCCCCTCGCTCCTCATCTCTCATCTCCTCTCACTCCTCCCCTCCCCGCCCTCTCCAACTCACTACTCCTCTCTCCCTCCCTCGTCTCTCCTCACTCTCCCTCTCCACGGCTACCTCTCTCTCGCCTCCTACCTCTCTCCCACCTCTTCTCTCTCTCTCTCTCCCTCTCTACTCCTCTCCTCTTCTCTCTCTTCCCTCCTCTCATCTCCTCTCTCTCATCTCTCCTCTCCTTTCTCTCCTCGCTCGTCTCCTCTCTCTCTCTCTTCCTCTCTCCCTCTCTTTCGCTCTCCTCTCTCTCTCTCTCTCTCTCTCTCTCTCTCTCTCCCCCCCTCCCCCATCTATCTATATCTATCTCTATCTCTATCTCCCCCCGCCCTTTTCTCCCTCTTCCTTTCCCTCTTCCACTCTTTGAAAATCAATAAAAAACATACTTAGGTATCTATTTTTAGTGAGTTGCAAAAACACTGGCATTGTAAGAGTGAACCTCTCTGCTCAACCATCTATCCCATTCTCCTCCAGACTTATACAGGAATATCCTTCAACATTCATTCATTCCCATCCCACCTGGTTAATTTCTGTCCTACTGCCCACCATCTCTCTATTGTAGGCGCACTCGCCCTTAAAGGGCCGGGGAGTACAGATTGGAGGCTCTGAGGGTCATGTGGTCTCTGTCCTAACTACCGAGTGCTGTCGTGGCAGCAAGAAAGCAGCCACAGACCCCGGTACACAAATAGCCCCGGCTGTGTTTCCATAAATATTTGCAGTCGCTGACATTTGAATTTCATGCAACTTTCACGCAGGGCGGCATGTTTACTCTTTTTACTTTTGTTCAATGATTGGAAAATGTGGGAAGCCGTTCTCTGCTCACAGGCAATGCAAAACCAGGCAGTGAGCCAAACTCTGCCGGCGGGTGGTGGCATGACCCCTGCTTTGACTAACTGAGGCATTTTTTTTTCTTTTTTCTTTTTTTTAAAATATATTTTATTGATTTTTTTACAGAGAGGAAGAGAGAGGGATAGAGAGTTAGAAACATCCATGAGAGAGAATCATCGATCAGCTGCCTCTTGCACATCCCCTACTGAAGATGTGCCTGCAACCAAGGTACATGCCCTTGACCGGAATCGAACCTGGGACCTTTCAGTCTGCAGACCGACACTTCATCCACTGATGGAGCGCCTTGCTTTCTCTTATTCAAGAGAGATGGAAGCCTTCACGAGAGGGCCTGGAGACATACAGGTCCCAACAGAGAGTTTCCCCTTGGTTTAACGGTGGGGATTGGGAGAGACTTGAAGGGAGTGTAACTTTTTCACTGGTGAGTCTATTTCCTTCCACTCTGTGCCTTTGTACCTAAACTCTCTGCTGTGCATGGCTGGAGCTCTGCCCGCATTTTGGAAAACACAGGCTTAGCTCCAACCCTGGTATTTCATTACTATGTGACAGCTACCGGTCAAGATCGATTTGCAACACTCCTCGCTGCTTTTCCTTACGCAAATTTCCCATCCACGGGGCACTGCTCAATTGTGACATTGGTACGTGCAGTGCCCCAGCCAGAGCCATCGGGACGTGGGCTCGCTGTGCCATGTGCCAGCACTTTCTTCTCACCCACGAGCCTAATCTAAGCCTGTCTCCCCAGGTTCTTGGGTTCACCCTCATAATCTTGTACACCTCCAGCGTGTCTGTCACTCTTTGGAGAATCCACCAGGGGGTGCCGCAGGCCCCCGAATTCCTCATTCACCCCACCGTCTGGCTCACCACTATGGTAAGGACACCTCAGGCTTGCTGGCTTGCTCCTGGCTAAACTGCCCTTCCTGCCTCAGGGAAGGGTGCGGGGCAGAGTGGGGCTCCCCCCTCTCCACCTTCCCCACCTTAAGAGGCGTGTCCTGGCTCTCTGTGCAGACCTTGGCAGTGTTCCTGATCCACATGGAGAGGAAGAAGGGGGTCCAGGCATCGGGGGTGCTGTTTGGGTACTGGCTGCTCTGCTGTCTCTTGCCAGCTATCAGCACCGCCCAGCAGGCCTCACAAGGGGTAAGTGGGGGCCCCGGGCCATCTGGGGAAGCCAAAGTGACAGTTTCGGGCCTCGAGTCCCATCCTTCCTCCTCCCCTTTCCACACACAGCCTATTCTCTATGTAGACACAAACACCACAGCTGCTTGAAATCTAGCGACTCGCGAACCCACTCCCTCCCATAAAAGTATCCATCATCCCAGTGGCTTTGTCGACACAAACTCTCATTGTCTTACACACTCACAGCACTCACTTCACTTGCACAGGAGACACATTGGGTCACACAACCAGACTCCGAAACATCTCTCTCTCACACACACACACACACACACACACACACACACACATCTGCATAGGTGCAGTCCTACTTGCTGCCCCCAGTTGTGGCTGTGCCTTCAAGTTCCCACACGACACACACATTCACACAGCCCTCCCACACAGCACAGACGCACTGTGGGTTGGCAAGCTCTGAGTTCCCACGTGAAATTCCAAACTGGTCCTATACACAGAGGCCACTTTAGACTGGAACGTGGTGGTTTAGCAAGCAAGGGAACTTATCCACAAAGTGTGTCCTGGTCACCACAAGACAAGGAGATCTCCACACCCACCCACCAGAATCTTAAAGTTTATACAGCAGCCTTAACGGGGTTCAGTCACGTGAGCCATCCAGACACCTTGCTCTCTCAAGGCTGCCTCATGGGAACAGGGAGGGTGCAGAGCCTCTGATGGCCCAGGTCCAGCTTGTAGGGCATCCAGCAGTCACGTCCTCTCCGTGACCTCCCCGGACACACACCTGCACACACTCTTCCTCGTGCATGCAGGTTTCCCCTCATGCTCACCTACTCCCACCCTCACCCGTGCCCTCCTGCATCTGTAGGTCCATGCTCATTTTGTACACCCACTCGTATTTCTGCTTCCCAAACCCGACAGCAGCATTTCCATGTCAGGGGACATGATGGATCATTTTATCTGCAGAGAAAAAAATAGATATAGCCTACACAGGGTTGCTCAACTTCAGCACGCATGGCATAATTCTCTTCTGGGCGGGGAAGCTGACCTGTGCATTGTAGGATGTTGAGTGGCATCCCTGGTCTCCACCCACTAGATACCCGTGGCACTAACCTTCACCTTGGTAAACCCAAATGTCTGTCAACATTGTTATATGTCCCGTGGGGGCAAAATCACCCCCAGTGGACAACCACTGCGCAGGTGGCACTCACCCAAGACCTGTTGAGCCAAATGGTTAAAAGGAGAGGACAGAGAACCACCCTTTTACAAAGCAACCTTTATAACTAAAGGGAAAATTCCACAGGTCCCTCCCGAATGCATCAATGGGGAGGGAGGGACCCCACAGTTGACTTATCAATCTGCCTGCCTGGACTCAGTGGGACTTCTGCCTTCTCTCCCACAGGGCTTCCAGAGTGACCCCTTCCGCCACCTGTCCACCTATCTGGGCTTGTCTCTGATGGTGGCGCAGTTCCTGCTGTCCTGCCTGGCCGATCAACCCCCCTTGTTCCCTAAAGACCCCCAGCCATCTGTAAGTTGGCAATCCAGTGCCTCCCTTGTCCCTGTTCTACTTCTGGTCTCAGTCTCCCCGTGTAACCGAAGGGGGTGAACTAGAGCACAGGCCTTTTCTCTTTTTATTCATTCCATCATTCAGCAAAATGGGTATGGCACATCTACTCTATGCCATGGGTTGGCCAAACTTTTTCTGTCCAGAGCAAGACAGAAACTAGTTTAGGCTTTATGGTCTCTGTGGCAACTACTCAACTCTGCTGCTGTAGCACAGACAATATGTCAACAAAGGGAATGTGTTCCAATAAAACTTTATTTGCAGAGATAAGCAGTGGGCCGGATTTGGCCCTCAGGGCTGCAGTTTGCCCGCCTTTGCTCTGTGCCCCAGCTAGGTACTGAGGATTATACTGAACAAGCGGATGTGCCTATCTTCACGCAGCTAACAGCCAAGTAAGAGAACCAAACATTAGCCACATAACATTACACAACTGTGTGGAAAATTATGCCTGGGGGAAATGCTCTGCAGGAGAACCTCGTGGCCCCTGAGAGCTTACAACAGGTAACGTGAACTCAGGAAAGAATTCTCTGAGGAAGAGACAGTTGATCTGAGGTCATCTAAAAAGAAATAATCAAGTTAAACTACAATCTGACTTTTCACCAGATTTAAAAACTGATAACAAGCGGTGATGGCAAAGATGTGCTGAGATGGGCACTCTCATGCCCTGTTGGCCAAGAACATAGGTGTGTGCAATGTTCCTGGAGCTGCTAGCAAAACCTCAGGGCAGAGCCCTGTCTACTTCACCGGTCCCTGAGGGATGCAGCTCAGAATGTTGTCTATGTCCTGCATGGTCCTTGCTTGGAGAACTGCCTGGACTCAGTATCCTATAGAATAAAAGCTTAATATGCTAAGTGTCTGGTCATCCAGTCATCCATTCAACCAATCAATAGCATAGCAATATGCTAATGATATGCTAAGGCCGCTCAACCACTTGCTATGATGTGCACTGACCACCAGAGAGCAGACACTCCTGATAGGTTATCTTGCTGCTGGGGTCCAGCCAATCAGGACTGAGCAAGATAGGCCGGACATGCCCTGGAGCCCTCCCGCAGTCCTCTCTGGCTGGCCAACCTCCTGCACCCCTCCCTGGCCTTGATCCCTGCATCCTCTTGCCAACCAGGCTGTGGGACCCCTGACCCTCAAGTGCATAAATTTTGTTAATAATAATTGTTTTTCTAGGAAACTGTTAGTTCTTCCCTTTGGATGCTGTCAGTCTGTGGCCCAGTCCCTTTTTGCCTTGCCTGCTAGGTGTCTATCCCCAACAAGTAGCCAGGGCACACCACTGTGCACTTGGGGACTAAGCTGATGGTCATTTCATCCTGACTTCCTGCCCTTGGCTCCCTTGGCCCCATAGTGGCCTGGAATGTGAGACTGCATTCTCCTTTTGCCCATCCTTTGTCTTTGCAGAATCCATGTCCAGAGGCTGGGGCCTCCTTCCCCTCCAAGGCCATGTTCTGGTGGGTTTCTGGGTAAGTAAAGTAGCTGAGAAGGGGCTGAGGTGGTGCCTCCCACCTCCATTTGTTACCACCGTTCGTCCCCATGAGGTTCCAAGGTCAGCTGGCTTTCTCTGCTCCAGCCTCAGTGTGTCCCTCTCAGAGTGCCCATCAGCCATATCCCACTCCCACTCAATCACTGGAGTGAGATTTGGGCTTAAACCCTGGATTTCTCTCTGTTGGCTAGCCATATCACAAATATGGAGTCCCAATTTTCCCCTCTTTAAAATGGGAACGACTATCTTCATTGAATGTGAAGTGGTTAGTGCTTGTACATAGCAGGTGCTCGATAAAACAGTCTCTTATAACAGCTTCAGTCATTCCATCAACACTTAATAAGCACTTACTATGTGCTAAGCACCAGGGGTGAGGAGGTCAAGACCAAATCTTTACCCCCTGGAGGCTCTCAGGCTGGTAGAGGAGACAGATGTTTCTCCAGGGTCAGGATATTGGGCACTGAGGGTGTCTCCACCCACCAGACCCCCTCCAGGCCACATTGTGGTCAGACTTCATAGTACCTAAATTTTAATGCTAGCCCCACCACTTCCTGGCTGTGTGCCCTTGGGCAAGATACTTAACCTCTCTGTGCCTCAGTCTCTGCACCTATAAAATGAAGACAATAGCATCTACCTCACAGCATTGTGAGGATTAAATGAGATAAGGTTTATAAAGAACTTAGAACAGGCTCTGGCCTATAATGAGTATTATATAAAGCAGCTGCTAAATACATGCAGCATGGGATGCTGTAGGGGTGTAGAGCTGGTGGAAAGAGCATAGAAGTGCTAGAAGAAAACAGACCTACCCTGTGTTTCCCAAACATAGATATTTATGGACCATTCTTCAAGGTTTTTGCCTCATTAGAGTATTATGTATACATTATTTATTGTTTTTTCTTTAAATTAACTCACTTTTCTACTTTAACAGCCTTTTTTAAAAAAGGAAACTTTCTATCACTGACAAATGGGAAAAATCTAGGGAATCACTTGCCATGTAGAACTCCAAATATAATTTCAGTGAAAAATAAGCAATGTTAATAATTTTCTAGGTCAGGACTTAACTGGTTTGGCTCAGTGGAAAGGATGTCAGCCTGCGGACTGAAGGGTCGCAGGTTCGATTCCAGTCAAGGGCATGTACCTTGGTTGCGGGCACATCCCCAGTAAAAGGTGTGCAAGAGGCAGCTGATCGATGTTTCTCTCTCATCAATGTTTCTAGCTCTCTATTCCTCTCCCTTCCTCTCTGTAAAAAAATCAATAAAATATATCTTTTCAAAAATAATAATAATTTCTAGGTCAGAACTATTTCTCGCCTGAGTTTGCTCTAAGTTAGGGCAGGAAACTTGAAAAGTCTCAGAGAGGAGCACAAGACCAGCACCAAATAAGAGCTTCTCCTTGGCATCACTGGAAAGATTAGAGACCTGGAGAGAAAATAATGCTTCATTTCTCTGTGTGTGTGTGTGTGTGTGTGTGTGTATGTGTGTGCGCGCACACGCGCGTGCACTGCTTTGCAAATTGGCCCTGTGTCCGGAGGGCAAAGAGAGATGGAAGAGCAGGCTGCAGAATGGTAGGTGGCGGTTTTCACAAGAAAGGAACTTACCTGCAAGCCTCATCTTGGGCTGCAAGACAAGGTCTCCACTCTCACTGGTCAGAGTCTTCACAGTTGATACAAAGGCCTTAATGGGGTTCAGTCATGTGGACCTTCCAGATGTTCTCAACAGCATTGACCTCTCTCAAGGCTACCTTCTTGGAATGGCTCCCAGTGCAGGAAGAGTGGGTAGCATGCACATTGCAAGGACAGGGGAGGGTGAGGGGCCTCTGACTGCCCAGGTCTGGCTCTGGGGTCCAGCTCTGGGGTCAACCAGAGGACCCCTCCTCTCCATGACCTCTTCCAGCAATGTGCCACCGACAGTCATTCCACATACCAGCCCCAACTGTGGGGAAACACTGTCATTTTAAGGCGAAAACATTGAGGCCCATTGACAGAAGTGGCATGACCATGTCACAGAGTTTATCAGTGGCTTCCTGTGACAAAACTTGGGCCAGGGGATGAGGATAAAGGCAAGTGCTGTCTTTGTCCCTATGGAGGAGAAAGACAATAAATAAATGACCAGACTGAAAAAGTAAATAATCATAATTGCAACAGCATCATAAATAAAAAAGCTCAAGAAACCATAGGATCGTATAATGGGGGATCTGGACAGTGGAGGTCATCAGATGGGCTTCTAAAGAAATCCTATCTAAGCTGAGGAAAAGGACAAGTCACAGTGACCAGGTGAGAAATGCAAGAAAGGAGTTTTGAGCTGAGTGACAGGCATGTGCAAAGGTCCTGAGGCCAGGTGGCTGGAGGGTGAACGAGGAGGAGAGGGGGACATTGAACACTGAAGGAAGGGTTCCAGTTCTCTCCACAGTGACAGTTGTCAATTCCAGACTTCTGACTCCTAGGGAGGTTTATTTCCGCTGCCGCACAGGCCGTCTCTTGGTTAAATCTCTCTGAGCCTCTGTCTGCTTCCTCCTCTGTAAAATGGGTCCATAACAACCTCTCCGATGGGCTCGTGTGAGAACTAAATGACATGATCGTTATAGACTGGAAAGTGCCAGCAAATATGAGGTGCAGGTAAGTCCACTGCCTTCACTCTGCCGAGGGGCCAGCAGAGGTGCAGAGAGGTAAAGGGACTTACCCAGGGCCACACAGCTACCAGGCCAGGACTTCGATAGGGCAGAAGACACGACGAGCCTGCCTGGGTGACCCTCTTTTTATTTTTACAGGCTGATCTGGAGGGGCTACAGGAGGCCACTGGGACCAAAAGACCTCTGGTCGTTGGGGAGAGAGAACTCCTCAGAAGAACTTGTGTCCCAGCTGGAAAGGGAATGGACAAGGAGTCGCCGTGCAGCCCAGCGGTGAGTGTGTAGAAGCCGAGAGCGCTCAGCTGCACCGTGGGTTAGCAAAGCTCCTCATTTGGCCCCAAATATAACCGCCCACCCTCCCCTGGCTCTGCCTCCACAGCCCCTTCCTGCGGGCAGATGTCACTAAGCATCAAGGGGTCAGGAGAAATGGACCTTTCCTCGCCGAGTGCTTGGCAGGCTCCCAAAGGAGAGGGAGGAAGTGGGAGCTCCACAAGGGCCCCTGAAGGAAGCTGGGGTGCTGGGATGGCCAGCAGGAAACAGGGGGGCCTTTTAGGACTGGGGGTGGAGAGTTGGATGGTGGATCAGAAATGCAGGCAGCTATTCGCTTGTGTTACCTGAGTGACTCATTTCCTGGGTCTCGGCTTTCTTATCTGTTCCATGGGGAGGCCATCCCCTCTCCCCTAACTCATAACCTGTGGGAGATGAAAAGGAAATGATTTTAGGAAAGAACTGAGCGAATTCTTCGAAAATGGTAAAAGCACAAGCAATACCAGTTTCCCCAGAGCAATGGTCGGCAAATCTCGGCTCGCGAATCACATGTGGCTCTTTGGCCCCTTGAGTGTGGCTCTTCCACAAAATATTGTACCATGTGCGGGTGCGCACATACAGCGTGATTGAAACTTCGTGGCCCGTGCGCAGAAGTCGGTTTCAGCTCTCAAAAGAAATTCCAAACGTTGTACTGTTGATATTTGGCTCTGTCGACTAATGAGTTTGCCAACCACTGGCTCAGAGGGTTTCAAGCTCTCTCTAGCCCTGTCCTCTGCCTCATTCTTGCCCACTGTGGTATCTCTGGAAACTTCGGTGGGGCCCTTGGAGTCTGAAAAACCAGTTTGGGAACCATTGTTCTCTAGAGAAATGAGCTGACAGCATTACTGAAACTTGAAGTTTGGACAAGTCACCTGACCTCCCCGCATCTTGGTGTTTTGGGGAACAGACAAAAGTAACTTAGTTCTGTGGTGAAAGTAACGCATGCTTTATGTACTCCAGGATTTTGTGGTAGTGGCTGTAGATGCTAAGGCCCACAATCTAGCAGGAGAGAGAGAGAAAGAGTGAGAAACTGTTGACTCACATAGCTGAGAAGGCAGGTCTAGCTTCAGGTCTGGCTGAATCCAGGGGCTCCCATGGTGTCCAAATTCTTTCCCTGCATCTCTCATCGCAGCTGTTTTTGTGTATTGGGCTCTGCATAACGCCATCTATCGCCTTCCTATAGGAAATCTCAAGGAAATTGGGATTGGCTGGCTCATGTGAGGCCACTCCCATGGCTAGGGGGTGGGCCCTATTATTAGTGGTTCTTTGAGAGTCACACAAAGCGGGGAGGGGAGAGGACGAACTGCCCCCCAAAGGAAGGGGGTGGGTTGCTCTAAAAGGGGTGAGTTTATGAGCAAATCGAAGCAACAGCTCTCTCCCACACTGGCGTATTTGCTGAACTCCCGCCCCTTACACACACACACACACACACACACACACTCTCTCTCTCTCTCTCTATCTCTCTCTCTCTCTTAAATTACCTTTGAGGGGCAGAATTCATTCAAAAAAGCCCTGGTGTCTCACCCGCTCTCTCCCTGCTCTGGTTTCCCTCGTCAGCATGAGAACATGAGCTGGTGGATGGAAACACTCCCCCAGGGCAGGCGGAGGATCCATAAACAGTGGACAGGAAGAAAGGAGGGAGGCATGGTTATACAGGGACCCAGCTCAGTCACGTTCCGAGCTGACGGATGACACACAGAGGGGACTTTGGTTTTTATGCCTGAAATATTTTGCAACCTTTGGAGGGAGAGGATGTCATCCTGAGAGGTCAGCAGGTGGTACCTACCGGCCCAGTCAGGTTCCCACTTGGTTGTCAAAGAGAGAAACACCCCCACACTTGGTGGAATGTTGTTCTGGTTCTGTGGGGTTTTGTTTTTTAATAAGTTGCCAACATTTAAAGCAGGAGAGATGTTGCCTAGGAATCTGGAATTCTGATCTCTCTTAAAGCAGACTGGTGGTGCGGGGTCACAGCCTCTCATGGCAACAGGAGCGTGGGTCTGGGTGGTGGCTGTCCCGTTAGACAGGGCAGGTGCCCTTCAGCTGGCCACAGTCCCCACCATGCCCTTCTGTCTCCCCCAACTTACACCCGGCCACTCACTCACACCCCTGCCTCACCTTGTGGTTGTATAGCAAGTCCTGCACAAACAGACCTTTGGTCCAGAGACTAAAGGCTACCCCAGGCTAGAGGCTTTCCTGGAAGAGAAGCGAAGCCCCCTGGGGCGGAGGAAGTTTGCTACAGCCTGCAGGTTGACCACAATGAGTCAGAGCTCTGGGGGGCAAGCAGCTAGACCAGGACGAGCAACACACTCAGCTGGAGGAGGCCTTCACAGCATCTCTTCCCCCACCCCGTTTTACCACGGAATCACAGGCTCAGAGGGCAGGGGACAGAGGGCATTTGAACCACCGTCTCCTGGCTCCAAGGCCAAGTTCAGTCCACCAAACCAAGATGCCTGCCTCCTTCCTTTTTTTCCTTCCACAAATCTTTATAACCTGATGCACCAGGCACTCCTGTTGGGCCCTTTGCACACATCACACCTAATCTGTTTTCCCTCATCCATTGCTCAAGCATTCACGGAGTGTCTACTACATTCAGGAGCTGAACTAGGTGCTGGGGAAAAAACAAAAAGTCTCCCCAGGTCTAGCAAGACCACTAAGTACAGGAGAGAGCTGGAGAGTGTGGGCATGGCTGTGAAGGCCAATGATTAAAGGATGGAATCAGACTGGGAAGGGTGGTCAGGAAAGGGCTCGGCAAGGAGGTGACACCCTTTTGTCATTTGAGACCCAGATACCAGAATGCACATCATGCCCAGCTCAGTGACAAAGGCCAAGCCACAACCCTCAGAGATGCCAAACCAAACAACAAGCGAGGCCAGAGATGGGGGACAAGGCCTTGACCTTGTCAGCAAAAGTCTGGCAACCGACCCTTGCCAAGGTCTTCTTTTTTTTTTTCTTTTTGTTTCAGTGGTGGTAAGGACCATAAAGAGGCGCTGTGTAGCCAAAACCGGTTTGGCTCAGTGGTAGAGCGTCGGTCTGAGGACTGAAAGGTCCCAGGTTCGATTCCTGTCAAGGGCATAGTACGTTGGTTGCGGGCACATCCCCGGTAGGGGGTGTGCAAGAGGCAGCTGGTCGGTGTTTCTCTCTCATCGACGTTTCTAGCTCTCTATCTCTCTCCCTTCCTCTGTAAAAGGATCAATAAAATATTAAAATAAATAAATAAATAAATAGAGGCGCTTTGTAAACCATGAATGGGGAATCTGGGCTCAGATCCCTGCTCTGCCCTTGCTGGGTGAACTTGGGCACCTCTCTGAGCCCCAGCCTTCTCTTAAGTAAAGTGGGGAGCCTGTGATACAGGCAGGCAGGGAGGTTGAGAGGAGTTGATGCAGTCGGGCACGTACAGGACTGATCCCAGTGCCTGGTCCTGCGTTCAAGCTCTGTACGTGGGCATTGATATTAATGATAACCCCATAGCTTGTCAGAATTGGAAGGGACACAGAGAGAGAGGAGACTAGCTCCATCACACACAAGGACACAGAAGCACAGAGAGGGGAGCAGTCTGCCCAAAGTCACACAGCAACTGGGCTGTCAGCAGCTGCATCACGACCAACCAGCCTCTCCCCACGATGGAGGAGTGCCTGCCTCAGAAGGGGTCCTCTGACTTCCCCTCCTCCCCCTCCACCACCCCAGCTGTCCCTGTGGCCTCTGGTTATGGCCAAGGCCGGGCTCTTTCTGCTTCAGGGCTCCTGAGCTTCTGGATGTGGTGTCATCCAGACAAGGAGTGCCAGGCCCATGAACACCAGCAGGATTCTAAACCTGTTCTAAACCCGTTCAAAACCACCTAAGGGCTGTGGGGGGAGAAGGGAGGGCTGCACATTGGATCAAAAAGGGCCCGAAGGCAGAGTTGGGTTCAAATCCCAGTTCTTTTGCTTCTTAGCTATGTGTCCCTCAGACAAGTTCACCCTCTGAGCCTTAGTTTCCTCATCTGTGAAATAGGCTTAACACCTGGCTTGCCAGGTTTTTAGGAGGACTAGGAAGTGCCTGGTGCATAGAGTAGGTGCTCAAAGCGTGTGCAGTCCCATCACCATCCGTGAGATCTTGGGCTGCCTTCCTGCCCACCCCACCCCTACCTGCCTGCCTGTCTCATAAGTGGATGATCTGGGGGATAAGAAAGTGGGTGATCTGGAAGAATAGGGGAGGAGGGGAGGCTGGATCGGTGCTCACCCACCCCCTGGTTGAGAATGAATCCTGTAATGCTGGGTCCTGCTGCTGACAGCTCAGCTGCCACCCCTGAGAACATGGAAAAGGACTCTCTTCATCCCGTTGGGGCCGCTAGCAAAGTGGCATAGACTGGGTGGCTTATCAACAACCAAGTTGTCTCTCGAAGTTCTGGAGGCTGGGAGTCCAAGACCAAGGCACCAGCAAGTTCGGTGTCTGGCAAGGCCCACTTCCCCATTCAGAGACACTATCCTCTCGGTGTCCTCACATGGCAGAAGGGGCAAGGCCATTCTCTGGGATCTTTCATAAGGTCACTAATGCCATTCATGAAGGCCCCACCCTCAGGATTTAGCTATCTCCGGAAGGCCCATCCCCTAACACCAATGCTTTGGGGGTTAGGATTTCACCATATGAACTTGAGGAAACACTCAATCTACTCGAGGACCCAGCACCATGTCTCTTCTCTCCTAAGGCACTCCGCGGCAGCCGTGTTCAAAAGGAAAGGGAGCCTCCGCCGTGGTGGGGAGGCCACAGAGGCCGAGGCCTTCCTGCAGCCGAAAGGGAGCGTGAGGGGCCCGCTGCTGAGGGCCATTTGGCAGGTCTTCCGCTCCACCTTCCTCCTGGGGACCCTCTGCCTTGTCATCAGTGACGTCTTCAGGTTCACTGTCCCCAAGCTCCTCAGGTGGGTTCAAGCCTAGGTTTGCCTGGCTATGGTTGGTGGTCCTTGGGGCCAGGGGGCTTTAGCTCTCCTGTCTCTTACCTAGACCTCTGCTCAGGGAAGTGGAGGGTGGGCGAAAGGACACTGAGAAGGACCAAAGCAAATGAGAAGGTGACTGGGAGAGACAGTGAGTGACCGCTAACCCGATTGTATCAGTTAGCTTTTGCTGCATAACAAAACACCCCAAAGGTGATGGGCTTTAAACCACTTATTTACTTACAATAAAGTGGGTGAGCAATTCAGTTAGTGCACGAGCACCCCACGTCTGTTCAAATATTCCTCTTACAAGGATACCAATCCTACGGAATGAAGGCTTCCCAGAGCAGACTCACTTTAACTTATGCAGTTGCATTCTGAGGTGCTGGGGGTTCGGACTTCAACATGGGAATTGTGTGGGGTACAACTCAACCCATCACAGGTGGGGATGTTAAAACATCACCGCTCTTGAGTGTAGCTGCTGCAGCTCACTTTGAAAATTAGCATAGAGAGTGGGGGAAATAATCATGGTTGTTTTTGAAAATAAAATCTGTCACACCATCTGGTCCTCCAAGACCTGGCCAGACCTTCTCTCACCAGCTCTGCCTCCTCCCTTCTTCTCCCACAAGCCTTTTCCTGGAGTTCATTGGCGATTCCGCAGCCCCTGCCTGGAAGGGCTACCTGATCGCCGTGCTGATGTTCCTGGCCGCCTGCCTGCAGACGCTGTTCGAGCAGCAGCACATGTACAGGCTCAAGGTGCTGCAGATAAGGCTGCGGACAGCCGTCACCGGCCTGGTGTACAGAAAGGTGAGCCGTGGGGAGAGGCGCGGGCCTGGCCTTTCCCTTCTCCGCATCCTGTCCTGACCTACATGCAAATGCTCCAGCTCAGTGCCGTCACTGAGCTGTTGGTATCATCGATGCCTGAAAACATATTCATTCCTTCGTGAATAGCTGCCTACACTGCACTCTCACCTCCCAGGTTATTTCTCTAAGGCCCTGCATGATCTCACCCGAGGACCTTAGTGACCTCATCATATCACATCATATGTAAGGTGACCAGATGTCCTGCTTTTGGTGGGACAGTCCTATTTGTAACAATTTGTCCCACGTTCCTCAGCGTTTTAAAAAATTCCAAAAGATTTAAGATTCTTTCTAAAAATCGGGACTTTTTAAAAACACCATGGGACTCGGGACAAATTGTTACAAATCAGGACTGTCCCGCCAAAAGCATGACGTCTGGTCACCTTAATCATATGCCTCTTCGTCTCTTGCTCACCTGCTCCAGCCACAAACACAGCAAGCACCCTCCCACCTCAGGGCCTTTGCACTTGCTGTTACCACTGCTTGGGCAAACCTTTATGTCATCAACTCCCTCATGAGGAAAAAGGACTCACCTCTGGGCACTGCAGAAACTAGGTAACAGTGGACTGACTGTCAGCTATGTCACCAGGCGGCATGGCTTATGGTAAAAGTGAGCCCTGACCCACTGGTAAATTGCATCTGACCTGGAAGTTCCATTAGGGAACTATGAACACCTGGCGGGAAGCCATAGCCCTGGGCCTCCCTCTGTGCAGCGACTCTTATCCCTTTGGGGGACCCTGGAAGGAACCCCACAAGACTGATACTATAAGAGACAATGGCGGGCTGGCCGGTTTGGCTCAGTGGATAGAGCATCGGCCTGTGGAGTCAAGGGTCCCAGGTCTATTCCAGTCAAGGGCAAGTACCTTGGTTGTGGGCACATGCCCGGTAAGGAGTGCATGAGGCAGCTGATTGATGTTTCTCTCTCATCGAGGTTTTTAACTTTCTACCCCTCTCCCTTTCTCTCTGTTAAAAATCAATAAAATAAAAAAATTAGAAAAAGAGAGAGAGAGAGACCATGGCTCCTGTGGGGTCCGGAGTGTCTGAGCCAGGGTGATGCTGTCCCATGTGAGTCTCCTTCTCTCATCCCTGAGCTGCCACCTGAGGAAGGAGGGCGGCTAAGGGAACAGCTCCTCAGCGGCCACCAGGGTGGGTCTTGATGCTGCCCTTCCTGCTGCGCTTCAGACCCGTGTCCCCTGATTGCACTGGAGCTACACCCGTGTGGCCAGGCCGGTCTTGTGAGTCCTCGAGTTGAGTGAGGTGGGTTGGAAAACGACCAGGGCATTGCCCGTCCCACTCCCCACCCGAGGAAGGCCTTCTTCGTCTCATGTGAGGCCAGGCCCCTCACCTCCTCTCCGGCTGCTCTGGGAACTGTGTCCTCTTATTTTCCGCAGCTGCCGTTTTGTTTTGTCCTTTGTCTTGTGTTACTCCTCACCTGAGACATTTTTCCCATTGATTTTTAGAGAGAGTGTAAGGGAGGGAGAAAGGGATGGAGGGAGGAAGAGAAGGAGAGAGAGAGAGAGAGAAACATAAATGTGAGAGACACACATCAATTGGTTGCCTCCTGCACGTGCTCCAACCAGGATCAGGGATTGACCTGCCCTTGACTGGAATGGAGCCCTTAGATCACATGTGTCAAACACAAGGCCCGCGGGCCAAATCTGTCCCGCCAGGCCTTGCAATGTGGCCCGCACCGCGCTGTCATCACTGCACTCCGCTGCGTTTCCATCACAATGACAGTTTATGACTGTTCAGTAAACCATTCGGCCTGCGATTTAGGCTGGATTTTAGATTTTGGCCCCTTCTCTGATTGAGTTCGACACCCCTACCTTAGATGCAAGGCTGATGCTGTAACCACGCTCATACCTGCCAGAGCTAGTGTTTTCACATCTGGGGCTTTATAGATCCCGGAGGGACTGCCAATTCCTAGAGAAAGTAAATGACTCACCTGACAGCACACATTCAATATGCAAACCACTCAACCCAAAGCCCATCCCGCAACCCCATGTATGGGGCTCTCACATTCTGGGACACTCCCCACACACACCCTGCCCTAACCACTCAGGGCCAGACAACTAGGCAAGGATCCCCCCAGCCTGCTGGGATTGTTAAAGACAGCCAGCCCTAAGCCTGCTTGCCCTGCCCGGCCTTCCTTCCTGTGAAAACCACAGTCCAGGCTCCTGCCCACAGTTCTGCCTGCCTCCCTCCACCCAGCCTGGTGCTTCCCTGAGTGGCCCCTCCAGTAAGGATTTAAGACACTTCGTGGCTCTCGTCACTGCCACTGAGGAAAGAGCTAAGGCCGTCTTTACTTAACCCTCTTCCCCAGCTCACACTCCACCCCCAGGAGAGCCAGCCCAGCCCCTGTGCTGTCCACAGCCGTGTTCTCAGCACTCAGCTCAGTGTGGGGCACAGCGTGGGTGCTCAATAAAGACTCAGAGATTTTGGGGAGAATTTCTACCCTCAGTCATTCCCAGTTTATTCCTCCCCTCCTCACTTCTTTCCTCAGACACTCAGCAGACAGAGGATTGCAAGTAACACTGAGCATTCAACAGGCAGGAAGGGGTCTGCTGTGGCCCCAGGGTTAGGGCCCGAGAACCAGGCTGGTATTTGAGCGGCACGGCGGTAAATGCCGGTAGGGGTCCATTTAACACCCTGTTGAGCCCCGGTCAGACCTTACTCATCCTGGATTCAATCCTAGCCCAGTCACTTACAAGCTCTCTGACTTGGGGCAAGTTGGTCCATTTCTCTGTGCCTCCGTTTCCCAAGCTGTAACATGGGGTTAGTCATTCTGCATTTCTTTGATTCTAGTCTCACTTTTTTAAAAACACTTCTCAAATCAAGATGCCTTATGTGTTAATTTAATAATGTCTCAATGCCAAAATATATATATATAATTTTTTTTTCTTAATGATACACAAACAGAGAAGGTTTTATTCAAGGCATTTTAAGCTGAAATATGGCAGTACCTGCCCCATGCAGTTGTGTGACGGGCTCATCACAGAAAATGATGACGCTGGGTGTTGAGCACAGCACCTGCATCATGGGTAGCCCTCAGCAAACGGCCACCACCGCCGTCTCAAATCCAAGGTTTTCATGTATTTTGTGACGGACTATCATCGCTCCAATGCTTTATAGGGATTTCAGAATATTTTCCTCTTTGTCATCTCCCTGAATTCTCACGAAGGCCCTAGGACAGTGGTCGGCAGACTCATTAGTCCACAGAGCCACATAGCAACAGTACAACACTTGAAATTCCTTTGGAGAGCCAAATTTTTTAAAGTTAAACTTCTTCTAACACCACTTCTTCAAAATAGACTCGCCCAGGCCGAGGTATTTTGTGGACGAGCCACAGTCAAGGGGCCAAAGAGCCGCATGTGGCTCTCGAGCCACAGTTTGTCGACCACGGCACTGGGAGCTTGGTTCAGGGGTTTTTTATTAGTTCACATTAGAGATGAGTGGATGGGGGCTCAGGTGCTGAGGAAATCTGCCTCAATCAGCCAGGGATCAGTCTTAGTTCCACACCACCAGCCTCCTCCCTGCACCTGGGGCCTCCCTGCGCCCCCCAACCCCATCGCCCGGCTCCCTCAGAGCCAGGCCTCCTTCCTCCTGCCCTACCAGGTCCTGGCTCTGTCCAGCGGCTCCAGAAAGACCAGCGCCGTGGGGGACGTGGTCAACCTGGTGTCCGTGGACGTGCAGCGGCTGATCGAGAGCGTTGTCTACGTCAATGGGCTGTGGCTGCCACTCGTCTGGATCATCGTCTGCTTCGTTTATCTCTGGCAGGTGTGCTGGGCGGAGGGCGCTGGGACCTGAGCTGAATCCTACCCCGCCCCCCTCCTCTCCTCCTCCTCCTCCTCCTTCTCTCCCCTCCTTCCCTTACTCCTGTCTCCGTCTGCACACTGTGGGCTAAAATGAGCAAAGTGTTAGATGAGGATGGCCTTTCCTTGACCTTGGGCAGGATGCTCATCCTCTCTGGGCCTCTGTTTCCTCACCTGTAAAATATTGATGATAATGATGACACTGACACCTCGTACCGGGGTACCGAGGAGACAGATCAAGCCTATTTGAAGTTATCAGTAACACTGGGGCACCAGCATCAACTGCAAAAAAAAAGACAAAACATTTTAGGGGAAAGAATTTGCTACCTGGTTTTCAAAAACCATAAAGTGACCAGTATGGGAAAAAAAAAAAAAAGTTAAATCAGTTTCTCTAACTTGCTTTCATCTAGTTTGTGGTATAAGGTTTCTTTCCTTCCTTCCTTCCTTCCTTCCTTCCTTCCTTCCTTCCTTCCTTCCTTCCTTTTTAAATTAAAATCACAGACCTTGGAAGGGGACAGCCTGGGTTCAAAGCCTGCTGTCACTGCTTGTATATAACTATAAAACCTTGCACAAGGCACAGCCTCTCTGGGCCTCATTTCCCCGTCTGTACAGTGAGAATCAGTAAACAAGGTGCCCTGCCCCTGATGCTAAGTCTGACTGCGCTGACTGTGCGCACTGCACTCTGTAGGCATTTGCTCGTGTTATTGATATGCAGGGAGGTGTGGGTGGGGGTGGGGGGGGGCAGTGCATCTGAAGATCTTCCTCCAGCTCTGCTCCAGGTGCAAGGCTCACACTCTTTTCTGTAAAAGCCCAAATGGAACTATTTTAGACATTGGGCTCCATGTGGTCGCTCTCAAAACTATCCAACTCTGCCCTTCGAATGCCAAAGCGGCCGCGGACAATCCTAAGCAGGTAGGCAGGGCGGAGCTCCAGTGGGACTGATGAGGAACACTGAGATGTGAACTTTGCATAATTTTCCCATGTCCCTACATATTCTTTTTCTTTTCATTATTTCCAATCACTTAAACATGTAAAAACCATTACATTTGTTTGTGTTTGTGTGTTTTTGTTTTGTTTTGTTTTGTTTTGTTTGTGTGTGTGTACAGCTCACAGGCTATATGAAAGCAGGTGGAGGGCCCTGGACCATGTGCCATAGTTCACAGGCCCCTGGGTGGGTGTAGCAGTGGCATATTGGTTGTGAGTGTGGAATAGTCCCAAATGCCACCTACTGTGTGCTATCATCATTACTGGTCCTCTACTGCTGTTTCCACACACCTGTAGGGCGGGGGCCAGAACCTTTCTGACTTGGTACCTGGTATTCCAGGGCCTAGCACACAGTAGGTCCTTAGCGAGTCCACATAGGGCAAACAGTTCCTGATGTGCAGTACATAGATGTTAGCTGTTATGATAGGAATATGGGGAGGGGGAGGAGGACACAGGGAAGTACAAGGCAATTGAGTAGGCAGACCAATGACCCAAGTGAACCTATAGACAGCACACCATCACCCCCTGGCCTACCCAGAGGATTACCCTGAATGAAGGAGGGTAGGCACTGGGGTTGAAATAGTTAGCATGTGTAGCATTTTTGCCAGTGCATGCCATTTTACCAGAGAGGGTTTGACCTTCTATCAACATGTTAGTATTTTCCCAACTCTGGCTTTGAAGGCTGGTATTTGCCTTCTGGTACTTGTCTATTTAGCCACTAGGTGACACTATTGCTACATAAATGAAACAAACTGTCGTGTTTGGTAGGGAAATTTCCAAAACTTTTTTTTTACTAATAGGAGAAACGAAGGCCCACAGGCTGGAGAGAGGGTGAGGCTTGACTAGAGAACGGCCCCAAATGACCTCAGAAGAAATCTCAAAAATTACAAATAATTTCTTCTGCCCCCACCTCCACATCACATCCACTGTGGAGAAACCAGAGGGAACACAACTGTCCTCAAGTCACAGAGCTGGGGGTGGGGCGGGAACGGCCAGACAAAATACAGGTGTCCAGTTAAATATAAATTTTAGATACACTGAATAATTTCTTAGCATAAGTATGTCCCAAATATGCCATGGGACCATCTTATACTAAAAAACGTATTCACTACTTATCTGAAATCCTCATTTAACTGGGCCGGTGTCCTCTGTTTATTTGCTACACCTGGCAGCCCTTGCGAAACGAGGACTCGGGTGATAATGGACTGTGTGACTCGAGCACGTCGCTTGGGTGCGGGCACAGCTCTATTTCCATTTCACAGATGAGGAGCTGCTTACCCTCTCAGGGAGGGTAAGTCACTAGCCTGAGGCCACACTGGTGAGTGTCAGAGTCAGGATTCGAACCCAAATCCTGACCCCAGAGGTCTGGCTTCACCATCCTGACCGGGCACACCCCCCATTGTGTGCAGTACGTCTTTCCTGCCCCCTCATGTACAAGGCGTCTCCTTCTAGGTGTCTGTCCCATAATCCTGGTCTCCATGGCCTGCTAGCTGCCCTCACCAGACCCCTGCCACCCCCCTGCCTTCAGAACCAAGTGTGAGCCTCCAGCCCCAGCCGTGGGCGCTGACCGAGTCCCTCCAAGTCCACCGCTGGGCTCCTGCAGGCATCCCTGACCTCCCCGCTCTGTCTCCAGCTTCTCGGGCCCTCTGCCCTCACCGCCATCACTGTCTTCCTGAGCCTGCTCCCTCTGAATTTCTTCATCTCCAAGAAGAGGAACCACTATCAGGTTTGGTCATTGGCAGGGACCCCAGGGGAAATGGGAGGAGGGCCTGCAGGGGAGTGGGGGAGGGGGTGGTGGCCTGGCATTGGCGCCATGGCCTGAGCCTTCCAGTCACTCGGACCCGTCGCCCCACGGCCCCCATCTCGGTGGGTGGCAGCTCTGTCCCTCCAGCATCCAGGCCACAAAATAACCACAGGCTGGTGTGGACGCCTCTCTTTCACTCAGGAGTCAGCTCGTTTGGTTGAAATTGCATCCAGAATGTTCCTCCTCCATACCCAGCCTCTCCAAAGCCCGCTGTCTCTCACCTTGGTCTCTGCAGGAACTCCCCACTTCGGCCTCACCCCCACCTAGGCCTCTTCACACACCCTCCCATTCCCCTCAGAGTCAAAGCCAAGACCCTGCCGTGGCCCTCTGCCCCCTGGGACGTGGCCTCCTCACCTCCTGCCCCTCGCTCACGCCACACCCCCCACTGCCCTCCCTGGGATCCTCAAACCTGCCCAGCTCCTGCCACGGGGCCTTTGCGCTGGCTGTGCCTCAACACTCTCATCCCAGGGGTCAGGTCTCCTCCCTCCCCTCCCTGAAGTCTGGGCAGCCCCACTTACCTCCTGGTTTCAGCGCAGCACGCCCTCCCCTCCCCCTCCTGTACTCCTGCAGCTCGGCTCCTGGGCTGGTGCTGTTTCATTCCAGGGCGCTCATCACCTAACCCGCCATAGGACACGCCTAGTTCTTCCATTTACTGTCTACCTGTTGTCCTAATGAAAGTTTCCCAGAGTAAGGAATGCTCACTGATGCAGTCTCAGCTTTAGAATACTGCTTGTCATAGGTGTTCAATACGGTCTTGGAAGCAAGGGGAGAGGAAGAGAGGGAGGGAGGGAGGGAGGAAAGGGAGGGAAGGAGGGAGGGAGGGAGGGAGAAAAGGGAGGGAGGGAGGGAGGGAGGAAGAAAGGGAGGGAGAGAGGGAGGGAGGGAGGAAGGGAGAAAAGGGAGGGAGGGAGGGAGGGAGGACGAAGAAAAATGTCGGATAGACTGTTTCTCCTGTCTGGCCTTCTCTAAGACATTGTCCACACAGCTGCCCTCTCACGATGCCCCTCAAAGGTAAAACCCAGCGGCCCCGCTCCTCAGCCTGACCTCCAAGTCTCAGCACGATCCAGGCCACCTCTCCTTCTTGGTCCCCCACACCCCCTCTGACCACACTGGAGGTCCTCCAAGTCATGCTGCCCCCTCATCTTCCCCTGTCCACCCACCCACCATAGCTCGTATGTCACCCCCACCTCCAGGAAGCCTTCCTGATGGCACCATGCCAGCCAGTTCAGGTCCCCGCCCCTGTTCCCAGCGCACTGGGGGCCTCCTTGGTTAGGGCGCAGCATCCCTGTGACGAAGGCGGAAGCAGGGGACAAAGGGAGCTGACATGGTCCAGAGAGACGACGGGGCTTGGGCCAGGACTGTGGGGACAGAGAGGCTGAGAGGCAGGCAGCTTGGGGCCTGGTTTGAATCGGCAGGGTTTGCTGAAGGGGCAGTGTGGCTGCCGGGGTGGAGGACTCTAGACCTGTCCCTGTGCTCTCGCCTCTCCCCCTCTGGTCCCAGGAGGAGCAAATGAGGCAGAAGGACTCCCGGGCTCGGCTCACCAGCTGCGTCCTCCGGAACATGAGGGCGATCAAGTGCCACGGCTGGGAGGAGGCCTTCCTGGAGAGAGTCCTGCGCATCCGGGGCCAGGAGCTGGGCGCCCTGAGGACCTCGGGGCTCCTCTTCTCTGTGTCTCTGGTGTCCTTCCAAGTGTCCACGTTCCTGGTGACGTCACCCTGATCTCCCTGCAGAGTGTGGGCGGGGTGGGGGGGTGCTGGGGGAGGGAGAGGGGGTAGGTGGAGCCCCCGAATCCTGGATCCTGCTCTCGCTCCGGGGTCCCTGCTTTCCGCTGATTAGCCGATCAGTCAGGTCATCCCCCGACCTGTGTCTAGGAAGGCGTGTCATTCTCCTGAAAGTTCGAGTCTTCTGAAACTGCCGCTTCTACTGCTCTGGGGAATTGGTGACAGGTGCAGGAAGCTGCAGAGATGGAACCCCAAGTTCACCCTGCTGCCCCCCCCCCGACACACACACACACACTGGGCACAGCCTGTCCTGTCTCTCTCCAGTCGATTTCACCAGATCGGCCTTCTAAAGCATGGCTCTGACTGCCCTCATGCCGTTGCAGTCAAACCCACAGTGACTCACTGCTGGGTCCAGGTTTAAAATTCAAACCATAAATCATGCAAGCCTGGTGACAAGTGGGCCTTCACCACTGTTCCCAGAAGGATCTGGAATCCCAGGGGCCGTTTGCCAGGATGTCATCACACACAGTCAACACTCAGAAGGGCAAGTGCCATCCCTTAGAACCACGAGGGCTCCCCAAAAAGGATCCCTGAGTCACCATGACAACAAGTGACTGTGGAAGTGATCAGCACTGACTAAGCATCACGCAGAGTGACCATCACACCGAGTGGCATTAGAACCATAAATGCCACCAATCCTAGAGCCCTCAAGTGCTGCCAATACTTGCTGCTTTCCCAGATATCTTCCCAAGGTTTCTCGGATCACAAGTCCCACCCACATCTGGAACCACAAACTTCTACAGGATGGGGAATGATAGTGTCCCCCCATGCCTGGAGTCCAGAGTTTCTGATACCCACTGACAATGGGGCCCTGTACGCACTCCCCTCACCAGTAGCAGAATCTGAGGGGAGATCTGTGTTTAGGGGCCATACAGACCCCTGGAGAGGCCACAGCTGGCTTAGGTGTCCCTGGCCACACTCATGCACGCTCACGCCACCCCCTGTGTCTCACCCAGGTGGCACTGGTGGTGTTTACTGTCCATACTCTGGTGGCCGAGGAGAATGCCATGGATGCCGAGAAAGCCTTCGTGACCCTCACGGTTCTCAACATCCTCAACAAGGCCCAGGCCTTCCTGCCCTTCTCCATCCACTCTGTGGTCCAGGTGAGGCAGGGGGAGCGAGGTGGTTTGGGGGAGTCTTGCAGGGGTGAGTCCGCCATCCGTGGAGGAGGAGAAGGAAAGGGAGTGAGAAAGGGGATGGATCAGAGCAGCAGACAGGGAGGGAAGGGTCAGAGGCTACCGCAGAAGGTGTCAGCAAACATCCTCAAAATACACAGCCTCACCAATCCAGCAATTTCAAGTGCATGGATTCATTTCAGTTCCCTTTTACACAAAGCAATTTTGCCTTATTTATCTTCTTTACAGTCTCTACTCATGTTGTGCCTCCCTAGGGGTGATGAAAATGAGACAGCAGTTGCCTGGCTGAGCCATCCCTCTTTATTTATTAATTATTATTATTATTATTATCCTCACCTAAGGATATTTTTCCATTGATTTATTTTTTTAGAGAGAGTGGAAAGGAGGGGGAAAGACAGAGAGAAATATTGATGTGAGAGAAACACATGGATTGATTGTCTCCTGCACAAGCAGTGGCCAGGGCCTGGGCTGGGGAGGAGCCTGCAGCTGAGGTCTGTGCCCTTGACCAGAGTGAAACCTGGGACCCTTCGGTTTGCAGGCACTGAGCCAAACCGGCTCTGGACATCCCTCTTTGAATGGCTCCCTTCGACCTTACCAAGGAGGGGTTTGGGGTTGGGAGCAGGTGGACAGGCTTAGATTTGGTCCTGGTAATGGCCTGCTGGCGGGCTATCTTCCAGGGTGTGGCCTGCAGAAGGGTAGCTCCATCTACCAATTATGCTAATTAGGAGCAAGGAGCAGAGAGGGCACCACCACCGTAAGCATCATTTGTCACCTAGAAAGCTTTGGCCCTAGCCGGTTTGGCTCAGTGGATAGAGCGTCGGCCTGGGGACTGAATGGTTCCGGGTTCAATTCCAGTCAAGAGCACGTATCTTGGTTACAGGCTCCTCCTGAGCTGGGCCCTGGACAGGGCACATGCAACCAATCGATGTGTTTCTCTCATATTGATGTTTCTCTGTCTTTCCCTCTCTCTTTCATTCTTTCTTAAAAAAAAAAATAAATAAATGGGAAAATATCCTGGGGTGAGGATTAAACAAACAAACCAACAAAAAAAAAAAGCCCTGTACTAATCTTTGTACTAATCGTGCCCGTGCAAATGAGCAAAGCTTGTGGACAGGAAGCCTACCCCACCCTCTTGAGACACCCAACACCCAAAGCCTGAGTTCTTTTATTTTTGTGTTTTCTATTTTTTGTTAATTCTTACCTGAGGATATTTTTTCCATTGATTTTTAGAGAGAATGGATGGGAGGGTGGGAAAGACAGACAGAGAGAGAGAGAGAGAGAGAGAGAGAGGGAGAGAGAGAGAGAGGAACATTGATGTGAGAGAGACACATCGATTGGTTGCCTCCCACATGTGCCCCTATCACCAGGGCAGGGGAGGGAACCTGCAACCAGGTATGTGCCCTTGACCAGGAATTTGGTGCGCGGGCCAACGCTCTAGCCGCTGAACCACACCGACCGGTGGCAGCCTCACTTCTTTTTCTGCCCTTCCGGCCCCGGTGACCTGGGCTTTGTTCTCCCCAGTCCCGGGTGTCCTTTGACCGCCTGGCCGCCTTCCTCTGCCTGGAAGAAGTGGACCCTGAGGCCGTGGTGTGGAGTCCCTCCAGAGGCTGTGAGTGCTGAGCTCAGCAGGAGGGGCGTGGGAGGGAGGAGGCTCTCAGCAGGATGCCGGGGTCACACTCAAGCCAGTGAGCAGCAGCAGGGCCGTTTGCTCGGTGGGAGAGGCTTCTGGCTGCCTCTGGGGACAGTGCCCGAGGAGGGGGGGGGGAGGAGGGGGAGGGCAGGGGGAGGGGATGGAGGGGGAGGGCAGGGGGAGGGCAGGGGAGGGCTCTCTGGGACCAGGAGGCCAGCCGGAGTGTCTGGTGTAACAGGTCTCTCATGCCTGCAGCTGCCAAAGAGGATTGCATCCGTGTGCGAGAAGGTACCTTTGCCTGGTCCCTGGAGAGCCCGCCCTGCCTGCACAGGTACAAAGGGGCTTCACTTCCTACATGAGGGACGGTGTGGGTTTGTGGCCTGGGGCTGGAGGGTGGGTGAGCCTGGGCTGGTGCACTAACAGGGCAACTCCCAGGCCCAGCCGTGTCAGAGTCTCTGGAAAACCAGAGCTCCTGCAGATGCGGGGACAGGGCATCTCTGGCCCCTGTCAGGGAGGAGGCAGCCTCTGCTCCCCGGTCTGGACAAGATGATGCCAGAGTCCCGGCCAAGAAGAGCCTGGCCGGGTCAGCTGTGCCTGCTTCACTCCCTCCTGTGTCAGTCCCTGCATCATTGTCACCTCCAGCCTTCCGCTCTCTGGCTGGGACTTTGTAGCAGAAGATCCCAGTCAACCCCAGAAGTCCCAATGGAGGGACCTGAAATGCCCTGGCCAGTATCTGCCGACTGTCATTTGCTCACTGCATAGTATTTGTTGAGCACTTGCTATGTGTCAGACCCTGTCTTAGGCACTAGGGATAGTGAACAAACCAGACAAGGACCCTGCACTCTTGGGGCTGACATTCTGATGAGGGGGGCACACAAATGAGAAATCAATGGGAGGTGATTGTGGTGTTGACAGGGTCATGTGTAGTGAGAGGAGGCCTGGCATTTAAACTGGCGTCATAACGAAGGGAAGGAATGAGCCTTGCACACGCCTGAGAGAAGAGCTGCCGAGGCAGTGGGAACAGCACGTACAAAGGTCCTGGGGCAGGAGGATGCCTAGGCCCAGGTGCCTTCACCTCATCATATTGGCATGTGGGGTTGGATGCCTCTGTGAGGGGGGCTGTGCTGTGTATTGTAGGGTGTTTAACCGGGCCTCATTATTCACCCTCCGAATACTAGCAGCAACCCTCCCCTCAGTTGTGATAACCCAGGATATTAAAATATCTCCAGACATTTCCTAATGACACCTGGGGGGGCGCCGTTTCCCGGTTGTGATTGAGGAACGGGGGGTGGGGGGTGTCTGTGTGGCTGACGCAGGGCAGCAGGCGGCTGTGCATCTTTCGGGGCCGTCAGACCCCGCGTGACGTGGGGACTGCTGGAGGGCTTCCGCAGCGGGTCGTAGTGATCTAACTCGGGTTGTAACTCCCGTGTCTTTGGCCCCTGGGTGGAGAATGAACAGGGGCAGGGGCCAAGGGCAGGAGGAGGAGCAGTAAGAAGCCTATTGCAATGATTGAATCAAGACATGATGCTGGTTAAATCCTCCTGCCACAATAAATTCTGTGTGTGTACACGTGTGCATGCCTATGTGTGCACGTCTGAGAGCATGTTTGCTTACATGTGCAGGTACTTATATGTGCCTGAATGTGTGCATGTATCGTGTGCACACACAGGCGTGTGATGTGAACTTGCGCACATTGTGGTGGTATATGCACACACATGTATGCACGTGTGAGCACATGTTTATTTAGATATGCATACACTTGTGTGTGCACATACATTGTGGTGTTATGTGTGTATGCATGTGTGTGGGTGTGCACACATGTGTTCCCATGCACATGCATGGGACATGATGGCAGCTTGCGTAGTCAGGCAAGGATTAGGAGAAGGAAGGACTGCCCCTGAAAGTCCTCTTAGCAGCCTCCTGGATGAAGCACCTGTGGGAAAGCCTGCCTGGCTCTGAGGTTCACCAATTCTGCACAGACTCAGGCTGGGCCTACCCAGGATGCATCTCCCCTGCAGGATAAACCTCAGTGTGCCACAGGGCTGTCTGCTGGCTGTGGTTGGTCCCGTGGGAGCAGGGAAGTCCTCTCTGCTCTCCGCACTCCTTGGGGAGCTGTCAAAGGTGGAGGGGACCGTGAACATCAAGGTGAGACCACACTCCCTGCCTTTCTGCTAGAATGTCCTCCATCCTAGACCCCTCCCCACACCTCCATGACCCTCCCCCTCCTCTCCACGTCCTCTTTCCACCTTCCACCACCAGCAATAGCCTGGCGCCCTCCTGTCTCCATCCCCAGTGGCCTCATTGCCAACGTGAGTTGTGTTTTAGGGTCCTGTGGCCTACATGCCCCAGGAGGCCTGGGTCCAGAACGCGTCCGTGGTGGAGAACGTGTGCTTCAGGCAGGAGCTGAACCCATCATGGCTGGAGCGGGTCCTGGAGGCCTGCGCCCTGTGGCCAGATGTGGGCAGCTTTCCTGCAGGAGTCCACACCCAAATTGGGGAGCAGGTGAGGGCTCAGCCTTCTGGGGACAGGGAGGCACTATGTCTGGGGTCATTTGCTTCTTTCTCTGAGCTGTGGGCAGTGTGGTGAGAGGGACAAAGGGGAGATGAAGGCAGGAAAGAGGGCTCAGCGTAGGGCCATGCACATAGTAGGTGCTCAATAAATTGTTATTAATGAGTGAATGCTAGAAAACAGATCATGGGGCGGCAGAAAGACATGGCAGGGATTGGAGGTGACCGGCTCTCCAACTGGGAGTGGGGAGATCTGGGCACCTCTCCTGCCCTGCATTTTTGGGTGACATTGGTCACATCGCTTCCTGTCCCTGGACCTCTGTAAAAGGCCTGGGCAGAGTTAGCCAATAAACAGGATAGATGCATCTAGAGCTAGGGATTGGGCAGGGTTGGCAAACTATGACCACAGGTCCAATCCGGCCCACCATATTTTGTGAATAAAGTTTTATTGGGACACAGCCATGCCCATTTATGAACCAGGGGGCCATGTCTGCTTTTGCACAGCAAGGGCGGAGATGAGCATTGGTGTCAGATACTGGGCCCCCAGCAAAGCTTAAAATTACTATCAGGCCGTTTCCAGCAAAAGGCTGCTGAGCCCCGGGCTAGGGAATTGAGAGTGGATAAGTGGGAGTTCAAGTTAAGGAAATGGGTGGGATTTCCTGGAGAGAAGGGGAGAGGGGGCAGGAGAGGCTCCCCTGTGTGAGAAAAGCATCCAGGGAGGAGGATGAGGTGCTTAGAGGCCAAGTGAAAGGTGTTTCAGAAGCAAGGGGTGCTTGCTGGCCTCTGTGTCCATCCAGCTGTGTCCCATCCTTTCTGAGGACACGCCCATCCCAGGAAACGGAAGCCCCGTCCTCCTAGAGCTCAGATCCAAAACCTTTGTGTTACCCTTGATACCTCTCTTCTTCTTATGCCCTCATCTAATCCATGGGCTAGTCTTGTTGGGTCCCCCATTGAGGCAGACCCAGAATGTCCCGGTCCCGTCGACTATCAGCTCTCCCTCACGTTGCTGCAGCGTCGCCTGGCTGCCCTCCATGTTTCTGTCCTCAAATCCCAGCAGCTAAACCTCGGTCAGATCATGACCCTTTTCTGCTTGTAGTCCTCCAGGGGGTCTCCGCTCAAAGTCGAAGCCCTGCCCATCCCTGACAAAACTCCCCCCCAGTCTGGCCCCACCTCCCATCATGCTCCACTCCAGCCACATGGTTCTCTGCGATGTTCTCTGAACATCCGAAGCACACTCTCACATTAGGGCCTTTGCATCTGCTGTTCTCCCTGCTTGGATAGCTTTCTCTGGAGTCCAGCCCTCACTTTTACCAGGCCTGCACTTACATGTTCTCTTCAGGGAGAGACCTTCTCTGACCACCTAACCCCGCACAGCATTCCTGCTCACGCTGTGCACCCTAGACCCATGGTTCACAAACTGCGGCTAGTGAGCCACATGCAGCTCTTTGGTCCCTTGAGTGTGGCTCTTCCACAAAATACCGCGGCCTGGGCGAGTCTATTTTGAAGAAGTGGTGTTGGAAGAAGTTTAAGTTTAGAAAATTTGGCTCTCAAAAGAAATTTAATTGTGTGCTATTGATATCTGGCTCTGTTGACTAATGAGTTTGCCAACCACTGGCCTAGAACACTGCTGGTATAACATAGCCTTGCAGTACATATGAGTACATATTTTCATTCATTCATTCATTCATTCACTCACTCACTCATTCACTCATATGTGCATGAGTGAATGAATGAATGAATGAATGAAAATAAGGACTGAAAAGCTGCCACTGGATTAAGCAACAGGCGACTGATGACTGGTGTCCTTGAGGAAGGCAGTATTGGTGGAGAAAATGGGAGCAGAAGCCAGATTTAAGTGGAGGGAGAAGCGAGTGGGAGGAGAGAAAGCCATAGAAGGTGCAGACAACTCCTCCAGGAAGTTTGGGAAGGGGTGAAGGGAGGCTGGGAAAAGCCTGGAGGTGGAGGAGTATTGGTTTGAATGCAGGTGTGACAGCTGGGAGGTGGCCCTGGAAGACAGGCACAGTGAGCTCTACCTCATTCTGATAAGCCCCATCGTAACTGCCTCACCCAGCCTTGTCCCTCTCTTGTGGCCACAGGGCATGAATCTCTCTGGGGGCCAGAAGCAGCGGGTGAGCCTGGCCCGGGCCGTGTATAGGAAGGCTGCTGTATACCTGCTGGATGACCCCCTGGCATCCCTGGATGCTCATGTTGGCCAGCACATCTTCAATCAGGTCATCGGGCCCAACGGGCTGCTCCAGGGAACGGTAAGTTTGGGGAAAGTGTGTCAGAGGGCACAGGGCAAAGGCAGAGAAAGCATAACCCAAGTCTATCTCACCACCACCCTCCTGGAGTCCAATTTTCCTCTTTGTAACGGTCAGCTTTCTCTTGACAATGCTACATAACAAACAACCCCCAAGCCTCAGTGGCTTGCAACAGCAGTGACTTTTGGCTTATGGGTATGTGGTTAAAGAGCTGCAGCCCTGCCTCCCTCAGGCCACTGGAGTCAGGTGAACTTCTTGTTTTGAGATGTAGATTGAAGGAGCCCCTCTATATCTGTATTGTGGCTGATTTCAAGATAAAGGGCAGGAGCTCATGAAGTGGGAACTTGCCCCGTCCTGAGCCCCAGGCTTTGGAAGACCTCCCAACACCTGAATGTGACTCCCACCCCTTCCCTGCCCAGACACGGATTCTCGTGACCCACGCACTCCAAGTCCTGCCCCAGGCTGATCGGATCGTGGTGCTGGAAGATGGGGCCATTGCAGAGATGGGTTCCTACCAGGAGCTTCTGAACAGGAAAGGGGCCCTGGTGAGCCTTCTGGATCGAGCCAGACAGCCAGGAGGGAGAGGAGAAGGAGGTACTGACTGAGCTTTGCTGGTTCTCTGTGCCTGACTCCTATCAAGGATCCCACTGGCATGAGTGGGTTGCCCTGGCCCCACACTCCCTGCAAGCTCTGGCCTGAGGCAGGGGCAGTGTTAAGTGCATCTTTAAACACACAGTATTTAGCCCAGATAGTGTGGCTCAGTGGTTGAGCAACGACCTATGAACCAGAAGGTTCAATTTCTAATCAGGGCACATACCTGGGTTGTGGGCTCAATCCCCAGTAGGTGGGGCATGCAGGAGGCAGCCAATCAATGATTCTCTCTCATCATTGATTCATTGATATTTCTCTCTCTCTCTCTCTCTCTCTCTCTCTCTCTCTCTCTCTCTCTCTCTTTCTCTCTCTCTTTCTCCCTCCCTCCCTTCCTCCCTCCCTCTTCCTCTCCCTCTCAAAAATCAATAAAATAAATTAAAAATAAATAAACACACAATATTTAATTTGATCTTCACAATACCCCTTTGAGGCACATGCAATTCTTGCTACCATTTCAGAGGTGAGCAAATTGAGACAAAGAGAGTTAGATAATTTGCCGAAACCGGTTTGGCTCAATGGATAGAGCGTAGGCTTGGGGACTGAAGCATCCTGGGTTCGATTCCGGTCAAGGGCATGTACCTTGGTTGTGGGCATATCCCCAGTAGGGGGTGTGCAAGAGGCAGCTGATCGATGACTCTCTCTCATCGATGTTTCTAACTCTCTCTCTCCCTTCCTCTCTGTACAAAATCAATAAAAAATATATTTAAAAAAAAAAAAGAGAGAGTTAAATAATTTGCCCAAGGTCACAAGATTAGAATTTGAGTTTATGCCTATAACTGCTACAGAAACTGAGCAAGCTCACTTGGTGCCTAGAGGCCAGGTAATCCAAACCACGCTAGCTAGGGCTTCTCATGATCCAGAGAACACAATGCCTGCTGGGAAAATGACAGTGTTCTGGAAGCGAAGCCACCAACCCAAGTTCACCCAGAACGAGCGATGGAGAACAGCCTCTGGCACCTCACCCCCCCTGACTCATGTACTCATCTCTGTGCCTCTGTTAGGTCAGCACTTTAATCACCTCCATTTACAGATGAGGAGACTAAGGCCCAGAATAAGGAACTGGACCAAGGTTACATGGCTTAGAAGTGTTGGTACTGGGATTGGTACAAGCAACTTGACCAACAGCATGTGGTTTTTCGTCTCTAGGCTGTATACTACCCCTCCATGACAAAGCAAGAACTCACACCCAGGTGCCCCAGCCCCAGGCCCTGTCTCTTCGGAAAATATCTGTTGAGTGCTGGTGTGATTTACAATGTCACTGTCCTGGAGCTGAGGGTGGAACCTGCCCAGGCCAGGGGGATGGCCGGGGGACCAGGGTCCTTCCTGGGGAAGGTGACACCTAAGCTTGGGTAAAAGTTGGGAAAGAACATTCCAGCCACACTGAACTGCTTGTGCAATGGTGTCTGGGGACCCCGAAAGTAGTATGGCCAAGGCCATGTTGACTGATGTTTTCCAGCCCCAAGTCCATAGCAGGGGCTCAGTTGTATTTACTGAGTAAATGAAGGAGCGACTGATTGATGGATAATGTTCCTGAGAACCCTGGGAGGACTGCCAGAGGCTGCAGGAGCCAGAGCAGGGGACACAGGTGCTCAGACAAGTTAAGGCTATACAGCCAGTGGGTGTCAGCATCCGGACTCCAGGGTCTGGACCCCCACTGTGTGACAAGACTCCCTTGACCTTGCAGAAACAGAACTCGCGACCGGCATTGAGGACCCCAGAGGCTCTGCTGGAGGTGGGAGGCCCATGGGTGGACCAGAGAGGTGAGTACATTGTGGTCCTGAGCACAGGGAGGGTACAGGCAGAAGCTAAAGACCACCTGTGGCTCAGGCGGGTGGGGGGCAAAACTATTCTGGAGTCAACACCCACCACGGTGCTCAGTTGTGGGATAACTCATCAAAACGTGTGTGACAATCACATGGCCAAAATAATTAAGTCCCCAAATGCCCAGTTCACAGAATGACCAATTTGCCCTCAAGTGCAAATATATAGATGATAGATTGTGCAGAATTGACATCCTGCCAACCTAGAATGACAAATCTGAGGATAAACAGAAGGAGCAAAATGATTGCAGCAAAGCTTAGGAAAAAAAAAAAAAAAATCCTCTGAAAACCAAGTTCTGAGGTTGGGCAAATAAGTTCATTCAGTGAAATGGCTTTGAAACAACAGGCTTGTTTGACTCTGGGATAATAGATGGCATTTATTTGGGCACTACAAAGGGAGGGCACAGCATGGCACCTACTTGGTACTCAGTGTGTTGATTGAATAAATGTGTGAATGAGTGAGTGAATGAATGAATGAATGAAGAGTGCACCCCAGAGCTCAGTGGCTATCAGTGGCCATGACTGTTGGGAACCCCCTCCTCCCACAGGAGGAGAGACTAATTTGTCCTCATTTCCTCTAAATAACAGGTCCATGAAGTCAATCCCTGAGATGGACAGCACCGCTTTGGAGGCCCAGACAAAGGTTCCCCTAGATGACCCTGAGAGGACAGGACGGCCAACAGGAGGGGACAGTGTGCAGTATGGCAAGGTAACCATCAGCTGCTCCCTGCCCTCCACAGCCACTGCTACTGCTGCCCTCCGGGCTCAAGACCTGCCACCAGATAGAGCACTGGGTGGGGGGCATGCAGTCACCTTTATTGAACATCTACTATGTGCCAAGTAAGAGTCTAGACACTTTCTATTTCTTAATGTTCACAAGCACTCTAAGATTAGATGGTGATGCCCTATCTGGTTTGGCTCAATGGATAGAGCATCAGCCGGTGGCCTGAAGAGTCCTGGGTTCGATTCTGATCAAGGGCACATGCCTGGGTTGCGGGATCCATCCCCAGTAGAGGGCGTGGAGGAGGTAGCCACCCAATGATTCTCTCATCATTGATGTTTCAATCCCCTCTCCCTCTCCCTTCATCTCTCTGAAACCAATAAAAAATATTTTTAAAATATAATAATAAAATTAGATGGTGATAACTCCATTTTAGAGGTGAAGGAACTGAGGTTTCAAAGAGTTGGGAGGCTTCTCTGTGCTCTCATAGCTAGCAAGTGACCAACTTGGACTCAAATCTAGGTAATTCCTAATCTGGAGCTTGTACTATTTCTTTTCTGCAGGTCTCTCCACCCATCCACTCACATACCTACTCATTCATTCATCCACCTGTCCACCTTTCCACCCATTCACCCACCCACCTGCCCTATCTGTCCTTTTCACCCATCTACCCATCCATCTACCCATCTACTCACTCATCTATCCATTACGTCCAACCTTCCAACCACCTATTCATCCATTCACCCACCCATCCACTTACCTCTCTTCCATCTACCCACCTATCCATCCACGCTTTTATCTATCCTCTCTTCCATCCACTCTTCCATCCATACATCCATACATCCACTCATCCATCCCCACCCACCTACAGACCCACTCATTTATTCATCCATCCATTTACCCATCTGCCCAACCACCCATCATCCCACCCAACCATCCACACACTCATCCACCCAGCAAACCTTACAGAGCCCCCGTTACATGCCAGGCAAAGTCTCTGTCGGGGCAGAGATTGCTTGTTAGTAGGAGGAGACAGTCTCAACTAATTAAGCTAGCAAGCAAGGTAATATCAGATAATGATCAATGCTACAAGACAAAACAGAAGGGCAATAAGATGGCAACCAGCCAACAGGGGCCTGCTTGGATAGGATGCTCCCAGAGGAACATTCGAGCTGAACCCTGAGGGATGCAAAGGAACAAGCCCTGGAAGGAGCAGGGGGAACAGCATTCTGGGCAGAGGGAACAGCAAGTACAAAGGCTCTGAGGTGGGAAGGAGCAAAGAAAGGGATCCCAAGAGATCAGCCGATAGTGAGTGGGGGGCAAAGTCAGAGAGGGGTACAGGAAGTCTGGAATGTCTTCTGAGAGCAAGAGAAAACCATGCACGGGTCAGCAATAGCAAGATCGATCGGGTCAGGTTGATATTTTCAAAAGTTCCCTCCGGCTGCAGCTGCGGAGAACTTCCGGTTGGTGGGAGGTGGACTTACCCAAGTGGCTTAACCTCTCTGTGCCTCCCTTTCCTTGTCTGTCAGATGAGGATAGAGACACATGCCTGCCCCATAGTAGGTGTTCAATAAATCACTCCGAAGCCAGGCAGGGCCACAGCCTGTCCTTCTGAAGGCTCCTGCGGGCCCTCTGGTGTTCTGTAGAGGAAGGGGGCCCTGAGGCTGGGTGGGGCCTGCCGGGAGGTGGTGCTCCATCTTGCTTGGCTGGGTGGGGACTCCCAAGGAGGTGGTGCTCCAGGTGGGAGGTACTGTGAGAGGACCTGTGAGGTCTGCACATAGTTCCTGTCTGCCCAGCGGCAGCGTGTTTTGGGAGCCTCACCTGCTTTTCCTCTCTCACCCCTCCCCTGGGCCCTCTCTCTGCCCCATCTCTCCTCCGTGTGCTGCAGGTGAAGGCCGCCCTGTACCTGAGCTACATGCGGGCCGTGGACACCCCGCTCTGCCTCTACGCACTGTTCCTCTTCTTCTGCCAGCAAGTGGCCTCCTTCTGCCGCGGCTACTGGCTCAGCCTGTGGGTGGACGACCCCACCGTGGATGGGCGGCAGCCACAGGCGGCCACGCGAGGCTGGGTCTTCGGGCTCCTGGGATGCCTCCAAGGTACCCCTCCCTGACCTTCCTCACCCTCATCCCCATCCCAGGCGCTCGGGGATCCCTGGCCCTCCCATGCCTGAAGATTTGTGCGAATATCCTAGGTCCAAGCCCAGACCCGCGTCCTTAAGGTGGGAGGCGGGGGACACGGCACATCACTCCCTTTCTGGAACCCTTGGTCTCTACCATACTGCCTGGCAAATGCAGGCTGTCAGCCTCCAGAAGTTGGGGCAGCTGGATAAGATGGGGGCAGACACTTAGGTGGGGGCAGACATGACGATTCAGCTGGCTCCGCCTCTCCCCTCACCCTCACACAGAGGGCAAGCCCAAGGACTGACTACTGGGGACTGTCAGCACCCCCATCCCCACCCCTCCAGATGAGCTTTGTGTACTTTGTCCCTGCTTTTAGGGACACATACATTAAGAACTGTTGTCATCTTGAAGAACTGACCCACTATCATTTTTCCCTGCTAACGTTCCTTAGTCTGGGGTCTGCTCTGTTTGAAAATAAAAACAATACTAACTATAGAGCTATAATAGAGGGTGCCCCCCAAAAATATACACATTTGACAGCTGATGGCTCCATTGATGTTTCTTTTCAGATTTCACCCATCAGAACTATTATTTATTCAAAGCGTGTATACATTTTTGGGGACACCCTGTATACTAGCTATATGAATACATATCTAGTTTAAGCACCAAGAAAATGGATTGCCTTATAGGACTGGGATCCATAGATGAGTAGCTTCAGGTATGGCTGAATCCAGGGGTCCAATGAGGCTATAGGAATGGCTTTGTTTTCTTCCTCTGGGATAGCTTCCTGTCCAGGTAGGCTTCTCCCCCTCGTGATGAGATGATTGGTATGCCACAGCTCCATCTTGGCCACCTCAAAAAAGCAAGCACCTCTTTTCCAAAAGCCCCAGCAAAGTCCCAGGTCTCACTCTCATTGGCCCGTGTTGGGTCACGTGTTCATCCCTGAACCTACGGCAGTGGTTTGGGTTGGCCAGGAATGAAATCTGCCCCACCCCAGAAACAGGGAGTGAAGTTAGCCCCATTCCTAGCCCATAGCGTGGCATGGGAAGAAGGGAGTATATACAGTAAGTCTCCTAGGGCTACCATAAAACAAATAACCACACACTTGGTAGCTTAGAGAACAGAAATTACCTCACAGTCCTGAAGGCAGAAGTCCAAAATCAAGGAGTCGGCAGGATTGGTTCCTCTTGGAGGCTCTGAAGGAGGGTCCATCCCGTGCCTCTCTCTTAGTTTCTTCTGGTCACTGGCCATCCTGGCGTTCCTTAGCTTATAGCATGTCACTCCAGTCTCTGCCCCTGTCTTCACATCACCACCTGTGTCTCTGTGTGGCTTCTCAGCTGATTGATGTTTCTTTTCAGATTATACCCATCAGAATTATTAATTATTCAAAGCGTGTATACATTTTTGGGGACACCCTGTATACTAGCTATATGAATACATATCTAGTGTAAGCACCATATCTAATACATATCTAGTTTAAGTATATTTTTATTGATTTCAGAGAGAGAAAGGGAGAGAGCTAGAAACATCAATGATGACAGAGAATCATTGATTGGCTGCCTCAAGAGGAAAAAATAATATTCATTATGAATGAGGCATTGTTATACATTGGGATCAAGCCCACAACCCAGGCATGTGCCCTGACTGGGAATCGAACCGTGACCTCCTGGTTCATAGGTTGACTCTCAACCACTGAGCCAGGTGGGCGGTGCTCCTCTTCTTAAAAGGACACTAGTCATTGGATTTAGAACCCACCCTAAATCCGGAATGATTTTATCTCAAGATCTTTCACTAATAACATCTGCAAAGATCCTATTTCCAAATAAGATCACACTCTGAGGTGCCTGGTGGAGGGTGATTCCGTCTAGGGATCCTCAGGGTAGCCAAGTCATGGGCTGGCCACCATGGGTCGGGGTGAGGGTCCCAGCCCTCATGGTCTGACACCCTCTCTTCCCACAGCTATAGGGCTGCTTGCCTCCACGACCACCGTGCTCCTAGGGGGGATCCGGGCATCCAGCCGGCTCTTCCGGAGGCTCCTGTGGGACGTGGCACGGTCTCCCATCGGTTTCTTCGAGCGGACGCCCATGGGGAACCTGCTGAACCGCTTCTCCAAGGAGACGGACACCGTGGATGTGGACATCCCCGACAAACTCCGGTCCCTGCTGATTTACACCTTCGGACTCCTGGAGGTCAGCCTGGTGGTGACAGTGGCCACCCCGCTGGCTGCTGTGGCCATCCTGCCGCTGCTGCTCCTCTACACTTGGTTTCAGGTAGGGAGAGGCTGGGAAGCCTCCTGGGGTCCGCTGAGGTCACCTCAGTCAGCCCCCTGTCCCCGGGCAGGAGTCCGTGAAACAGGTTCTGCCCCGCTGGGCAGTGGGGGGCCACCCCTCAAGACTTCCCAGAGGCAGAGGCACCAGCCTACTTCTAACACCTGTTCTTACCTGTGTCTCCCAAATGTTCACCTCGAAGTTCCTCACAGCTAACATTTTGTCCTGCTGCTGCTGAAATGAGCTTCCTCCGCTCCAAATATTTGGAAACCAAAAAGGCATTGCAAGGGCTCAACGACTGCTTTAGACTAGACTCTTCCAGTGGCCAGAGACCCACTTACATCAGCTTCGACAGAGAATAGAATGTAATGGCTCACCTGCAGTCGTTGCAGTGGCCAGCTGTCACCAGGATGCCAGTCACTCTCTGTGGCCGAGTCATGAGCTGGCCACCATGGGTGGGGGTGAGGGTCCCCAACCCTCATGCTCTGACACCCTCTCTTTCCGCAGCTATAGGGCTGCTTGCCTCCATGGCCACAGTGCTCCTAGGGGGGATGGGTTGGGGAGGGCCTGGGCATCCAGCCTGCTCTTCCGGAGGCTCTTGCTCTTCTGGAGGCTCTATGGTTCTCAAAGTGTGGCCCTGGACCAGCAGAGAATTGCCTGAAAGCCAGTTAGAAATGTACATTCTCAGGCCCTACCCACAACCTACTGACTCTATGGGAGTTGGACATAGATATTTGGATTTTAATAAACTCTCCAGGTAATTCTGATACATTCAGATGTTTAAGAACCACTAACTTAGCTCTGCTTGGCCCAATTTTGCACACACTCTCTTTCCAATGGTCAGGCCTGATGGCCCTTTGCAACCCTATACTCACAGCATCCCACCTTAGCAACCCCAACACACACACACAAAATTTACTCCAGCTCAGTTTTCGTATATCAATCCCAGGGAAGACTCTTATTGGCATTTAGGGAGCATGTGTTTATCCCTGAACTAATCACTGTGACCAAAGGGATAGTTTACTCTGACTGGTTAGGTTGTATCATGTGACCACCTCTACAATCAGGTCCCACCATTGACTGGCACTTCCCTCAAAAAAAAAAAAAATTTTAAAAAAATCAGGAGTAGAGTAGAAGCAACCATGATAGTCAGACAAAAACTATGGCCACCACTGTCCTCCACAACGATCCCAGGTCTTCCCTACATCCTCTTGACTTGAGGAGGGACTACTTTTCCATTGAGAGCTTGGGAGTCAGGCAGAGGTGGATTTAAATTCAGGCCCGGCCACTTGCTGGAAACGGAGGTTTGGACCAGCTGCTTATTCCCTCTGAGCCTCAGGTGTTGCTCACCTGTAAACTGTGACTGCCACTAATGCCCACCTCACAATTACTCATTACTGTTTGTAAAGAGCCTGGCATGCAGCCCGTTTTTCAGCAAATGCACCTTCCCCTGTGCCAGCTGTACTCACTTGCAACAGCAAACCAATGAACAACACCTATTATCTGAGCATCATCATGGTCCCAGCACCTGGCATGTAACCCTAGAGTTAAAGAAATGAGTTCCACTCGGCCGACTGCCTTCCTTGCCCTTTATGGTTTTGTTCCCGGGTAACTGGCCCTAAGTAAAGCAGTTGGCCCTGGAGCTGGGGATGAAACATTTGCACTAGATTAGTGGTTTCTCGATCCTGGTTGTACAGTAGAATTACCAGGAAGGAGTTTGAAACATACCAAGGCCTGGGTGACTCCACCAGAGATCTGATGGAATAGGTCTGGGTTGGGGCACTGGAGGTTTTTGAATCATCCCTGGTGATTTTAAAAAGAACTATTTGCAAGGAAACTGGCGTTCAGAGAGGGAAAGCAACTGGCCCAAGGTCACACAGCACACTAGTAACAGTACTTAGGATTCCCTGAGCTTCTCAAATCACCTCTCTGTGTCTGTGACTTCTCCTCTTCCCACCTCCCCCCCTCCCCCCAGAGCCTGTACGTGGCCACTTCATGCCAACTCAGACGCATGGAGTCAGCCAGGCACTCCTTCGTGTGTTCCCACGTGGCGGAGACGTTCCAGGGCGGCCCAGTGGTCAGGGCCTTCCGGGCCCAGCGCCCCTTCATGGCTCAGAACAATGCCCACATGGATGAAAGCCAGCGAGTCAGTTTCCCACGGCTGGTGGCTGACAGGTAGGAAGGAGGCAGAGAAGACTTTACAATCCATCTGTGTCCTCAGACACAGATATCATATTGTGTGGCCAGGGAGGTAAAGTGGCCTGCTCAAGGTCACACAGTGCGCTGGGGAGAAAGCTGGGTTCTGAGGGTGTACTTGGCTTACACTGTGAGCGGATGGAACCTAGCCTGAGGGCTTCCCAATAGCAGGTGGGCAGGGAGGCACAGATGTCAGCAAAAGGGAAGATGCCTCTGTTGCCTTGGTGACAAGGCAGCAACATAAGCATCCTCCACCTTGTCTCAGTACTAAGCAAGAACAAAAACACAAGCTTTGAGCAGAGACAGACATGGGTTCAAATCCCAGCTCTGAGCTGGGTGTTCTTGGGCAAGTTATTATATATAACCTCTCTGAGCCTCATTTGTCCAAGTGGGATTACACTCAAAGAGTGGCGATGAGGATTAAATAAATACACTCATAGCTAATAATTATAACATGCTTATTACGTGTTCAGTACTGAGCACGCTACATGGATCAATTGATTCAATCCCATCAATAACCCCGTGAGGCAGAGACTGTTTTATACATGATGAATCTTAGGCAGAGAGGGATTTAGGAACTTGCCCAGGGCCACACAGTGAATATGTGGTAGAACCAGGATTTGAACCCAAGGAGTCTAGTACCAGAATACAGAGAGGGTCAAGCACACAATTTATTCAGTAGGTGCTCAATAAATATGAATTATTTTCTCCCTTTTGCCAGCTCCCAGTCAGCTGGGGCGATCAGGCTCTGTAGCTCTGAGCAGCATCTCAAGGCCATTGTGCCTTCCTGGAGTCCTCGCCTCGGGAGGAGAAACCTTCCGAACATTTAGAGAGCACCTACGCTGTGCAAGCCTCAGTGATTTCCACACTGTATATAGCACCTCTCACTGGAACCTCAACTGTAAGGAATCAGATGTCACTTCACTCCACAGATGGCTACACCTGGGTTCAAAGAAGCGGAGGGTGTCCCCAAGGTCTAGGGAGTGGGAGACGGGTTCTTTGGCATTCACTTGTTAGTTGGTTCATTGAGAAAAAGGACCTGTTGGAAAGGGAATGTGCTTTCTGGCATCACTCAGACAGATGTGGCCTCAAATCCTGACGCTTGTTATGTGTCTGGACTTAAGCAAGTACCTTACCCTTCTGAGCCTCAGCGTCCTCAGCTGTCAAATGGGGACAACAACAACCCGTGGGGTTGTTGGGGGGACTCGGTGTTATATGTAGAAAGCCCAGCATTCCCTAAAGACAGGGATTTTTATTCTTTTGGTTCATGGTTGTACCCCCAGCCCCTCCAATATGCGTAGCGTACAATAGGTGCTCAATACACATCTGTTAACGAATGAATGAATTAATTAATTAATGAATGAATGGTAGAGTAGAAATTCAATATATTTGTCGAGCATCTACTCTGGGCTGGGTCCTATGCTAGGTTCTGGGGACAGAGCCATGAAGGAGACCAAGCCACTGCCTTCTCGGAGCTCACAATCTCCTGATGGAGACTGAGAATCCAGGACTGATTAAGTAGTTGAATTATAAAGCATGACAACAACTGTCATGAAGGAAGTTACCAGAGCTGTGTCAGAGAGAAAGGCAGGAGCAGTCCTGGAGGGCTCTCTGAGGAGGTGATGTTCGAGCTGACCTGTGCATGAACATAAGATGGTGGCCACGTGAACATGGAGACTGGGTTTAGTCCGGAAAACATAAGGGTATATGACTTGGCATATCCCAAGCACAGAATATTGGCAGCACGGCAAAGCTTACCTAAAGCACCTACTGTGCGACGAGCCCTGCACTAGGCACAGGTGAGACAGCATCAGTTCCCCCACCCTCTGAGCTTGGGTGGGGCCTGGGTGTGGAGGAGGCCATGGTCAGGACCCTCATGGGCACTCGAGCTGGCACCATGATCAGGCTTTGTGCCCAGAGGGGCAGGTCCCACAGAGAGGGCCCCCGCTGACCCTGCTGTTACCCGCACCCCCTTTCAGGTGGCTCGCTGCCAACCTGGAGCTCCTGGGGAACGGGCTGGTGTTTGCCGCTGCCACGTGCGCCGTGCTGAGCAAGGCCCATCTCAGCGCGGGCCTCGTGGGCTTCTCCGTCTCCGCCGCTCTCCAGGTACTCCCGACACCCCACCCTGATTTCCCAGGAGCAGGCAGGACAGAGACAGACAGATTCATGGGAGGGGGGCCTTCAAGGGCCCAAGTCCAAACTACCGACCAGTGAGGACAAGAAGGCTCTTACGAGAGCTTAGCTGAGGTGACCTTGCTGGACCTTGAGCAAGAGTCTTCCTTCTCTGAACCTCAGTGAGCTCATCTGGAAAATGGGGTAGCAATCCCTCCACTAGCTGAGATAAAGTATACAGAGTGCATTCCCAGTGCATTGTTAACTTCTTGGTATCTATTAATAATAATATTTGATGTCAGGTCATGACATCTGTGAAGGGAAAAATATACATGTACAATAAGTAACATTCATTATGAATGAGGCATTGTTCGAAGAGCTTTGTAAACATTAACTCATTTAATCCTTCCCCCTGCCCCATCAGGGGTACTGTTATTATCCCCATTTTACAGTTGAGGTAACTAAGGGTGAGGATAAAGCAAGGTGAGAGGTTGAAGCTGGTGGGTGGGTATTCCTCTATTGCTTGGCCTGGAAGGCCTCTCTGTGGAGGGGGCTCGTGAGCTGTGGCCCAGGGGGAGGCTGGGAGGGAGAGAGGGAGGGAATTAGAGAGGAATCTTTCCTAGGGAAGGGACCAGCAGGAGGAAAGGCCCTGGGATGAAGGGAGGGTGCACTAGAGCAGTGGTCGGCAAACTGCGGCTCACGAACCCCATGCGGGCCTTGTGGGCTTCATCCCTTTGGCCCCTTGAGTGTGGCTCTTCCACAAAATACCACGGCCTGGGTGAGTCTATTTTGAAGAAGTGGCGTTAAAAGAAGTTTAAGTTTTAAAATTTGGCTCTCAAAAGAAAGTTCAATCGTTGTCCTGTTGATATTTGGCTCTGTTGACTAATGAGTTTGCTGACTACTGCTCTAGTCTAGAGGAACAGCAAGCAGGTGGTATGGTTGGAGAGTGCGGGCAAGGGCGAGTCTGGAGGGAAGTGAGTTTGGAGAGAGGAGAGTGGGCCCTGGTGAGAGGCTGCACATGGTTCCAAGTGTGATGAGCAATCGGGGGAGGAAAACCTCTCAGAACAAGTCAGAGGGCCTGGGTCCTGCTGGGTGTCCTTGGGAGGGCCATGCACCCTCTCTGGTCCTGTCCCCCCACCACCTGTATCAAGACAAGGTGGACAAGCTGACATCTGAGGGCTCCTTTCTGCTCTGCATGCCCTGGTTCTACAGAAAGGAGAGGGGAGTCCTGGAGGCTGCAGCCAAGTCTAGTCCCCTTGTCTGCCCCGAGGCCTCCCTCCCCGTCCCTGCCAGGGGAGCTGATGCAAACCTGTGGGTGGTTTTACTCCAGCCAATGAGGTGTCTTCTCACACCAGGTGACCCAGACGCTGCAGTGGGCTGTCCGCAGCTGGACAGACCTGGAGAGCAGCATCGTGTCAGTGGAGCGGATGCAGGACTACACTCGGACACCCAAGGAGGTGATGGGGGGCAGTAGTGGGGGTGAAGGGTCTGCCCCATCTGGGACTTAGAGCAGAGGGCACTGGGCTCAGGTGCACTCTGCCCTGGGCTTGGAGCTCCCACCACAGTAGGTTGGAGTCCCAGCCAGGGCCACACTGATGGTTGAGAGCATGGGGTCTGGAGCCAAGTCAGATCCTGGGTCCTTCGCTTCCTTGATAGGGCAAGCAGGTCCTTCTTCTGAGTGACGGACAGGAGGAACAGGAATGCCACCGCCAGCTAACAGCACATGATAGCGACATCACAGGGACAGAAGAGCAGCAGAGCCACTGGCAGTGCTGGGTACACTGGAGGGTCACGTGAGATTCCACAATGAAGGACTTAGTGCAGGGTCTGACACAACATAAACAATCAACACATGCGCACTGCTCTCATTAATCCCATTTCACAGATGGGGAAACTGGGACTCAAGAAGGTGGAGTGACCTGTTCAAGGTCACAGGAATACCAATGGCAGCATTGGGCTCCCTGCCCTCTTTACAAAGGCAAAAAAGAGGACCTACCCTACTAGAGGAAGAGAGAGTGTTATTTGACAATTAACGGTGGCTAATAATAATTTCAAAAGATAAAGAATAGCCAGCACCATCATTTTTATGATACCAGATGTTCATTTTTAGTTTTGCTATGTTCCAGGTCCCTATAAAATAGCAGTAAGCACGCCCATTTTACAGAGGAGGAAACTGAGGCTCAAAGAGGTAAACCATTTGTGAGAAGGGCTCCTCAGACGCAGTGTCCCCTTCTGCCCCAGGCGCCCTGGACCCTGCCCACCTGTGCAGCCCAGCCCCCCTGGCCCTGTGGGGGCCAGATCGAGTTCCGGGATTTGGGGCTGAGACACCGGCCTGAGCTCCCGCTGGCCGTGCGGGGGGTGTCGTTCAAGATCCAAGCAGGAGAGAAGGTGAGCAGCTCTCCCAGGCCTTCCTCCTAATGGGAGCCAGGCCACAGGGCAGCCGGAGGGGACTCAGGGCCATGGCGAGGCTGGGCATCACCCCAGGGCTCAGGCCCTGACCACCTGCCTCCTCCACATCCCCACCTCGGGGCACCACCACCCCTAAATGAACTTATCTTACCAAACCTGACTCCGCCAGGGGGAAACCCACCCACCCGCCCGCCTTGGAGGCATCTCCCCGACTTCCTTTTTCTTTTTTTCTTGAGCATTAGTTGAAATATCGGGCAAAGGGCTAAATGCTCCACATACTTCGTCCGGTTTCATGGGCTCAGTTCCTGGCTTTGCCAAGGCTCACCTCAGGCAAGTTACTTCATGAATCAGTTTTTCCATCTGTAAATGGTAACGACAATGTCAGCGTCACATAGAGGTGTCCTGAAGTTTAACCGAGTTAATACGTATGAACTGCCTGGAACAGTGCCTGGAACAGAGCACACGCCCCAGGAATGTCTACGGGTGCTTTCACTCATTAGCATTTGCCTTTTCACTCTGACAACAACCCTATGAGGAAGGCGCTAGTATTGTCCCATTTATCCCATTAGTCAGGCCTCTTCACTGAATCCCTCTACTCCCTCCCTACCTGGCGACACTTCCTCCCTGAAGGCCTCCTTGCCCCCCCCTCCCCATGGCTCCAGGCCCCCACCCTCCAATCTGTTCGCCTGTGACCTTTATCTGAGCATGTCTTTCCCCTGCTCGAGACCTTCCGCCTGCTCCAGGCTTTCTTCAGGGCAAAGCCCAAACTCCTGAGCTTGGCAGTCAAGGTCCTGCCCAGCTCTCTTCTGCATTCAGAGCCCTGCCAGGGCTTAGTCCACACTTGTGGAGCAGCTGCCTCTGGGAGCTCAGGGAGCTTTCAATCTAGCACTGTGGTTTACCTGGAATCACCCCCCCCCCCCCCTTGAACTCCTGCTTACCTTTCAACATCCCCCTCAAGTACCCCTCCCTCTCCTCCATGAAGCCTTCTCTGATTACCCCACCAACCCCTCTCCACGGGAGTAGGAACAGCACCTCCTGGCTTAGCTCCATCGCTGCAGGTCCGAAGCTTGATGGAAGGATGGGGGATGGGTGGCTGGGATGGGGATGGATGGAAGGATGGGGGATGGATGGCTGGGATGGGGATGAATGGAAGGATGGGGGATGGATGGCTGGGATGGGATGGATGGAAGGATGGGGGATGGATGGCTGGGATGGGGATGGATAGAAGGATGGGGGATGGATGGCTGGGATGGGATGGATGGAAGGATGGGGGATGGATGGCTGGAAGGATGGGGATGGATGGCTGGGATGGGGATGGATAGAAGGATGGGGGATGGATGGCTGGGATGGGATGGATGGAAGGATGGGGGATGGATGGCTGGGATGGGATGGATGGAAGGATGGGGGATGGATGGCTGGGATGGGATGGATGGAAGGATGGGGGATGGATGGCTGGGATGGGATGGATGGCTGGGATGGAGGATGGATGGCTGGGATGGGATGGATGGAAGGATGGGGGATGGATGGCTGGGATGGGGGATGGATGGCTGGGATGGGATGGATGAAGGAAGGATGATGGTTAGATGGCTGGACAGGAGGTAGTGGGAGAAAGGATGAGATGGATAGAAGGATGGGGGACAGATGGAAGGATGGGGCATGAATAAAATGATATGGGGATGGGAGGCAGAATGGGATGATGGAGGGCTGTGGATGGAAGAATGAGGGAAATGGAGGCACAGAGGAGGGTACGGATATTGAAGGAAGGTTGTGGGAATAGTTGGAAAGATTGGAGAGACATGTTAGGATGAGGGAAAGGTAGAGAAGAATGCACAGACAGAAGGTTGGGTGTATCAACGGATGGATATAGGGAAAGTTGGGTAGATGGAAGAATGAATGCTCAAAGGATGATGAGTAGCTGGGCGGATGGATCTTGGGTGCAGGGGAAACATCTCCCAAAGAGATGCCCAGGAAACCTAGGCTGTACCTGCCTTCTTCTGGCCCGGCCTACTCACAATGGCCTTGCCCTCTCATCCCCTGGCAGGTGGGCATCGTTGGCAGGACGGGGGCAGGGAAGTCCACCCTGGCCGGGGGCCTGCTGCGGCTCCTGGAGGCCGCGGAGGGTGAGGTCTGGATCGACGGGGTCCCCATCAGCCACGTGGGGCTGCACACACTGCGGTCCAGGATCACCATCATCCTCCAGGTGAGGCCTCGGGACAGGGTGAGCAGAGGTGGGATCGAGGCTGGGCCAGCCCTGACCCATTGCCCGTCGTGGCTAGGACCCCATCCTGTTCCCCGGCTCTCTGAGGAGGAACCTCGACATGCTACAGGAGCACACGGACGAAGCCATCTGGAAGGCCCTGGAGACAGTGCAGCTCAGAGCCCTGGTGGCCAGCCTGCCCGGCCAGCTGCAGTACGAGTGTGCCGACCAAGGCGATGACCTCAGGTAGGGCTACCCCACAGCCTGGAGCTCAGGGGAGCTGGAGGGAGAGGCAAGTATGGCCAAGGCTCTCCCCAGGGGCAGTGTGCCCTGGAAGTGTGCCTTCCCCATAGAGCAACAACCCCATCTTACCTAATAGACAAACATGTAAATTGACCGTACCTCCCCTACACTCTCCTCTGATCAGGAGTGTGTATGCAAATTAACCCACCAAAGATGCCAGGTTAATTTGCATATGCAGGCACAGAGCGAAGACTGAAGACTGAGTGCTCGGCCTATGGCAGGAGCCAAGCTTGAAGGCTGCAGGCTTGGCTCTGCTGCAGCCCGGGTCCCGAGTGACGGAGGAAAACCAGGGCCTACAGCCAAGGGAAGGATTCAGCCTATTGCATGAATCTTCGTGCAACGGGCCTCTAGTTCTATTAATAATCAGGGTAGGAACCCCATCCCTTGTCAGCAGTTCCAAACTCCAACACAATCTCTGAATATCACGTTTCTTTTTCCTAAACTCGGTTGCCCAAGTTAGTTAGTGGCAAAACCCAACCCCTACTGACACGAGACCAAGTACAGCCTTTATCCCACTCAGCACTTACTTTGCTATAGAAATAACGTGTACAATATTGGGTGCGGACCCATGCCCTCTGAGGGTATCAAGCACGCCTTTGAAAGCTTTTTTTTTCAAAATGTAGTAAAATACACACCATAAAATGGACCCTCTTACCCATTTTAAGTGTATACTTCAGTAGCACTGAGCACATTTACCTCACTGTGCTACCCAACTCCAGAGCTTTTTCATCTTGCGAAACTGAAACTCAGGACCCTTTAAGCAATTCCCTATTTCCCCCTCCTCCCAGGGGAACTGAGGCATGGCGGGTTTGGATGACTTCGCCTAAAGTCACCCTGGTCAAAAAAATGGCAGGATGGGGATTCCTACCAGCTCTGCGGACGGGGGACCCACCACTCCTGTGGCTGTTGTGGAGACGCCTTGGGGGGCATGCCCTGCACACCCTGATGTGCAGACACACACACAGCGGGCCTGACTGCCCCCCTCCCTCCCTCCCAGCCTGGGCCAGAAGCAGCTGCTGTGTCTGGCCCGCGCCCTTCTCCGGAAAACCCAGATCCTCATCCTGGACGAGGCCACGGCCGCCGTGGACCCGGGGACGGAGCTCCAGATGCAGGCCGCCCTGGAGAGCTGGTTTGCCCAGTGCACGGTGCTGCTCATTGCCCACCGCCTGCGCTCCGTGATGGACTGCGCCAGGTAAGGCCCCCCCAAGCCACTGGCCCCAGGACCCCGCAGTGGTGAGGAAGGCATCCGCCTCTAGAGCTGGAATGGTGATGGAGTGGATTATCAGGTGCCCATGGCACAGGTGGCAAGACTGGCACCCAAAGGGGAAGAGATGAGCCCAGGGACAGATGCCCAGTAGATGCTTACATCCAGGAAACCACACAGAAGGACACACTTCTGGGGAGCAAACCTCAGAGCAGGCATGCTGGGCTCTCCGAGCGGCCCAGGGGCCAGGCTGGTGTCCAAGGAGCTGCCTCTCTCTCTCTCCCCCCCATGCAGGGTGCTGGTCATGGACAAGGGGCAGGTGGCAGAGAGCGGCAGCCCCGCCCAGCTGCTGGCCCAGAAGGGCCTGTTCTATAGGCTGGCACAGGAGTCTGGCATGGTCTGAGCCAGACCCCTCAACCCTCCCGCCACGCCAACCCGGAAAGACGTGCCATGCCCCGGAGAGACCAGTGACCTGGGGTCGTCAGCGGAGTCCAGACCCCTCTGCTCTCCGGGAGAGTGGACGATCGTCACAGACCCAGGAGGATGCAGCCCCCAAGGACGGCCCGACCAGAGCCCGCCCAGCCTGTCCATCCCGGAGCTGAAGTGGGCAGTGGCTCTCAGCCCTGGCTGCCCATGGGACCCACCTGGGGACTCAAGACCTGCCCACACCCAGTCTCCACCACAGACCAATGAAATCACTAACCCTGTGGCAGGGAATGGTGTGTGTACTTTCCCAAAGTAACCCTTTTATTTTGAGATGAGTGTAGAGTGACCAGCAGTTTTAAGAAATAATCCACAGAATGCCTGTGCACCCTTTTCCATTTCCCCTAAAAGTAACACCTTGAACACTAGTGTGGTATCACAACCAGGATACTGACCATACACAGATCCTGCTCAGATTTCCCACTGTACTAGTACGTGTGTGTGTGTGTGTGTGTGTGTGTGTGTGTGACTTCTAAAACAACTGTATCACACGTATAGTTGGCATCCACCACCACCTCCATCACCACAACGACCCCTGGAGCTGCCGTTCTGTGACCACACCCCTCCCTCCTGCCTCTGTGATGTTCTCCATTTTGGCACCCTGTGTCTTTTTAAAGCTCCCCGTATGATCCCAACATGCACCAGAACTGAACCCCATGGCTCCTTCTGCTCCTCCCACCGTTGTACACAAACTCCAAAAGCATCTGGTCTGAATTGGACACGCATGCCACAACCCACACCCCATCCCACAGCACGATGGCCTCTGGGCACAAGCACGTGCACACCAGCACACAGTTCCAGCTCCGAAGGCAAGAGAGGGGCCGGGACTTCTTAAGAAGTCCTGAGGGGAAACGCTCAGGACTCAGCACCTGTCTTACATCTGCTTGTTAAAGACCAAATTCCAGCTTTTGCGGGGAGCCCCAGAAGCAGTCAGCACATCCCGGGCGTTTCTGTTCACACTTTCCCGAGGAGGAAATGTGAAATGTGGGAAATGCTGCTGTGGGTCAGAGGTCAGAGGTCAGAGGTCAGGGTGGTGAAGGGCAGCACCCGCATGTGCTCAGGCCTGTTTCAGACAGCGGTCGGAATCCTAGTGCAGGACTCTTACAACTGCCTTCAGGCACCGGGAAAGGGGGCTCGACTCTCAAGTAACCAACTCCGAGGTTCCCCAGACCCAGCTCACGGTAAAGCGCCGCGAGAGCAGTGAGACAACCCTGGCTCCTCACGGGCCTCATGGCATTGCTGCAGGGAGAGAGGAATCTAACACACAGAGACGTGTGCAGAGCCGATCTGGGCACAATGTTAAGTGCTCAGTAAGCGTCATGATGGTCGTTGTGTCTGAGGGCCTCTGTGGGCATCAGGAGGGATCTATAACCAGGATCTTTATTCTGGTCACTACCCACACGTGGGGTAGGTAATTCTCTGCCAGGTGGGCTGTCCTGGGCACTGTAGGATGCAAAGCAGCATCCCTGGCCTCCACCCACTAGATGCCAGTAGTACCCCCACCTCCAGTTGTGACAAAAATGTCTCCAGATGTTGCCAGATGTCCTGGAGGGAGTCAAAATCACTCAGTCCAGTCACTGGGCTAGCCTGGCCCGTTGCCAGCAATAACCTGCTGAGACCCAGGCAGTGGCTGTGCTGGTGTGTCAACAGGGGCCTGTGGAGACCCACCTGCCTGACGGAACACAGCCTGCTCTGCCTTGTCAGCTCACAGGAACGTCCTAATGGGACATCCTGACACAGGTGTCCAGCCCGGAGCAATCCAGACGTTAACGGCGGCTTCCATCTCCCTCGGCTGAGATGTGTCGAGAAGCACATTTTGATGACTTCAGACTGGGGTAGGGCATCTGCACCTCTTGCCTATACCGTTGTGCCTCCGAAGTGCTGGCCCCACCGTTACTGGCAATTACTAGCTCCATTTCGCAGGTGAGGAAACGGAGGCTCAGACAGCTGACATGACCTGCGGAGGTCAGTCAGTCAGTAAATGGGGGAGAGGGGATCTGCCCCGGGGGCCATCTCTCACCAAAGCCCAAGTCATCGTGTGGGCTGGTCTCTCCAACTTGGAAGCACGGAAAGGGACCCGGCCTAGTGCTTCTCGGTGCTCTGCCGGGAGCTGAGCCACCGGACGGCAAAGGCGGCAGCAGCTGCTGCGTGTTTGGCAGACTCACTTGGGATCATCCAGGGTCACAAAAGCCTCCTTTCACGGAAGGAGATGGTCTGCCGGGGGCAGAGTGTGGGCCACAGGAGCCAGCGCCCCCAAGCCTGCTGACAAGGCTGCTGCTGGCCTCCAGCCTTGCTGTGGGGACCAGCCTGCAGGCCACCCAGGCCACTAATCCCCCGCCGTGGCTCCTGCCGGCAGAGCCTGGCTGGCGGGGAACATGCACATCCATGCACACACGTGGAGCTGGTCGTACCTGCGTAATCCTTTACTTCGTTTCTGGCCTGAGACACTTACGGGTGGGTGTGAGTCATCCACATTCTCCCTTCTATGGTGAGCTGGAAGCCGGCTCCTGAGAAGCCGTGTCAAAAGCCCAGAGCAGCCTGGCTCTCACGGTCGCTGCCTGGCAGGGAGTGACCCTGTGGGGGCGCCTGACCCTCACCAGGAAGTGGATGAGCAAGAAATAGAAGCCTTGTGTTCATCTCCCACGAATTTATGGTTGCAGCCTGAACTATCTTCCCGGCCTAGCCTATCCTAATACCAAGGGATGTTCCAGGGCAATGGAGGCCACGTGACTTTTGTCTCAGAACCCGACCTGGGCCACGCACACTTCACTGCTCATCTTCACAGCAATCCCACCGTGCAGGTGTGATCAGCTCCACTTTACAGACGAGGCAGCAGAGACGAAGTGACTTGCCCAGGGCCACACAGCCAGCAAGTGACAAAGGCAGGACTCAGGCCAGGTTTGTCTGAGCCCAGGCTCTGTCCACGCTCACTCCCCCCTCTACCCCGCACAGTTCTTAACCTCTAGGCTCCCATTCCCGACAGGGGCTCCCACTAGCGATGGCACGTTTGCCAACAGGAAAGAAGGAAAGCCGACGAGAGGGGAGCCTCGTGCTGACTCCCAGAGGAGAGGGCTGAAACCCCAAAGAAAATGGAATCGTCATTAGAAAGAAATAAATTTTTTTTTTTTTACTGCAAATTGCTTGTAAATGTCCTCGTTTTCCAGTGTAAGTCATTACAAAAACGATCCCCAAGAAAAACTTGGTTTATCTAATGTGAAAGAAGGGTATAACTTACAAAAAATAAATATATTTTTCCACCTAAAGGAAGATGCTTTTCTGGATTTGAAGTCAGCAAGGGAATCCCCGGGCAGCACTGGCCACTGCTCTGTGGGTCTTCCCGGGTCTCCGAGCCTTCGAGGGTGGGCCCTGGAGGCTCCACTCCGCTTTTTCTTTGGGAGCCGGCAGGCCCGCCGTCGGACGCCGGCCACCTTGGCTTTCCCTGGGAGAGCTGCTCCCGGCCCAACTCTGCCGCCCAAGAAATTCAAGTTGAGACAGTGTTTCTCCCTGGAGCAGTACTTAAAAAAAAAAAAAAAAAAAAAAAAAAAAATCACTGATATTCGTGAATGGGTTCTTTCCTTGTCCTGGAACATACTCAATAACTACACGTCCAGATCTCCACACTGCCACCTCCGACAGCTAGGAGGAACTGAAATCTAAATACGAGGAGAAGTCTCAACGGAGCTCAATTCAGCACCCGCTGGCCATCCGCAGCGGTGCCCAGTGCTCCTGGCTTTGAACCCTTTATAACCACGAGCAAACCTCTTCCAGGTGCCTCAAGGTAATCCGTTCTAGCAACTGGCAGGAAGAGGCAGTAGGAAAGGCAGAGAAAAGGCCAGAGTGGATAAAGGAGTGTGGGAAACTGGTACTGAGAGAGGATCCCCAGCCCTGGAGCTCCAGGTCCAGCCCGTCTTGCCAGCGAGAAGCCCGTGGGTGACGAGGCTGCCTCTGGCCTGTGCTGGGGCGCCGGCTCTGTGTCCAAGCGCCCAGAAGACGGGATGGATGGTAAGAGGAGTGTCCACTGGCCCCCAGGACACCGCCCGAGGGTGAGGATGATCTTCACCAGGCCCCGCACCTCCAAACAGCAGCCCCAAGGCGACGAGGCGTTCTGGGTGGAGCCCAGATGTGAGAGGCGCTGGGACGGCAGCCGGGGCCGAAGGCTCGGAATCCCAGACTTTGGCCACAGAGCTTTGAGGCAGTTGGCTGGCTTTGGTCACTAGCATGTTTTACGCAACCGGTTTCTCGGGAGGTCTGGCTGCCAAACCGCCCTGCGGAGCACCACGCGCACGAGCGGGCCCTCCGGGCTGTGCGTGGCCGGTGCGTCCTGCGGGGGCCCAGGCGAGGCTGTGAGTGGCCGGTGCGTCCTGCGGGGCGCCAGGCGAGGCTGTGCGTGTCTTTGGCGGGCTGCCTCCGTGTCCCCCCTGCTTCTTCACAGCCAATTCCAGGCGGCAGACCGGAGGGTGGCTGCTTTGTGGTTTTGTCTTATTGGGTTTGGTTTTCTTTCCTTTTTTGGTTTCAGTATATGGGACGCCTGGGTTCCCAAAGAGGCCGACTCATCCTGGCCGAGGCGTGTGGGCCCTGCGGGTCCGACCAGACGCACCGGCGCTGGGCTCACACCAGGCCGGCGTCTTTGGCCATGCTGTGGAACAGGCCTCTCTGCTGCAGGAGCTCCGAGGGGGCGCCGCACTCCCGGATCTCTCCTTTGTCCAGGACGATCACCCTGCAAGGGGAGGGCGCGCAGACGTGAGTGGTAGGAGGGGTTGGCACCTCAGGCCCGCGAGAGCCCAGCGTGGCAGATCCCGGCTCTGGGTCAGGCCCCTCACCTCTGTCAGGACTGCTGCAGTAGCCTTCCAACTGGTGACCCCTTCTCAAGCCCTATTCCTAGTCAATGTCCTGTGATGCTACCCACGACACTCGCTATCATCTGCTCTGTTTCCTTCCCAGCACAACTTGCTTTTATTTATTGCCGTGTTTATTATCGGTCCCTGCACCCAGCCCCCAGCTCATCTACAAGGTCCCTCAGCAGGCTTCCTGCTGAGTCCCCAGTACCTGGGACAGGGCCGGCTTTGTGGCGGGCACTGCACATGTGATGACAGAATAAATGACTAAGTGACGTCAAAAATACCTGGTACTACCCTGGATAAAGCGAGGTCCCACCAACTGGGGCTGTCCCTATGCACAGCACAGTGCTGAATGAATGAGTGAATGAGTGAGTGAGGTGAGCACCGAGGCCTAGAGGCCTTCTGTGCCAGAGCCTTCACCTGGTGTAGTCCATGATGGTGTTGAGACGGTGAGCGATGGTGAGGACAGTACAATCTTCGAACTGTGTCCGGATGGTGGACTGAATGAGGTCATCGGTTTCCAGGTCCACGGCCGCCGTGGCCTCATCCAACACCAGGATCTTCGTCTTCCTCAGCAAGGCCCGGGCCAGGCACACGAGCTGGCGCTGCCCAACACTTGACCAGGAGAAAAACACGAGGAGACAGAGCGTCACAACCACCCCTGAGCCTGAGCCCTGGCCTGCGCTGGGAGGAGGGAGAAGAGACTCGGTGCTGCTCGGAGCAGGAGAGGGTCCACTCCCACACCCGGCCGAAGGCAGGCATCACTAGTCCATCACAACGTTCCTCCTGTCGCGGAAGCCAGCTCGGGGCCATTCTCGGCACAAGGCTCAGAGGAATACTCCAACACTTGACATGTTCAGCGTTGGGAGTGTGACAGGCAGCCAAAGGGGCCCCATATCCAGGCCCTCACTACTGACTCTGGATTCAACCATGTGCCTTGCTTTGGCCAATGGGGTGATGGCAAATATAAGGTCGGCAGAAGCTTGACATGGAAATACATGCCATGGTTTGCGCCTCTGCCATCACCATGACAACGCGCCTGGGCTGGTCTGCTGGAGGCTGAGGGACATGAACTGCCCCGACGGAAGCCAATCAGGTCAGCCAATGGCAGTGGACCCCCAGCCACATGAGTGAGCCGTCATGAAACCTGGCCGGAACCCACTTCATAGATACTGAAACCGAGGCTCCTCTAAGAACCAAAAGGCTCACGTGTGGCAGAGCTGGGACTCACACCTGCATCGGACACAGGTGCCAAAGGACGGAATCGTCACGCGCCCTGACCGAGGGGAAGCCGAGGAGGCCCCGCCGGCCCCCGACCTACCCACCTCAGGTTCTCCCCGCCCTCCGTGCACTCGTGGTTCAGCTTGTCGGGAAGCGCGGACACGAAGGTCTTCAGGTGAGCCAGCTCCAGCGACGTCCAGACCTCTTCGTCCGAGTACTGGCTGAACGGGTCCAGGTTCATGCGGAGAGAACCCGAAAACAAGATGGGGTCCTGTCCAGAGAGAAAACGGCAGGCAGCGCGTGAGGCTCGCCGTCAGCGGGGCGTGGAGGGGACAGAGGTGGACACAGGGAGTTCTTGTCACAATTGTTCACGATGGGGCATGAGAGTTCCTCAGAATCACTATATCCAGAGATATTAACAACAGGGGGGAAATCTGGAAATCTCTGCGTTAGATGAAATAAAAACAGATTACTTTTTTTTTGATAAAGCTTCCCGGAACCTTCAATATGCAAATGTGTCAGGAACCTTCCAGAAAGATGTGACATGGTTAATTCCTAATCGTCAAGTACTGTCGATTCCTCTCCATTCCCTGCCTCCAAAAAAAAAAAATCTTAGAAGAAATTTCAGGAAAAATAACATTAAAAAGCATCATATTAGGGAATCAGCACCTTCAGGAATCAGTCTAGAAAATGCTTTTTTTTAAAAAAAACCACATCTGTAGTATTTTTTAACATATATTTTCATTGATTTCAGAGAGGAAGGAAGAGAGAGGAACATCAATGATGAGAGAGAATCATTGGTCGGCCCCCTCCTGCACACCCCCAACTGGGGATCGAGCCTGCAACCTGGGCATGTGCCCTGACTGGGAATCTAACCAGGACCTCTTGGTTCATAGATCGAGGCTCAACCACTGAGCCACGCCGGTGGGGCCAGAATATTCTTCTCATTTCGCTCTGGGAAGGTAAGAGAGGCTTGTCCTGACTGACAGCAGCAGGAAGCCGGAGCCTACGCATCCCGTTAGCTGCTCTGGGTGGCAAAGCGCAGGGAGGACACCTGGTTAACTCCCACTGCTATTGACATGCCAAGAGGAGATTCAGCGGAGGAGCGACCTAGCATGGTTTTAGCAGAGTAATAAAGTAGGAACACATTTACATCTGTACACTGAGGACAGGCACGCACTGCTCTCAGTGGCACCCAGCGCTCCGGGGCCTCACACAGACCCACCTGGGGGATGATGGTGATCTTGAAGCGGAGATCGTGCAGGCCGATTTTGGCAATGTTGACGTCGTCAATAATGATCTCTCCTTCGGAACACTCCTTGATCCGAAACAAGCCCAGGGTCAGGGATGACTTCCCGGCTCCCGTCCGCCCCACGATGCCAACCTGGGGGACAGGAAGGACCAGCGTGAGGTGAGAATGCTGCTCTCTGGCGGATACCTCCTGTCTCAGAATACCCTCCTGCCAGATAGCTGCCCCAGAGCAGTTCAATCATCTGGTCAACCCACTCCCACCACAGCCTCTCCGCTCCAGCTTCCTAGAGGGCTCCTTTAGGGGCTGTTGTCAGCTCTTCATAGAAGTTAAAATTATAATTAGCTCTTTCTATAAGCTACTAGACCTCCAAAGACCCAGGCATCAGACAGGGAGGGATTTTAAATAGGCCCTAAAAAGTAATAATCAGGTTATTTCCCTCACACTGTTCTTTTTTCTTTTTTTGCTGTTGTTGTTAATCCTCACCCCAGGATATTTTTTTCATTGATTTTGAGAAAGGTGGAAGGGAAGGCGAGGGGAGAGGGGGAGAGGGGGAGAGAAGGAGAGGGGGAGAGAGGGAGAGAGAGAGAGAGGGAGGGAGGGAGAGAGGGAGAGAGAGAGAGAGGGAGGGAGGGAGAGAGGGAGAGAGGGAGAGAGGGAGAGAGGGGGAGAGAGAGAGAGAGAGAGAGAGAGAGAGAGAGAGAGAGAGAGAGAGAGAAATTGAGAGAACGAGAGATATGAGAGACACACACCAATTGGCTGCCTCCTGCACATGCCCCAATTGGAACCTGGGATCAAACCTGCAACCAAGGTATGTGCCCTTGACTGGAATTGAACCATGACCCTTCAGTCCAGGGGCCAACACTCTAACCACTGAGCAATACCAGCTAGGGTCCCTCACACTAATTTTCCCAGTTCTTGAGATGGTGAATCTCCCATCCATGCTGTTGAAACAGCTCAAACATTCAAGGACACCCCTCCCCACCCTACCCCCCATACTCCCACACACACATCTCATCTCCATCCCAGCTGTGCGAGCAAAACGAGGTTGTGGGTGTGGCCTGGTCTCCTCTCATCCTCTCATGAGAGAACTGGGCTCCCATGGAACGGCCAAGGATGACTGTCCCTGACACCCAAATACAACCCCCTCCACCTGGGCTCCTGAGAGGTGGGTTTCCTCCGCCGCCCACAGCGATGCCACAGAGCAGCCTCTCGTGATACAACACACAAAGCCTGGTGAGGACATGGCCCCCTCTGTTCTTTCCTCGGCGACGCTCAGCCACCGAGCCACGAATTAGAGAATTTATCCTACGGGATCAGAACATCCTGAGCCTGGCGGAAGGGACTGTGTAACAAGTCCATAAGTTCAGAGATGAAAGCAGCACTGTCCCCCGGAAAATGGCCAGGAAGGCCATGGTCTGATGCTGAGGAGAATCTGAGGGTCTGAGGGGAAGGACACCTTCCAGGAACAGCTTGGGACCAAGGCGAGGTTCCAAAATTCCGACAACTCCACATGCCCCCTGAGCCAGCCCTGGCAGTGACGGAGACATCCTTCTCCCTTGGAGATCCCAAACTCGGTGTCCTCAGGGTCCACATAGGCACCTGAATGGGGTGGGGAGGGACCGAGTGAACAGGGAGGCTCCCATCTTGCCTACCAAGAGCCAGGTGGGGAGTATGAGCCCAGTTGTTGCCAGATGCCGTGATCTTTCGAGAAAAGCAGGAAATGGATTTTTATTGGAAAAGTTCCAGATTTTTCAGTATTTGCAACTTATCCAGATTTTTTTCAAAATCTCTCCATGGACCTCATTTGACCCTCAGGCTGCCACTGTGCAAACCCTGCGGAACCCTGTCCGCACAGTCACCCCAGGTATGGGCTGGGACGGACTGCAGAAATGACAGCCGGTTTCACGCGCCTGATGACAGCCTGCGCCGACTGTGAGCGGGTGGAGAACAGTGCGCACCCACCTTTTCGCCTCCTTCGATGGTGATGTTGATGTGCTTGAGAACCATGTCCAGGTCCTCTCGGTAACGCAGGCTGTAGTCCCGGAATTCCACGCGGCCCACCTGGGGCCAGGTGCTGGCCGGAGTCATCTCCTGGATCCGCCAGGGAGCCTGCAATGGGTGCGGGAGGAGGGGGGCAAATAAGGAATCTGAGGTCCATCTCACGGGCCCCAAGGCTCTCTGTGAGCGGCCTCTGCAACCCCTGACCTCACCTCCCTCTCTCACGTTCACTCCGCTCCCCACACTGACTTGAGGGTGATTTCTCAGGCCTTTGCATTTGCGGCTTCCTCTGCCTGGAATGCCCTTCCCCAAGCTACCTACTTGGCCTGCTACCCACATCCCGCAGATCTCAGAGCAAGTCAGACCACCCTCCTGGCCCTGCACCCCTCTGTCCTCTCCCCTGCTTCATCTCCTCCACAGCACTTACCATTGTGTCACCCATGCCTACTGGAATATCCTCTCTGAGGACAGGTTCTTGTGCTAGTACTGTTCGTTCACTGTTCTATCCCAGGGCCCAGAGCACATAGTAGGTGCTCAATAAGTATGTATGGACTGAATCAAAGTGGTCTTCTCTGAACAGACACAAGGCCGACTGCCTTCTAGGTTTGGACTGCAGCAATAAAAGTGGCAGGGATGACTGAAACAACACTCTGTGTCACATTATCTCATTTAATACTCACTACAGCCCCATATATGGGGTCCTTTCATCATCCCATGTACACACAAGAAAACTGAGACACAGGCAGGGTAATAACTTGCCCCGTGTCACACAGCCCCTATTTCTGAAAAGTTTCTTAGTCCAGTTCAGCATTTCCTGAGATTTACAACGGGACATGCTCCAGGCCAGCCTCAGGGCTAACTTCAGGGAAAGAGAGGAACAGGGAGAACAATGAAAGAAAACTTTCAGCCTTTCTTCCCCACAAACAAAAAAATCCCTCTTATAATAATTTAAGTATATAAATAAAAAGGACATGCTATAAAAACATGGAAGCAACTGAAGAGAAGTGGGTGGAACTTTCTAACATGAATATATATTATTTATAATGTATTTGTTTATATTTATACATAATATATATACACAATAAACAAACATATATATCATAATAGTGGTGGGACTCTGAGGGAATCTCGGCTTCCTTTTGTATTTTTCAAATATGTTCTTATTCTAAAAATATAGAATGAAAGTAGTAAAATATTTTTGTAAAATAAAATAAATTTCACACTTTACGAGGATGAATTTCATGAGTGTGAGTTCTCTCTTAAAGCTGTTATAAAAAATAAACTCAGCCTGCCTGGTGTGGCTCAGTGGTTTAGCACTGACCCATGCACCAAGAGGTCACTGGTTCAATTCGAGGTCAGGGCACATGCCCAGGTTGCAGGCTCCAGCCCCAGCAGGGGGTGTGCAGGAGGCAGACAATTAATGACAGGATGTTTCTATTTCTCTCTCCCTTTCCTTCCCCCTCCCTCTAAAAACCAATAAAAAGTACTAATTAATTAATTAATTAATTAAAAGTTACTTAATTACTTCAGCCCTGGCTGAGTGGCTCAGTGAGTTGGAGCACATACCCAGGTTACAGGCTGGATCCCTGTGCAGGAGACAACAGATCGATGTTTCCCTCTCAACACTGATATTTCTCTCTCTTGCCTCTCCTCTCTGTCTAAAAACAAACATCCTGGGGGATGATTAAATAAATAATAAGTTCAATATTGGGTGGAAAGTCCTGGTGTAATACACTCTTATTTCCACAGGGGTCACTCATACCATTCTGGCTGATGCCTCTGATGAAATGGAACTCAAGAGTTCTCCATTTCAGAGCATTAAAAATCTGAGGTCATAGGTCACTTTTGCAAAGCCCCTAACATGGATTTTAACGGGGACAGCCTGGTCTCGCTCCTAAGGGGCGTTTTCTTGGAAGGCAGTGTGGCACAACGGCGAAGACCCAAATCCCAGGTCTGCGATTTACCAGTCACGTGTCTTAGGCAAGTTACTTAACCTCCCTGTGTCTCCGTTTTCTCATTTGGAAAATGGAAGTAAAAATAGAACGTGAGTTATAAGGCTGCACAGTGAAAATATAAATTACTCTATGTGAAATGTTTGGGACAGGGCCTGACACCTCCACAAGGGCACAATGTATGTCCCTGTTATTACTATTGGTGTTAACGGCGAGAGTGGCATCACCAAGCATTACTGTTACTGTTATTATTATCACTGCTACCACTGGTAGTGGTGTGTAGACAGAATAAGGCAGTTATTAAGAGCAACGTGGCACTGAAGTCTAGAGACTTGGGTCCTAGCGGTCACATAGGACCTCGAACCAGCCAACATCTCTCCCTAGGCTCCCCTTTCTCCATCTGAAACAGTAACTGCAGGATTATCCAATTGGGTCAATTCCTTACCGGTATATGATTTTTACAATATCCATGTACTCATTCTTGTTATTGCATCTGAATACTTTTAATCAACTCATTTGTGTTTAATTTTAAAACTTATTTAAATCAGTGGTGCCTCTAACAGTTGGTGACTTAGTACTGACTCATTTTTTAGGAGCGAGAAGAAACTAGCCTCTTTTCCCATGGAAGAAGCCCCCCATAAAAATACGTAACAGTGTGTCAGACAGAGGTTGCCTGCTGTAGGCACACATGGTTTGGCTCAGAGGTTCTTTAAGGCCACACTGAAGATCAAGTTCAAAAGGTCAGGGCAGGGGCTGCTCTACCTCCTTCTCAGTCTCTGAATACTCCTTGAGTCTCTCCACAGCCACAATGTTGGTCTCCATCTCCGACGACATCCGAACAAGCCAGTTGAGGTAGGTGGTGACCTGCGAGTGGAAGAGTCACATGAGCACCTACAGTGAGCTTGAAGTGCTTTATTTTAGGGAATTATGAGTTGTGAAATAGCTCAGATAAGAAAGGTACAGAAAACAGCACCACACAGAGCCTTCACACAGACTTGCTCCACTGCATCTCTTAAGCAAGCACATTTCAAAACCACCCATGACCACACTGGTAATCAGAAAGGAAATGAGACTATATTTTGAAATAGGTAATAGGAAAATGCAATATATCAAAATTTGGGAAATGCAGCTAAAGCGGGGCTTCGAAGGAAATTTATCTTATATAATAAAAGACTAATATGTAGTTTGGTGGAATGACCGGTCGCTATGATGCACACTGACTACCAGGGGGCAGACACTCAATGCAGGAGCTGCCCCTGGTGGTCAGTGCGCTCCTGCAGGAGGAGTGCTGTTCAGCCAGAAACCCCGAGCAGGGCTCATGGCTGGCAAGCGCAGCGGAGCTAAGCCAGCAGTTGCACATCCCCCGAGGGCTCCCGGCTGAGGGACCCGTGCCCTGAGTGCACAAATTTGGTGCACCAGGCCTCTAGTAGTGTTATAAGCATTTCTCTTGCAGTTGGAGGCATCCAGCCCATGTGTCTAATTTCTCTACTGCTTTAGTCAGTCACGGGGCTGTAGACATGGCTCCTCAAATTCCATTCAGCCCCTCTGCTCTCCTGCATTCCCACAGGGACCCAAAACAAAGACAACTGGCTCTCCCACTCAGAGGAACGGGCGGTTCAGCAAGAGCACCCCCTTACCTGTAACGAGTAAGATATTGAGAGGCCCACCAGGCCGGGGCTGAGGCTGTTCCGGGAGATCACTGCAAACAGGGTTGCAAACAGGACAATGCAGTTGCCCACACACTCCAGCCGCACAGCCAGCCACCTGCATGAGACACACAGGCAGACAGGACACACACACACCCAGGGTCAGCTTTTTTAGAGACTTGGTTTCTGGTTCTGGGCATGGGGTTAGGAGTAGAACGTCACTAACTAAAACAATCCCTGACAGTTCTGAGAGAGGCCTTGTCTGCCCCACTCCTAGGACATGGGGGGAAGAAGGACCAAAGGGACACAATTCCAGTAATTCCTCACTCATCCGGCAACCCCAGGGATTAGACAGTTCTCCGTAAGCCATCTTTCCAGGAAACTGAAGTTTGCTTTTTTAAGAACCAACTTTTTCCTCACAAAAATGGCCATGTGTGCATTTAAAAAAAAAAAAGATATCCTGAAAAATTAATAAGTCCTAAGTCATTGACTATAAGAGACACCACTGATTTAAAATTGACGAGCCATAGCTCAGTGGTTGGGCATCAACCTATGAACGAGGAGGTCATGTTTTGATTCCCAGAGCACGTGCCTGGTTTGTGGGCTCGATCCCTAGTAGGGGGTGTGCAGGAGCAGCCAATCAATGACTCTCTCTCATCCTTGATGTTTCCTATTTCTGTATCCCTCTCCCTTCCCCTCTGAAATCAATAAAAATATATTTTAATAAAATAACCTTCTCTTGGCAGGGAAAAGGGCGGTGAGAAAAAACACACTATTCTCAATGTAGCTGTAAGTGTTCCCAGATCCAGATCACTCTCATCTCAGAAACACTAAAATGCATTTTACCTTTTAAAATATAAACAGACATTTTACATTCAAAATGTAAAGCAATCTAGGGAGGTGGGTTCACCCTTTTCCCACTACAGCTCTTAGACCCACATGACTGATCTTCTTGGGGGTGAGCCACTCCCACAGACAGACAGGCATAGTGACAACGTCCTGAAAGTTCTGCAAGGGGAGACGAGGTCTCCAATATCTCCCAGTCTCCCACACGGCAGGATCGAATTGTACATGGTGGGCAGACGGCTGGTTTTGATGGGTCTCTTCCTGGATGCTGTTACCTGTGTCCCAGCGTTTTCTTAACCCTCATCTCAACAACTGTATCAGAATGCAAATGAGTGAGGAGGGTATTTTAGAGATAAAGCAGACACTTTTCTAAATTCTAATTTCTAAATAATTAGCAAACTTTGCCCTGGCCAAGTGTGGCTCAGTTGGTTGGGCATTGTCCTGGGCACCACAAAGGTGCTGGTTCGATTCTAGATCAGGGTACATGCTCAGGTAGAGGGCATACAGAAGGCAGCCGATGATCTCTGTCTCTCTCTCCCCTCCCTTCTTCTATCTCTAAAAAGAATTATACATATAAAATAATAAAAATTAGCAAACTTCTTTTTCTTTTTTTTTAGTAGAAATTATTTATTTATTCATTGTCTAAAGCACATGTGTCAAACACAAGGCCCGCGGGCCAAATCCGTCCCGCCAGGCCTTGCAATGTGGCCCGCACCGCGCTGTCATCACTGCACTCCGCTGCGTTTCCATCACAATGACAGTTTATGACTGTTCAGTAAACCATTCGGCCCGCAATTTAGGCTGGATTTTAGATTTTGGCCCCTTCTCTGATTGAGTTCGACACCCCTAGTCTAAAGCTTTACATATGTCTCCTTTTTCCCCAATTGACACCCCACCCCCAGCCATTCCCACCCTGGGCAAGTCCACATTGCCCCAGGGTCTGTGTCCATTGGTTATGCTACTATGCATGCAAAGAAGTCCTTTGGTTGCTCTCTACCCCCCCCCCCCCCGCCCCTGTCTCTGGATCTATTCTTGTTCATCAATCTTTTTCTTTTTGTGACTAATGCAATTCCACCATTCTTCATACCCTAAATGGCAATTTCACCTGGTTTGACTTAATATTCATAATTTGCTTCTGATACACATCGTGGGGGTGGGGTTGGTCGCCCTTCAGCTTGACACTATGGTAGGAAAATACTCAACAGCACTGATGCTCCGTGCCCCCAGGATGACAGCTAAAGGGCAGGTTCTGTAGGATTCTCTGGCTCCAGAACTCTCTGTCCTGTCCTTCAATGCCCTGGAGTGCTGGTGCTCCCAGTGTCCCTGTCTGCCCTTAACTGTTATTCTGTCCTCACCAAGTCAAGCCATTCCCTCTGGGAGGGTCCGAGTTTGGCTTCACACCCTCCTCCAGGAACTATGGCAGCTCTCCCCACCCCCCACCCCCTGCCCCGGTGGGCCCACCTGTTGGCCACGATGCTGGGGTAATAGGCCTTCTGGTTCTCGTCCACCTTCAGGTCACTCTGGCAGATGAAGCGCTCCTGCTCCGCGAAGGCCCGGATGACACTGACCCCCAGCAAGGTCTCATTGAAGTGGGAGTAAACTGGGGAGCGGCTGACGGACTCGAGGCGCTTCAGCTGCCGGGAGGAGGCCACGTAGAACCTCTGGGGGCGCAGAACGGACAGGGGGTGAGTGGAGCTGTCCCCATCCCAGCCGCCCGGGGCTGTGCTGGAGGAAGTCTGGATGCAGATGATGCCCCCAGGAGGCAAATGCTGGAGCTGGGCTGCTCCTGGCAGGTGCCTCCACTCACCTGCTGAGCTGCTGGCCCAGAGCCAACAACCATGGCAGCGATGACAAATGTAACAGCTGACACTTATCAGAGTCCACCCTCTGCGGCCTTGTGTGAACTACTTTCACATCTATCAGCTCATCTAATCCTCACCCCAACCCTGTGAGGCGCTCATTCCTCTCTCACCATCGGGAAACTGAGCACAAAGAACTTCGCTAACCTCGTCCCTGAGATCACGTGGCTGGCGAGGACGTGGCAGAGCTGGGATTCGAACCCAGACACTTGGCTGCTGAATGCCAACCTCTAACATATAGCCTCTCTGAAGCCACTGACTGCGGGGGTTTAATGGACCTGCTGGACACATTCTCTCATTTCTTTTTTCTAATCCTCACCCAAAGATGTCTTTATTGGTTTTCAGAGAGAAGAAGGGAGAGAAAGAGAGAGAAAGAGAAACATCAATGAGAGAGAGAAACATTGATTAATTGCCTTTCATACATGCCCTGACCGGGGATCAAACCTACAACCTTTTTAAGAAAAAAAAAAAATATATATATATATTTTATTGATTTTTTTTACAGAGAGGAAGGGAGAGAGATAAAGAGCTAGAAACGTTGATGAGAGAGAAACATTGACCAGCTGCCTCCTGCACACCCCCCACCGGTGATGTGCCCGCAACCAATGTACATGCCCTTGATCGGAATCGAACCCGGGACCTTTCAGTCCGCAGAGCGACGCTCTACCACTGAGCCAAACCGGTTTCGGCCCTACAACCTTTTTGGTGTGGAGGACAACACCTCAACTAATTGAGTCGCCCCGCCAGTGCGCTCATTTCTTTTGCATCTGAACTCAAGATTGAGATTGCTAGGTTACATATAAGTGTCTATTTAACTAAAAATATACGTTAAAAAAATCCTCTTCCATAATCCCAACCCACAGACAGGCAATATTTTTTGCCTCCTTTTCCAGTCCTGCCCACACACATTTTGCATTTCATCTTAAATTTCACATGGTTCAATCTAATATTAGTCATCTGCTTCTGAAACACATCACACGGGTGGGGTTAGTTAAAATGACCGTGTGCAAACAACACGACCCTCTACCTAATCCACTTCCTGTGCTGTTCAGAAATAAAACTCATGGTGCTGCGACAGAGCCTTCCGAATCTTCCCCGTCACTGGTGCATAGGATTCTGCCATGGAGAAGCTCCATCGTGTGCTCAAGGTCCTGCTCCTGGCAGGTGTCTGAGCTGCTTCAAACGCCTCATTTGGTCTGTTCTGTTCTTCTTAACTGGATCTTTCCAGAACATTTCCAGCCAGGGTCTGACCATAGATGCCATTTTTGGTGACCTCACCCATCACTGACCAGTGTGGCGGGGCCCGGGGCTGGCCTCCCTTGGGAACCCCACAGGAGCGGCTCCAGTGCGGTATGAGGACGGAGCCCTTCACAATTTCCTACCCTCATTGTGGTAGCAGTTGCTAAGCTCCCATCTAACCTTCCACCCCCACCCCCCAGCGGCTGTGCAGCAGCTAACCTTTAGGGGTAAGAAGGGACAGGCTGCCCTGTGGTCACCGGCACATGCTTTGGACTCAGACAGACGTGAGTAAACACTGCCGATTCTGCATTCGAGCCCCAACAAGCTCCTCTGTCACCCGGAAACACAATCCCCGCTGCAGTTGCCTAAGAAACCAGCGATGCTGCCCGGCTACCCACGCCCCTTCCCCTGCCACCTCCTCGGGCTTGTTTTCTGCAATACGGACGGGAACAGGGCTGGGTATCAACAAACGCAGGGAACTGCCACGCCAGCCCTGCGTGGCCGCCTCTGTATTTCTATTACAAGAGAGAAAAACACACCCCTATCTTGTTTAAGCTGCTGGTATGCACATCTCCATTACCTTCAGGGGGCTTAGGAACTAGAGAATTTCATAACATTCTTAAGGAAACTTCAGTAATAAAAGTATCTTTATAGCCATCCCTTTTTTTTTCTTTTATAACTCACAGTTACAAAAATAATACTAACTAGAAAAAAAGTCCATCTAGTCATCACAAGCTAAAAACGATGAGCTGAGCCTCTTGACACCACACCCACCGCGCCCCCAGCAACCCCTCCCCAGCTCCGCAGGGAGCAGGTGCGAGGGCCGAGCCCGGTGCTCACGGGAGCCGGACACACACCGGGCTCCTTCCAGACACGCACAGCCCGCCTCTCACCTGGACGAAGAAGTAGATGAGGCCCAGGGGCGGGATGATGACGGCGGCGACGGGAGTGGCCAGCAGGATGATGATGCAGGCGCCGATGACGTTGAACAGGGAGCCCATGAACATCTTGATGACCTGCGGGATCATGGAGTCCACCGTGTCCATCTCCTTGGAGAAGCGGTTCACCAGGTTGCCGCTGGGCGTCCGCTCGAAGAAGCTCATGGGCGACGACAGGACGTTGTGCAGCAGGTTCAGGTGCAGGCGGCGGGAGGCGAAGATGCCCCCGATGGACAGCGCCATGGAGTAGCCGAACACCGCGATCCCTGCGAGCATCCTCGCGTTAGACTCCACAACGGGAGCGGGGCCGAGCAGGGGGCTGGGACGAGGGGCCATGCGACCATGTGGGTGAAGCTGGGCGGGGTCCCCAGCTAATAATATTCATCATAATAATACTGATGATGATGATGATGGCTATTAATTGAGCACTTACTATGTGCTGAGCACCATACTGAAGTTGTACAGGTATCTAATCCTAATGACAGCTCTGCATAAATTAGATAACTACCCATTTCACAGATGAGGAAACTGAAACTCGGGTGAATTCCTCCACCTTCAATATTCTCAGCCAATCAGAAGCAGAGTTGGGTTTAATCCCGGCCGCCTGCTCCCGCTCATGCTCTCAATCTGCAGGCTGTACTCCTCTAGACCAGCCCCGTCCAATGGGAGCTTCTGTGATGACGGAAACATTCTACATCTGTACCGGCCAACGCTGTAGCCATGAGCCACATGTGGGTGCTAAGCCCCTGAAATGAGGCTAGAGCACAGAACGACTGAATTTTTACTTTTATTTCAATATAATAAATTGAAATTCAATAGCTACTTATGGCCAAAGCCTACCAGACCAGACCAGCACAGCACAGCTAGGACAGACACCGCTGCTGTGCGGGCCCAGGTAAACGTCACACTCTGTGCTGATTATGATTATAATTTGGGGTCCACAGTTCTTTGCCCTACGAGGGCATTGCAGGGACTGAGCAACTTAGGAAATCCACGTGTGCTCTGTTGGGTTTTTCCAGAGCCATCTCCTAGAGTTCGAGAGGCGACGGTGGCTCCTCCAAACAAGCCACCGAAGGCACCCGTTCTTTGCAGAAAGGCCATTTCTAGAGGCGGGACTCAAGTGACAGGCTCAAGGGCCAACACTGCCAGATCTTGTCTCTTCACCTACGAGGTGTGGGGCCCTTCCACAAGCCACTTAACCTTTTTGCACCTCAGCTTCCCCGTCTGTCACATGGAGCAGTACTTACAGCAATGTCAGCTGCAAGGGACCTAGCCAGCAATGTGCTCGGTGCACAAAAAGTACTCAAGAATGTCAAATATGTGTATATTTATTGTACACACAGTGTGCACAGGCTTTGGATGTACTCTGTGTGTATATAAACAGCTTTTATGAGCACATAAACACATAGCTAATGTACTTACAGAGGTCCTCAAACTTTTTAAAGTGGGGGCCAGATCACGGTCCCTCAGAGAGTTGGAGGGCCGGGCTATATGAACTACTAATTCCTACTGTAACACCTTGGCTGCGCTCACTGCCCAAAAAACCTGGCAGGCCGGATCAGACTCCTCTGCGGGCCGCATGTGGCCCGCGGGCCGTAGTTTGAAGATGCCTGGATGTAGCAGAATGGTAAAGAGCACGGGCTCCGAGCCGGACTGCCTCACTCAGTGCCAGCTCTGCCACCTATCAGCATGTGACTTAGGGCAACTTACTTAGTCCCTCTGGACCTCAGTTTCTGCATCTCTAAAATAGGGGAAGTATTAGCTCCTATCTCATGAGATTGCTGCAAGGGAAAAACCAGTGAAACCACAGAAAAGTGTTTAGAACAGAACAGGCGCCAGGTCAGTGCTCAGTAAACACGAGCTGTCAGAATTAACGCTGCTGTGCATGGGAACTCTCGTGGGACCACGAGAAGGGCATTCCGCAGGGTTTCTCAACCTCTCACTGCTGACATGTGGTGCTGGGTAACTCCGCTGTGGGGTCTGTGCTGTGCAGTGCAGGATGCTTAGCCACATCCCTGGTCTCAACTTCAGAGGCACCCTCAGAAGTTGTAACAACCAAAAAGGTTCTCCAGACATTGCCAAATGTCCCAGATGGGCCAACATGACATGTGCTAAGAATCCCCACCCTCACACAGCAGGGAAAAGCCCCCAAATGAAACTGTACAGAGATGCACCAAGGGGCAAGGGCCCGTGCTCCTTAATGCTCCAGGTGGACTCTCTTCCTCAACTTTCCTCATCTGTAAAATGGGCACATTGGCGCTCTCCTCTATCTACCTAGGGCCAGGTGAAACAAGGCATTAAAAAACCATTCACTCCCCAAATATCTGAGCATTTACTGTGTGTCAGGTTCTGTTCCTCCGGGTTTGGCTTGGCTAGGGGTGGAAGTGAGGATCTAACAAGACAAAAAAATAGTTCCAAGTGCCAAAATCAGATGGGGTGGGGGAGGGTGCAGAGGGGCGGCTCCCACCTTGAGAGATGCCCAGGGCTCCATAGACGCTCAGCCGGACTTTGGTGTGCTCCTGGGTCCCGTTGACGATGGGGTCATCGGTCCAGAGACTGAGCCAGTAGTTGGAGGACAGGGCGGCGACGTGGTTACACAGGAAAAGGAAGATGCTCAGGAAGGAGATGAAAAGTCCAATGGCCTTCATGTAGTCCCAGTACACGGAGAGCTTGACCTGGAGCCGGGGAAAGGGGGCATTGTACACACGCGCCACACACACCCAGCGTCCGCGCCCGACGTTCAGGCCCCCGCTGTGCGCATGTCTTTGCCATCCCTCCTCCCCCCGGTTATCGACAGAGACAGTCCACAGCAGACCAAGGCCAGGCCCCTGCCTGCAGGGCTTGGGTTTCAACAAGCTCCAGCCTCCTTCCTCGTGCGAGGCCTTGCTGACTTGTCAAGCCTTTCAGGCGGGATTTTGGGTCACCAAGGTCATGTCTGAATTACGGGCTGGTTGAAAGGCAACAGTGAGGGAGCAGAGCTGGAGTGCTTTCTTTTTTCTGTTTTCCGTTTCTGCTCTTCAAACTCAAAGTGGGAAGAGGGTGTCAGAATAAAGAGCATGTTGCACCCCTTGGTTCCTCACGGCTGCGCTGCCTGCTGTCCCTGAATGACCACGAGCAGCTCGGGGACCCTCCTCACGAGCAGAGGGAGGCGGCAGCATGGGAGGCAGAAGTGGATGGGGGGCCTGGACCCAGCTCCACTCCTGCTTCCACTTTGGCAACTGACACCCCCTCCCCGTCTCCGTTTTCTCTGTGCGTAAACACAAAATGCAGAGACGCCGAGACCATCTTCTCTGGAGTGTGGGCTTCAATGGGCCTGGCAGCTCTGGCCCTTCTCTTTCTCAAGTACTCGATCCAGGGTCATTTCCCTGGCTCCCTGGAGGGTCAGTGAGAGCAAGAGGGGAGGACACACGACAGCCGCCTCTGTCGGTTGCCAGCATTTAAAACAATACTTTTACAGGCTCCTGTGAGGAAGACAGGCGTTAACACAGAGTCCTCTGCATGGCGACCGGCACACACTGGCAAGCCGCACACACCCACCAGCGTCCTCACTTAGGGAGCAGCCTCACCTGCCCGGTCTGAGCCTTGTCGGCCTCCATCAGCTTCCAGGTTTCCTCCTTGGCCCCAGCCTTCTGCAGGTCGGCGTCCCCGCTGCAGGAGGAGGAGTTGCTGAGCTGCCTGGGGAAAGCAGGGCGCAGGGTGTCAGCCAATGGAAGGCCTGGGACGGGGACAGCAGCCCCAGCAAAGTACAGTACGGACCCAGTTCAAGCTCCTGATTTTACAGATGAACCCAGAGAGAGTATGAGCCCCATGAAAGAAGTGTTCCTCTACGCAGGCATTCTTCAAACAGCGTTTGCTTGCCACCAGTGGTCATCAGCGTTTGAGGCCATCACAGGTCATCACAGATCAGGTGACCCAGGACTCTTCCCCCCCGTGAGGCAGTCCTGCTCCGTAGGGACTTAGAGCACTGGGGAATGACATGGGGTGTATGCATGCGTGCGTGCGCACACGTACATGAGAACACAGGAACGCCCCTCTCTCAGCCACAGCTCAGACCCACACGAGCCAAGGTGATGGAGTGTAACCCGTCCTGGTCACCGACTCTCCTGCCTTCCTGGTTCACCTGCCTCGGTGAAGCACACACCCGGGCTGGAGGTGCTGGGAGCTGGGAGCTAAGGGTGGCCTCCAGCCTGCGATCAGTTAGGAAATGAGCGAGTGAGTCTTGCCAACAGCTGCAGGAAGCAGGTCCCAGCTGAGCCTTCAGATAAGACCCCATCCTGGCCGACACCTCAGTGACAGCCTGTGCGAGACGCTGAGCAGAGGAGCCAGCTGAGCCATATCCAGAGCCCCCAAGACATAGAAACCATGAGATGACAAACCACGATGTTTGTGGTAATCTGCTGTGTAGCAACAGCAAATAAATGCTCTGTGTTCTGCCTGTTTCTGCTCGGTCTGCCCATGCTCCCTCCGATCTGCATAAACCATCACCTGCCCCTGTTCCCAGGACCCCCTGCAGGCACTGCCTCCTCTCAGCTGCTTCAGCCACCGAGACTGGTTATGCCAGCCGCCCGCCTGAACCTGGCAGCACCCCATGCCCCCTGTGTGACTCTGGGCGTGGCGCTAAGGGCTTTACACACATCCGTCCAGCTCCCCACCTCAACAGGTGCACTGACAAAGAAGGAAATCCTCCCACCTGTCCGTGAGAGAAATCTGAGTCCAGGAGGGTGCTGTGCCAGGGTTCTGAGGGCAGAGCTGCTCATGCCAATCTCCTTCCAGCCCCATTTCTGTGAAATGCCCCACCCCACCCCCAAAAGAGAAGGTGCAGGCAGCCCCACTCGTCCAGGAACGACTGAGTGCCGGGGGCACAGGGCACTGTCCCCAGTGCTCACAGGCACCGTATCAGGTAAGCCTTACTACAATCCTATGTAGCAGACCCCGTGTGACAGCCGAGGAAACGGAGGCACAGAGAGGTTAAGCAACGAAGTCCACGGAGTGAGGCTCCTCCAAATATTCAATCACTTCCCCAAATGCAACCTCCTTTAAAGCAGCAAAGTGTAGAAGTTAGGGGTAGGGGCTCAGAGGCTGGACTTGGGCTCAAATCCCAGCTCAGCGTCTCTCTAGCCGTGTAACCTGTGGGGAGCTTTCAGTTTGCTCATCTGTAAAATGGGAAGATGACAGTAACTACCTCCAGGTTCAATGGACGGTTCCATAGTGCCTTGCTGCACGGAGCTTGGCTAATGGGGCCAGGATGCGAGGAACCAGGCGGGGGCGGGGGCGGGGTTAGGGTTGGGGTAGGGGGTCCTAATGGCACTGTGCCTGGGTCCTAATGGTGCATGACACACAGCAGTGACTATGACTGTGACTGATTTTAATTGAATGCTGGTTCTTAAAGCCTCAACACTCCAGGCCGCTTGGAGCAAACTGAGCAATAATCCACACCATGTAGGGAACTTGGGTGTCAGCCGTGCAGACTGATGGTTAAGTCACAAGGCCCCTGTGGATTGTGCCACCTGGGGAAGCAGTGCCAGGCTCCCCCTTCGGGCCTCTGTGCTCCAGAAAGGAGGTTCCGGAGGATTTGGGGGAACGGGGGAGGGGGGACGAAGAGGCAGAAAGCCTCCACTTCCACGGCCCCGGAGAGCTGACGGCCTTTCCTGGTGGGTGGAGCCGGGCCACCGGCACCCTGCACCTCCTCTCCCCCCTCGGCGGGCAGAAACGCGGTGCCTCCCCCGCCGCGCTTACCTCTGCGGTTGCTTCCTGGCAGCGTCCGTCACCACCATGCCATTCTCCATCTGCTTCGTCTCTTTCCCCGGACCGCTCACGCCTGCTAATCCTGGCAGAGTGCAGAGAAGGGGTAGTCATGGTTTCAAGAGCGAATGCCACAAGCAAAGATGAGGAAAACCTGTCGCTTGGGACGGAGATGGCAGAACAGCCTAGCCTCCGGGAAGCTCAAAAAGCAAGACCTGCCCTGTGGGCGCAGGAGCGAACGACTGGCTCCTGTGGGGCAGGGCTGATGCTTTGCGAGGGCCCCATTAGCTGAGGGAGTTGGGCCTGAGCAGGTGCCCGGTGCCAGCAGCAATGGGTACAACCCAGTTCAGCTGACAGAGCCCTGCTTGGCTAGTGGGGCCAGGATGCGAGGAGACAGACACAGCCCTCTGGTCCCCAAGCAGGGGTGACACTCAAAATAAATAGCAACCAGGTCTGACAGAGGCACCAGCCAATCAGGTCCCAGGGGTACTTGGTGGTGCCAGGAGTTAACCCTTTGGCTGCCTAATCATAAGGTGGTCCAGAAGGTCCGGGGTAGGGGGTACCCGGGGCGGTGGCTTCCCCAACTGTAAGGAAGTATTTCAGTAACTGAAACGGCCACCATGGGCACCCGCCGATACCCACCCAATCCCAGGAGGTACCCACCCATCGCTCCAATCACTACCCTCAACCGTGACGCTAACATTTATCAATGGGGTGGTGGCGGCTGTTCTGTGCTGGAATACATCGTCCCCTTTCATCTCCCCAAACATTTGGAGAGACACTGACCACCCCAACTCCCCTCTGATGCCTTAAGAGACAAGCACGATGGGAGGGCCCTACAGGGATGACCCCAGAAGAGGGGGGGACCGACACGCAGCCAGAGGGTCCCTGGGAGCATGCTGCTGAGACATGCGCGGAAGCAGCATCCAGAAAGGCCGGCTCTCTGGTGACAGCTGTGGGAGACAAGGAAGACAGAAGCTGGGGCTCGTTCCTGGGATGTGGGGGAGTTCCACGCTGATCCTCAATCCTGGCTCTGAACCCCCCCCCGGGGGCGCCCAGGGCAGGGGTCAGAGCACAGCAGGTGGGGCGTGCTCTCTCACTCCCTGGTTGCGTGTCCCGGGGAAGTGACGCCCCCCTCAGCCTCGCCTACACGTCTGTCCGGTGGGAGTGGCACAGCTCCCACCGCATAGGCAGGAAGGGGTGAGCTGAGCGTGGCGCTCGGTAAGTCTGAGGCCACGGCGTGCTCGCCACCTGCACTTGAAACGCGTCGCTGCTTCGAACATTTGTCAGTGCCTTTGTTTTTAATGGCGGGACATTTTAGTTTTAAAAAAAGAAACCAACCAAACAAAAAGGAAGCGTGGTAACAGGCAGGTCGTCCTTGCAGTCGCATGCAGCCAGTGCGCCTGTGCCTGCACAGCCCCCGGCCCAGGCCAGCTTTGATCATGTGCCTCTGCGCAGGGGTGGGGATGCTGAAAACATGCCCTGAGACACAGTCCTGTGGGCGGTGCTCCAGAGAGCCTGGCGGTGCTGCCTGCTGCCCAGGCCCCCCCCCTCCCCCCGCCTAACCCCCCTAAGCTGCAACCACTTCTCCTGCTCTTCACTCAGCACCCGTTCCAAGACTAGGCAGGAGCCCCACAGTTGCCCCGTGTGGCTGCCTCCCATCTCAGCCCAATTAGCCCACGGGGATACACCACTGGGGGGCCGGAGAATTCCCCTCTGCCAGGGGAGGGACTGAGGGCCCATGAAGGGCACTGTGAACATGGATGGGCCCACCGTCCCATCTGCCTTCTCCCCAGGGATTAGGCCCCCCCCCCCTTCCTGTGGTCCTGGCAGGCTCATCCATCAGGGTAACCCTGGCGCCCCAGCCAAGGAGGGGAGGCTGCCTAAGGCCAGCCCATCAGAGCCCCTCTCCCAGGACCTGGACCCCCAGGGACCAAAGAAAGATCCACTGGTTTTTCCAAAGGAGTCTCGTCCCAGCGCTCCCATCTCCGGAGTCCTGTGGTCCGGGCTTGCCTTTGCTTTCTGAGCTACCTGGGTCCTTCCAGTCAACACCTGGTTGTTGAGCGGCTGCCCTCTGTCTGGACCTGCAGCCACACAACCCGGTCACAGAAGGCAGGAGGGATGGGTCTGCTCCAGGGAGAGGGCATCTGCTGGCTGCAATTCGGCTAGAGGGCATCCCTCCGCTGGGCGCCCACAGCCGCCTGCCTCACACAGTCAGGGTCATCTCCTGCACTGCTGTGGCCTGCCAAGGTCGTGCCCGGCCCTGAAGGTATGAGTGGCATAATGATTAAATAACCCATCCTGATCAAACTGTTGACATTCACGGTCCGTCTACCGTGTCCCAGGCAGGTCTCGCCCAGCCAGGATCTCCTTCAGGGTGTGCTAGTCACTCACGGTTGCCTGACTGATGAGACAGTAAGCTCGGCGGTCTTCCAGCCGATGAGCGGAGGTTCTAACTGCATCCCAGGTGCCCCTCCCTTCCCCCCACCGGAAAGCCCGGACGGAGCAGGTGCCCAGTAACTGTTTGCTGGGTGAACAAGGGAAGGGGCGGGAGAGCAGCCGCTCCAGGGCCCGCGCAGGCATGCAGCAGCAGGGCAAGTCCGTCTACAGCCTCGTGCCGCAAGCACAGGCAACTCCACCCCGCACGCCACTGACCTTCCTCCTCCTCCTCCTCCTCCTCGTCCACCACTCTGCTGCCTGGGAATTCACAAGATCCAAGAAAGGGTTAAGAATCGAGGCCAGACCCTCCCTAAGCCACCATTTAAATGCCCAGAGGGGGTGAATGGGTGTGTTCCCTAAAGGGTGATGGGCAAGGATGGCTGAGGGACCTGCTGCATTTGTGCCTCAGTTTCCCCACCCCACATTTTCAGGGGAAGGGGAGGTCCCTGACAAGCACACTGCATGAGGCCAGCCCTTTTCTCTAAAAGCTATAACCGTGAGAGTGTAAACATAGAAAGGGCAGGCCAGCCGAGGGGAAGAAAAGTAATACAGCGGGTGGGCAGGGCAGGCAGGGCGGGCCTGGCAGCAGGGAGGCAGCAGGGAGGCAGCAGAGACCGCAGCTCCAGCTCACATCCTTTAGTTCCGACAGGACTCAAAAATCTTCATCTGAGCCCTAGTCGGCTTGGCTCAGAGGATAGAGCACGGGACTGTGGACTGAAGGGTCCCGGGTTCAATTCCAGTCAAGGGCACATGCCCGGGTTGTGGGCTCGATCCCCAGTAGGGGGTGTGCAGGAGGCAGCCAATCAGTGATTCTCACCACTGATGTTTCTCCCTCTCCCTTCCTCTCTGAAATCAATAAAAATATATTTAAAAAAACAAAACACACCTTCTTCTGAGCCAGCTGCACAGGGAGCCGAGAAGTGGGGAAGAGAAGGTAACTTGGCTCAGGAATCACCCCCACGCTAGGATGGGGACCCCTTCTCGGGTTCTCACAGGCTCCCATGCTTGCCTCTAACATCAAGATGTCCTTCGTTACTTAGTGTGTCTCCCCATCGAACTGTAGGCTGAACTGGGTTTACCCACGGCTCTGTCCCGGCACCGGGACAGCCAATGGCGTGTGAGTTCACGCAGGAGGAGCCCTGCACGATTCCAGGGGCACCAAGACACACAGTGGCTCAGGTGCCAGGCAGCCCACGCCGTGCCACCGGATGAGCAGTGACGGATGAACACGTGAACGACCACATGGACAAACAGGGCTGGCCCTGCAGGGCCGGAGGGACCCCACGACAGTAACGTGGTGCCATTGCAGAGCCCGGACCCCCCGAGCCGGCTTCTGAACCGGCCCTAAGAGACATGGTAACATCAGCTCATTTTGTTTTCAAGTCCGGGCTTTTTATGCAGCTGAGTCAGTGTCCAAAGCCCAGAGACCTATACAGACTTACACCGGGCATGGCCTCAGCAATCACGGGAAGTTCATTCACTCACTCAGCACGTTTACTGAGTGTCTACTACGTGACAGTCATTGTTCCCCGTCCAGACGGAACAAATAGTCCTCATGGAGCTCAAATGCTAAGGGGGGGAGAGAGATACAATAACAAACTAGCAGATCCAGAATTTACTACAAAGAAAACACTACAAAAAATTTTAAAAAAAGCAGGGTAGAAGGGAAACCAAAGATGCCATGAAATAGTGACCATTGTTTTGTTTTTAAGCAAAGACAAGGAACATGTCATTCAGAGACTGCTCGCTGAGTGTGCCTAAGCACCAGGTTGGGGGCTGTGACATCGACAAGCCAGGGTGGGCCCTGCCCTTGAACCACTGGTGTGCTGCCTGGGCTGTGCACTCAGCCAGCTGCTGGCCCTCAGGGCGGCCACCTCTCAGGCTCACTGTTTATCCCAGCTACACTGCCTTTACTCAAGAAGGTTCTGGAACTCCGCCTGGGCAAGGGCCAGCGGGCAAGCCTCCCTCCAGGGGAGGATCCGAGTTGCTGCTCTACAATCAACGCCTCACTTTTGACCAAAAACGGAAGTGACTGGCCGCATCCCTGACCCGCCCCCTCCACTGGGCCCTGAAGGCCCTTCACACTCCGGAGAAGAAATAGGCCCTGAGGGCAGCGGGGAGGAATGTGCTTGTGGTGCGAGGACTCTCCAGCTGCTGCTGGGCCTTTGCGATAGAGTTTTGTAATACAGGGAGCGCTCATGATCTGATGTTAAAGAAAAAATACATAAGAAGAAGAGGGGCAGGAGAACTGATGGAAAGGGGCCCAGGCCAGCACAGCCCCTCCCTCTCTGAGGTGGGAGCATGGGAGGAGGCGGCTCCCTGTGCAGTTTGCTATTGTCTACAAGGAGCCCTCAGTGATTATATAATCGGTACAAAGAAAAGCAGCAACCATTTGTGATGGGGGGGAAAAGAAACTTCAGACAAGCCTCTGAAAAGTGGACACGCTGTTGGAACCAAGGTCTTTCTCCCAAGAAAACCAGGGGAGGGCCCGGGCAGCCTTTCTCACCGCGCTGTGGCCGGTGATGCTCTGCCGCCAGAGTGTGTGTGTGCGCGCATGTGTGTGCGTGTGTGCGCGCGCACGCGTGTGCGTGTGTGCATGTGTGCGTGCGTGCGTGTGTGCACACACGCGTGCGCTGTGCATGGCAGGGTGTTTGGCAGCATCTCTTGTCTCTGCCCACTAGGTCCTGGGAGAACCCACCCCCCAATCCCAGGTGTGACAACCATACGTGTCCAATGTTCCCTGGTGAAAACCACCGCTCTGGTTTTAGGTTCCTAACGAAGAAACCAGAGCAAATAAAAAACGTTCTTCACCTTCCACGTACAGAGGTTTTGAGCCAATTGGTAAATCTCTTTGCCACCAAAAAAAAAAAAAAAAAAAGTTTCCTAGAAATTAGCATAATGAATGTTCCTGGGAAGGAACATCTCCCCTCCCTCGCCCCCCCTACAAGCCTGGCTGCTGTTACATCTCCCCCTCCCTATCCTGATAAGAAAGAACCCCAAAACCACATTCCACCACCCCCTGCCCCCCACGCCCGGGTGTTCTAAAAAAGCCAACGAGGGAGAAGTTTCCCTTTAGGTGGAGCCAAGAATGCGGTTCAAACGAATCCAAGGTCACTGGCGCTTGGAGCTGGCTAAGCGAGACTGGACCCTGATGCTGAGCCTTATCGCTGGGCCTTCCAGGGAGGGAGGGAGCGAGGGAGGGAGAGAGAGAGGGGGGCAGCCAAGTTTGATTTTAGACACAGGGGCGGAGGACTTCTGGGTCCCACGTGGCAGGAGGCTGGGTGACTGAACTGGGGACGTGAGCCCACAGTGGTGCTAGGGGGACGGATAGTAGCTGATATGCACGAGAGAGAGAGAGAGAGGGGGGGGGGGGGCGGGGGAGGGAGGAAAAAGAAATTGGCAGCATTCCATGTTCTGCAAAACTGCTCTGGCTATGCCCGCGGCTGGGGAGGAATGGGAAAAAGCCACCTGTGGCCACAGAGTGGAAGGACTGGAGAGAGGGGGAGAGGGACCTCATTCTGGGGAAAAGACTCCTTTAACCAGCGCGTGGAAAGCACAGAGGGTTCTTTTTGCCTAACTGCAGCCACCGAGCAGGTTGGTGAAATAAAGTGGTCTCGCCGAAGCCGGTTTGGCTCAGCGGTAGAGCGTCGGTCTGCGGACTGAAAGGTCCCAGGTTCGATTCCGGTCAAGGGCATGAACATTGGTTGCGGGCACATTCCTGGTAGGAGGTGTGCAAGAGGCAGCTGGTCCATGTTTCTCTTTCATCAATGTTTCTATCTCTCTATCTCTCTCCCTTCCTCTCTGTAAAAAATCAATTAAAAAATATATTAAAAAAAAAGAAAAGAAAGAAAGAAAGTGGTCTCGAAGTAGTCCCCACCCATCATGTAACTTTGGCTTGACTCGGGCTCAGGGATAGGAGACTTCGGCAAGAAGAAAACAGGCTAGACTTAAGGCAGAACATTCCAACCACAGGAGCATGAACATGTAGAAACTCATCCCAACCAGGGAATTTAAAAGCTGAAGGGAGGGCCAGCTACCTCATGCTGGCACAAAAATAAAATAATAAAAAAAATTACACACTTTTAAAACTAGAGGGCATAGTGGCACTATTCATAATAGCCAGAGAGTGAAACCAACTTAAAATGTTCAAGTAACACATAGATAAATAAAGTGATGTGAGGTGTTCACAGAATGGAATATTATTCAACAATTAAAAAAATAAATAACGTTTGGACCTGGCCAGGTGGCTCAGTTTCCAGACACCAGAAAGGTTGCAGGTTTGATCCCCCATCGGGGCGTGTGGATGTTTCTCACACCGATGTTTCTCTCTCTCCTTCCCTCCCTCCAAAAATCAATGAAAACATCCTTGGATGATGATTAAAAACAAGAAAATAAATGAGTCCAAGACATGCTACCACACAGATAAACCTTGAAAACATCATGCTAAGTGAAGAAAGTCAGTCCCCAAACTCCACGTTACAGAATCCCAATCAAATGAAACGTCCAGAGGAGACAAATCCAGAGAGAGATGGCAAGTAGATTCGTGGTTGCTAGGACTTGGGCGCCCGGGAGAAGATGGGGAGTGACTGCTACTGGTTCGAGGATTTCCTGAGGGCTGATGAAAATGTTCTGACATTGACTCTGGGTAAGGGCTGCTCAACTCTGAGTATAACAATTACCGGACGGTGCACGTTCACTGGGTGAACGGTATGGTATGTGAATCATATCTCAATAAAGCACGGGTTAAGAACCACCAGGACCTCTGAGGCAAACTCTTAAGTCAGAGAGATGGATGAGCTTCTACCCCAGGCAGACCTGGAGGCCACTGAAGGGGCAGAGGCCTGGAAACTCGGAGAGCAGACCTGAGATCCCACCTGCAGCCACAGGGTGTCCTCAGGCACGCTGCTTCCTCTCTCTGCCATTCAGCGGCTTCCCACCGCATTTAGACCAAACCCAGACTCCTGACCCTGACACTCTGGAGGGTGACCCCCTCCCCAGTCTCACCTTCTACCCCAACTCCTTGCCCACCATGTCTGGACACACTGGCCTACTTTTTGTTCCTTAAAAAAATGGAGCAAACAAATGCCCGAGGCCTTCACACTTGCTGTTCCGTGTGTCAGAACACTGCTCCTCACACCTCCTGCCGGCTCCTTTCCACGCCAATGTCACTTCCTCAGAGGGCTTCTCTGACCACCTGCCACACCCCAGCACGTTATTCTGCATTTTTAAAATTCATAGCACTTAGTGCTGCATGAAACCATCTGTATGTGTTGATCTGCTTATTGCCTTGCTCTTCCACTAGATATATTAAGTGCTATAAGGACAGGGATTTGTCTAATCATTGCTCACTTCTGTTTCTCCAAAACCTTGGACAGTGCTGTTATGTCCCCTCCCCCAATTCCCCCTTAAATACCTTAGAATGTATCTGTGTTTGGAGACAAGGTCTTTGCCGATATCACTAGTTAAGATGAGTCATTAGGGTGAGCCCTGATCCTATATTAGTGGTGTCCTTATAAAAAGGGGTAAATTTATGCCCTGCCAACATGGCTCAGTGGTTGAGCGCTGACCTACAAACCAGGAGGTCACGGTTCAATTCCCGGTCAGGGCACATGCCCAGGTTGCAGGCTCCATCCCCAGTGTGGAGCATGCAGGAGGCAGCCGACTGATGATTCTCATCATTGATGTTTCTATCTCTCTTTCCCTCTTCCTTCCTCTCTGAAACCAATAGAAGTACATTTTTAAAAATAAAATAAAAAGGGGTAATTTAGAGACAGACACAGGGTGAACACCATATGAAGACGAAGGCAAATAGAGTGATGCTTCTACAAGCCAAGGACTGCCCGAGTTTCACGCAAACCCCGGACGCTGGAGAGAAGCATGGAACAGACATTCCCTCAGGGCCTCAGCACCTACTGTGTGTGACTAGGAGTACTTGACACACAGTAGGTGCTCAATTCATACCTCTTGCACAACTAAGTCAACAAACAGTAGCTTCCTTAGCGATCAGTCCCTTTCACAAAGCCTGGGACCCACCTGCTCCCGGCACTGAAGGGACGAGAGATTCTTTAAGCCCCAGCTCCCTCACCAGAAACCAGGTAGTGGTGACTCCACCTGCCCCACCAGCGCTGAGGAGGCTTCAGCAAGATGACTTCTGTGAACAGAAGCGCCAGGAAGCGCTCCACATCACAGACACTCAGAGACAACTCTGCCTGGGAGCCGTGCGTGGCACCCCCGTGACCCGGCCCCTGAACACTATCTATCGGAGACCTGTTCGGGGACCTAGTGTGTAGCAAACGCACGGCACAGGCTCAGGAAGTCTGGAATCAGCTCCTGGAAGAGCAGACGGGGCAGGGCAGGGCAGCTGACCTCTGTGTAGTTCCGCTCTTTTTAGCCGCAGCTGAAACCAAAGCCGAAAGGCATCGGATGACGGCTCCGCGTTCACAGGGCCGGAGCTCGGGGCCAAGGTGAGCGGAGGCTCGCTGAGCGGCCAGTCTGAGCGGCCAGACACAGGGCAGCCGGCAAAGGCTGCAAGCCGATCCCCTGGCTTTGCACCACAGATAAGGGAGAACAGGACTCTTGGAAGTCTTGCCCTGTCTGCTTCCAGGAAGGACGGGTGAGGCCCCAGCCCAGAATCCAAAAGGTGCCTCTGAGGCTGTCCCTGCTCGGAGGCCTGGCCAGGGCGGGGAGACGGGGAGCAGTGGCTGGAAAGGAGGCAGGTCTGTCTTGATCCGGCAGGTGCCAAGGGCATGGGGGTGAGAGAGAGGCAGCAGCTGCCGTTTACTGACGACTTAGTGCCCGGGCTTCACATGCCGTGGCACACTGAAGCGGCATCTGGTGCTGTAAGGCTGCTTCGGCGGTTATACTGCTTTGTCAGTGGGGAAACTGAGGCTCAGAAGGGGTTTGAGGTCACACAGCTGCTGAGAGCAGCAGCTGGGATTCAAACGAGGTCCTGCCAACTGCACGCCTGCACGCTCATCCACCTCGCCTCATCTGAGTTAAGCCGCATGCCCCCGCTTCTCAGCCTCATGGGAGCCAGGACGACTGTAACTGTCACTGTCCCTGTTTTTGTCACAGGGACCCTGACGCTCAGGAGGCTCACAGCCCATCACAGAAAGTATCGGGACTAGCGCCCGGGTCTGCTGACCGGGCCGTAATCAGCTCAACCTGAAGGGTCCTTCCAGGTGGTTCCTGAGGGGGCCTGGCCTCATCCCTGCCTGGCACCCTGATGAGGGGCCCAGTGGCTGATGGAAACTGCAGGGGACAACTGGAGCCCTGCAAGGAAGCCCCCCCCCTTCCCCGTCCCTCTCACCCACCATCCCTCCATGCAGGAGGCAGCACCCCACCCCACCTTCGTCCTGCTCCGGCTGCTCCTGCTCAGCGCTGGAGTATGTGCGCAGGAACTCGGCGAAGGCCCCGTCCCGGGCCAGCAGCTCCTGGTAGGAGCCCATCTCGGAGATCTTGCCGCCACTCATGACGATGATGACATCCACGTGTGGCAGGTAGCTGATGCCATGCGTGACCAGGAGCCGAGTCTGGGCAAAGCGGAGAGCCACAGGGAATCACCCCGCGCCTGGGACAACTATGGGTGCTTCCATTCGGCACCTGTGCCAGTACCAGGGGCAGGGGGTGTGGGGGGCAGGGAGGGGAGGGGGATGGTAACAGGAAGGACTCAAAGATCCTGCCCCCGATTTCAGGGTCGAGGAGAAATGAATGACTTGAGTAAAATAAGGTGCTGGACGGTGACACAGCACCAGGGGGCGGCACACTGATGTGGGATGAGTGGTGCTATTTTAGTAAGGTGATGGGAAAAGCTATTTTTGAAGAAAAATCTGAAGGATGGAAGGGAGGGAGGGAACCAGGCACATGCAGACAAATAAAGGGGTCCGGCCCTGAGCAAAGGTTAGTGTTGGCCTGTGCACCAAAGGCCTGTAGGTTCGATTCCCAGTCAAAGGCACGGACTTGGGTTGTAGGTCGGTCCTGGCCCTGGTCAGGGTGAGTTCGTGTCTCTCTCACATAGATGTTTCTCTCTCTCTCTCTCTCCTCCCTACTTCCCTTCCACTCTCTAAAAATCAATGGGAAAATATCCTTGAGGATTACCAACAAACAGGATTCTGATGCAAAACAATTTGCATGCAATGGCTTCATTTTTTTAAAGTAACCACCCACTCCCACACCCCTCACACCCCAACTATAAAACTTGCAAATGTGTCTGTCTTTATCTAATGACCTGAATGTTTGGGAAGACACTCACCAAACACCTGAGTTGACAAACGGGCCAGATGGTAAACATTTTCAGTTCTATGGGCCCTCCGGCCACTGTGGCAAGGAGTGGCTGTGAAGTGGAAGCACGATGGCAGCCACGCACAGGCACAAACAGAGGGGCTGCTGTGCTCCCAAACTGCTCTACTCACAGACGCTGACATTTAAACCCAACGCCATTGTCGCATGCCACCACATTACTATCTTTCCTCAGATGTTTTCCAACAACTTAAAAATGTAAAGGGCTGGACTGAAACAGAGCAGGCTAGGGACGGGCCCGCCCCTGAGAGAGGAGCTGGGGGCGGAATAAATGGGAGCACCATTTTAAAAAATTCTACACATACTCTTTGTACTCTTTAATTTTGTATGACTTCAATAACAATTTTTTAAATAAAATTATGTCTGTACAGAATTTGTTGTGGTATATCTGGGAATGCTTCAATAGGCAAGTGGCAAAATGCTCACTACTTATGTGAGCAACATGGTAACCCTATCAAAGCGCTTACATAACAAAAAAACGTGAAAGAAATACAAAAACCCCTAAGCGGTGCGATGATGCCTAATTGCTTTGTACTTTTTCCTGTTTTTCTGAATCCCCTATATTCGTGGTCGGCAAACTGCGGCTCTCGAGCCACATGCAGCTCTTTGGCCCCTTGAGTGTGGCTCTTCCACAAAATACCACAGCCTGGGCGAGTCTATTTTGAAGAAGTGGCGTTAGAAGAAGTTTAAGCCTAAAAAATTTGGCTCTCCAAAGAAATTTCAATCGTTGTACTGTTGATATTTGGCTCTGTGGACTAATGAGTCTGCCGACCACTGACCTATACTTTTCCCATGGGCATGTTACTTTTTTAATCAGGAAAAAAAAAGAAAAGAACGAACCAGTACTCCCACGCCCAAATTCCCTCTAAAAAATAAAATAAAATAATAAAAGAGGATCAGAGCCATTCCCCCGGGGTTGGGTGTTGCGGCAGTTTTTCTGCCCCAGTGCTCTGTGCTCACTGTGGAAAGGGAGGAGAGCTGCCTCTCGCCCACAGGGGACCTGGGGGTGGGATTTCTTCCTCTGAAGGCTCCATCACTGTTAGGTCAGGAAGAGGAGCCTTTTCTGGCCAAGTGGAGGCAGAGACTTCAAGCCAGGGCCAAGGACTTGCCCCATCCTGGGAGGGTTCCAAGGGAAGCATTAGGAAAGTGTTCTTAAGTCCAATTAAAAAAAAAAAAAAAAAAAAGCCGGGAAGTGAAGGAGTCCCAAAGCAGACACATTCTGACAGCCAAAGCACGAGAGAGCCAGGCCCAGAGCCCTGCCCCGGCCCCTGCCCCAGGTACCTTGTTCTTCAGCATCCCCTTGGGACCGATCACATGTTCAAATATGTGCTTCCCCACGTGGGCATCCACCGCCGACAGCGGGTCGTCGAAGAGGTAGACGTCGGAGTCACAGTACACGGCCCGGGCCAGGCTCACGCGCTGCTTCTGGCCCCCAGACAGGTTCACGCCCTGGGGAGACACGCGGCAGAAAGGGGGTTTGCTGGGAGACTCAGACACGCAGGGAGGGCAACGGGTGTGGAGTCGGCAGACAGGGCTGGAGAGCCCGAGGGCTGACTCTCCTCTGGCTGTGCAGAGCGGAGGCATGAGGTGGCACCTGCACTCCTGCGGGTTCGCGCCCCCGCACAGGATCAGCCTCACCTGGAAGACAGGCGGGAGACCTGAGCCTCCAGGGAGCTGCTGAGTGGAGACCCAGGACGGAGTGGGTGTTTAGCAAAGGGCGACACTGAACAATGCTGGCCACGGGAAAGGCCATCTTCGAGTCTGATGGAAGGCACCAGCACATGTGGCAACACTATCTTTACTGCTATTACTGTTGCTATGTGTTTTTGTGTGTGTGTCTGTGTGTGTGTGTGTGTGTGTGTGTGTTTTCTTGCTGTTGTTAATTCTCGCCCAAGGATTTTCAATTTTCCATTGGTTTTTAGAGAGTAGGAGGGGGAAAGATAGAAACATCAATGTGAGAGAGACATCCATTTTCTCAATAGACAAGTGGCAAAATGCCTCCCCAACAAGGGCCTGGGATTGAGCCTGCAACCAAAGTGCGTGTCCTTGACCAGAATCAAACCCAGGACCCTTCAGTCCGCAGGCTGACGCTCTATCCACTGAGCCAAACCGGCTAGGGCTACAGTTGTTGTTATCGTTAACAGCTAATGGTTTCTGAGAGCTCCCTCTGGATCTAGCACTCCCTGGTGAAGCCGCACACAGTCCAGGCAGGCTGCACCTGGGGGCACTGGGACCCAGCCCCACTCACTACATTTTCTAATTCGCACAAGAGGACACCACCTGGGCCGTACAGCAGCAGCCCTGTCCCTCCCAGGACAGATAACGTACTGTCACTTTCATATCTCGCTGGCAATCAAAGTGACACCCACTGGGTTAGCTGCCAGCCTCTCTGAGAGATGCCCTCCACCCCCAGGCACCAAGATGGTGTCCTAAGCCAATCACATTCTCTTCCTCCAGATTCTGGTTCTGGGACCCAGACAAAGAGAGTTAGGAATCACCAAGTGGCACATACAGGCACTTAAAAAAAAGAAAATAATAATTTCAGAAAGCTGGTTGGCAGATTTCTCTCTAGTGAAATAAATAATTCATCAACTAAAAAAGCTGATTGAGCCACTGTCTTGTAACTGAAAATGGACAAGAAAGCTCTTTGGTGCTGCTGTGGAACATTTGCACTTGCCTAGTGCACACCAAGTGACCACCAGGGGGCGCTAAGATAAGCTGGCCAGTGGAGAAAGCATGAGCAAAGGCCTGGAAGTGGGAAGGGTTTAGGGCAAGTCCCTTAGCCTCTCCCTACCCCCTTTTCCTCGACTTACTAATGGGGAAAACAGTAAATCCCATCTCACAGGCTTGTGTGATGACAAAATATGTATAAAATGTGTAGCACTGTATGTACTAGTGCCAACTCCGTAGTAAATGCTCAGAAGAATTAGCTATTTTATTATTATAACAGTTTTGAAACAGACTGTGAACATCTGAATCACTGACACCCCTCCTCCCTGTATAGGGCCCTTGGTCTTGGGACTTTGCAGTCACATGACTACAAACGTAGAGCGCACTTTCTGGTTCCTTGTCTTTCAGCTCAACCAAGTGACCTACCCACCCTGTAGTGGGAAGAACAGTGAGCTTTAAGGGACATCCATTACTCTTTGTTCTCTTGGGCTCTCACCATGAAAAGAACTTTCCCCTGGGGAGCGGCTGCCCCTCAACCTAGGCCCCAGAAAGAAGCCGTGTGGAGCCAAGCTCAGCTGGCCTGCAACATGGAGCCCAGTCCGGGTCAGCCAATCACAGTCAACTCACACACTCACAAGTAGGGACTAAGCGTTTCACATCGTAAGTTACTGAGATGTTTCGGTTGTTACATAGCAATAGCTGACTGTTACAGGGGCCATGCTGAAGACACACTGACCTTCTCACCAATCTCCGTCCGGTCCCCGCTGGGCAGGATTTCCAGGTCTGGGAGGAGGGCACAGGCTTCTATCACAGACTTGTAGTAACTTTCCTGGAGCTGGCGTCCGAAAAGGATGTTTTCTCGGAGAGAATCGTTCTGAATCCAGGCCTGCTGGGGGACGTAGGCCAACGAGCCCTGCATGGCACGCGGAGAAGAAAGCAGGAGACAAGGAGACGTGCTTGGTTAACGAGGTAGCAGCCAGCTCGCCTCATGCCACAAAGGCCCTCCTTCACAAGTGACTGCGTCACACCCATTGTCTCAACAAGAGGTAAACTGAGTCACAAAGGACAGCGGATGCCAGAGCGGAGATTGGAACCCACACTGACCAACATCGGGAGTTCAAAAATCAAAATCCTAAATATTCACTGAATTGCCTCCATCAGTGCATTAAAATGCCTCCCCAAGAATGGGAAATTATGGATTACAAAAATTACTGATTACAGTTGTGGTAAATGCTAAGAGGAAAACATATGAGACCTTTAAACAGTCCTTTGAAAAGAAAGACCAGTTAGGAACATCAGGAAAGCATGTCTTGAGGACATTTCCTTGATGAAATTGAAGCAAGGACTTCTGTATCAAAATCATCCATTTCAAAGGCTGTTGTGTCTTTCTTTCCACATAATGTAAGGTCTCAAGAAGGCCATAAGAGGGCTAGGCACTACCTTACTGGGCAAAATAACCATCACAAATAAACCTTCAACCTCGCCAAACCAAATACTCAGCGCACCCTCAAATTCCTGGTCCACCTCTTTTTTACTTAAAAGCTTTTTCCTTTAAAGCGGTGGTTCTCAACCTGGAGTGGTTTTGCCCTCCGGGGGACGCCTGACAATGTCTAGACACACCTCTGGCTGTCACAGCTGGAGCTGCCGCGGGGGTCCTGGGGTAGAGGCCAGGGATGCTGCCAACCACCCTCCCACGCCCGGGACAGCCCCACAACAGAATGCTCCAGCCCAGCGAGTCACAGGGCTGTGGCTGGGGAAGTCCAGGGCTAATGAAACAGAACGCAACGTGGGTCCCTACAGGATGTCATTTCCTCCCATGAACCCAGCTCACGTGGCCCATCGATCCTACTGCATAGCATGTACCCGAAAGTAGTGACAGAGCATTTCCTAAAACAGCAGCTTTACAATATTAGCTTGGGCCCAACTACCGCAATGTATACTTTCTACTAAATGCATATTGGACTAAAGGGCGTTATTTAATCCACAAAGATTGTGCACCGAGATAGAGACAATGGCAGAAACCAGCCTCCAAAAGCAGATTCCTCCAAAACCAGTTTGGCTCAGTGGGCAGAGCGTCGGCCTGCAGACTAAACAGTCCCAGGTTCGATTCCGGTCAAGGGCATGTACCTTGGTTGCGGGCACATCCCCAGTAGAGGCAGCTGATTGATGTTTCTCTCTCATCGATGTTTCTAGCTCTCTAATCCCTCTCTCTTCCCCTCTGTAAAAACTCAATAAAATATATTTAAAAAACAAAAAAACAAAAGCTGATTCCAAGAGGCAGTAATTCTGTAACTGGTTTCCACATAGACAATGAAATGCTGTGGGCTGGACCATGCTGGGTTAACCAAAGTCAAATAGGTTTCTTTCTCCTTGCAGGATTCCTGAGAGCTTTTATACTTTATTTATGTTTATTCTGAGTGTCCACGAGGGAGGGAATCGGAGAGTGCAGTATTTCCCAAAACACCCCGCAAGGCGCGTTTGCTGCAGACCCCACTTCAGGTACCACGGGTACCAACAAAACTAAGAGGGAGGTGCTCCTACCCCAGGAAAAGCCTTCGAGGGGAACGAGCTAAATACAGAACTAGACTCTCCATTTCTAAGGGACTCATTTATTCACTGAAGCGGCCTCTCAGACACTCCCTTGAGGAATATAGCAGGTCACCGTACTCTGTGTATTTAAATGCAATAAAACCACTGTCTGTTTTAGCCCCATATTAAGAAATCAATAAACACTCAGATTTTAAACAGTGGTTTAAAAAGAACTCTCTAAGATCACATTCCAATGACATAAATCAGAAATTTAAGTTTAGCTACTTTTACACACACACACACACACACACAAATACACAGAGAGCTCCGCAGAAAGAGAACCAACCAGAAAGACTCGTAGACAGAGGCCACGAGGTGCACACTGAGAGGCAGAGAAGGGGCGGGAACAAGACGGTGAACCGACAGGGAGCGTTGGTGTGCTTACTAAGCATGCCCTGAGTGCCCACTCCATGCCTGGCACTATGGACACGGCAGGAAATGAGTGACACTTCTCCGAGATGGCCCAGAGAAGGGCAGAAAGAATGCGAGAGAAAGGAGGAGAGAGGAAGAGACCCCGCTGCTCTTGCCTCATGCGCGGGGACCACATGAGAGAGAACCCAGCGTCACACTGACCTTCCCCTCAGGCACCGGCCCCCACGGCCCCGCTCGCCCCGTCCGCCTACCTTGATGGCCACATGCCCCTCCACCTTGTCCATCTCGGCCAAGAGCGCTGACAGGAGAGATGACTTTCCACAGCCCACCTGGCCCACCACGGCCACCAGAGAACCTTCTGGAATGGAGAAGGTGATGCTGAAAAGACACAACACACAGGGCCTCAGCCACGCTCTCACCCGAATGAGGTGGGCAGGGCCGGTGCCCGAATGAGAAGCGGAGGCAGGGCTGCCATGCGCCTCCACAATCTGGAAATTTCTCTGAGTTTCTACTGCTGAGCTGAGCTCAGCGAACAGTCTAGGGCCTTTCTTGTGTGAGGGACAGGCCAGGTGCTGAGAGGCCAGCGCATCTGAGAAAACGGAGCCCTGAGCCATCCGCCAAATGCAGAGGCATTCCCTTTGCCCAGGGCACAGCACAGGTGCCGGGGGGCAGAGGGCACCTCACAATGAACTCTGAAGGAAGGGTAAGCTTGTGTCAGACACAGAAACCTAGAGCAGCTTCAGAAAAGGCCAAGGCTTGAATGGTGTGCACGGTCAGGGACCGACCTGTCAGTGACACAGATGAGGTGGGAGGCAGGCCAGTCCTGAAGGTGGTGGTGGCCTCCACCGAAATTGCCCTTTGACAGGTACCAGTGAACAAAGAACAAGAACGTGAGCTCACGCTGCAGCAGTGACTGCCTGTCACACGAGGTATCGGATCCCACAGAGCAGGATCCCACAGAGCAGACGGGCGGCACGTCCGGGGCCCTGCCAGGTTTGCTCACACCGGCTGTGCTTTCCCACGGCTGCCATTAGGATTTCCAACCTTTCAGTGGAGATGCTGCTGGATTTCACTCTCACTCGCTATCTAGTTCTTGGGGACCTGCTGCAGGGTCGCACTGACTGTGCTTTGGTTCCTGTGCATCGAGGGGGGTGGGTTAGGGACTCAGGGAAGCAGCTCTTGCAATCATCCAGGTGAGACGGGGATATCTTTTTTTTTTCCCCTCATTTTTTTATTATTAAGGTATTATATGTGTACATACCTTACCAATCCCCACCCCCTCCCACTCCCCTTTATGCCCTCCCTCCCCAGAGACGGGGATATCTTTATAGGCTAAGGAGAAAGAACGTTTGGATGAATAAAGATGTGGGGAATCGAGGTGGGTGAGGAACAGGACCGCCTTTGGTTCTGGAGGAACAGAGGAAAGATGAGAGCACAGATACGGAGAACTTACTTGTGGAGTAGAATGAGAGAAGCTAACATTGAAGCAGGCAGGAGTAGTCAGACACAAGGAAGAATTTCCTAAACACGCAACCCCACCACGAATTTCCTAGGGAGGTGCTAGGCAGACCCTTTTCTCTGTAATTTGGCTCCCAGGAGGGGGTGTTTGTTCAGGGGCATGGGGGGGGGGTACACTTGGCCCCTCTGGCCCTGCGTTTTGGGGACTCTTTATGGAGGCCTGGAAACCACTAGGCAAGGCCTCCCTCCGGTCAGAGGAAATAAGAGACACTAAACAAGCTGCCCGGGAAGCAGGTCAACTCCCTGGACGTTGTGTGCTGTGTGGGCAAGGTGCCAGGGAGGGAGTGGGTGAGGAGGGTGAGCCAGGCAGCTGGCGATCCCCCCGAGGACAGAGAGCAGTTCCATCCTGAGAGCAAATCCCAGCAGACGAGAATTCCCTGCGACAGACTCAAGCCTGCCTGCCACCACCATCAGCATCACAGTCTGGGACTCTACTGGGCCAATCAGTGTGCTGGGTCTCTCTGGGCACAGGAATTGGCTCAGGGAGGGGCACATGACCCAAATTGGGCCAATCAGAGCCAGGCAGTGGTCCCAATCCAGTGGTCTGCGGACCACTGGTGATCTGTCAAGTTCGAAAGGCTGGCGACCGCTGTCCTAATCCACACCTGGAGCGAATAGGGACGATTTGCCATCAGGAGGGGAGAGGCCGTCTGAGAGAGAAGCAGAACAATGACAAGATGCAGAGAATCCTAATGGTTTGGAGTCTCTGGGTCACACTACCTGAAAGTGGCCCTTCCGTTATTCACGGCCAAGCTCTCCCTTTGTGGCCTAAGCTTATCCGTGCAAGGTTTCCGTCACTGACCTTGAAAGGGCACCCTCTGTGCCAGGCACACTCCCATCGGGTGTGACTGCATCTATTTTCCAGATGGGCCAAGTGAGGCTCGGAAAGGCAAAGTGACCTATTCAATCAAGGCCATAGAGCTGGCGCGTGGCTGGCATTGAACCCATGCTTGCTTACCACATCCTGGCTTACCCATTCAGCGTGGGGGGGTCGCTCCTGGCCCACGTGAAGGTGGCGTTCCTCACAGTGATGCTGGAGCCCCCGCCTGAGAAGCAGCAGACACAGCGTGTCAGGCACAGTGAAGTCACGGGACTGAGCGTGAGCAGCAGGCTCTGGCGTTCGTTTTTCTAATCAAGTGTAGTTCAACCCCCCGAGGCCACACAGTTCCGCCAGGCCTTATCTGGTTACATCTGTCTCAGTTCCGAAAGAAGAACCCAGCCAGCAATTTTGGAGGCAGCCTCAGACCCGGAAGGCAAAAGGAAACCGCAGGAGGACTCCGCCTTGAAAGGCAGGAGGTTGCGCCATCCGCATGACCATCGCGTAGAGGTGGGGGGGCGGGGGGGCCCACGGGGAGCACAGGGATCCAGGGACTTCCCTCGCCCTGTCCTGCGAGGTTCCGCCGGCCAGCTCTGTGGCCGGGAGGGCCGAGCAGAAGCCAAGGTCAACGGCAACAGGCAGCACCCTCCCGCGCTGAGCTTCTCTCTATAAGTATGGACTGGCTCCTGGCCCTCACCACGCCCTGGGCTTCTTCCTTTGTGTTCAAAGCAGCCCGCACCCCAACTCCTGGATTTCAGGGCTGCCTCCTCACTCATCTCCCATCACAAAGGCCCGTCTAAACAGCAGTCACATCTGCAGTGAAAGCAGGCTGTGGGTGCGGCAGGGGGAGCGTGGTGAGGCAAAGGCTGCATACATGCAGGGCTGCTGTGACTCTAGCTTCGGGCACCTCTGTCCTCTTTCACTTTCCCTCCCCTTACTTCCCTCTCACTCCACGGCCCTCACTTAGAAAAACACAAATGTGACTCGTAATTATGGGCCGACTTTTAAAACCACCTAGAGATAAGATGGGGATGTTTTGCAGTTATCAAACGAAGAAATTCCCCCACACATCAGAAAAGCAAAAAGTTGTGGTGAGAGGAAGTTACTGGTTAAACTAACTTTTAACCTTTTCCCTCATTCCCTCTTCCTATCCCCGCTGAAAACGGAGAACAAGGAGGAAAATGGAAGAAAAAAAAAAAATTAAGAAAAGCCACTTGAGACCAACAAGCTACTGGACCATGAGAAGTGGCTGAAAGCTGCCAAGTCTGGCACCTGGAGGTGTGGATCAACTTCTCAGGAGGTGGAAATGCCTAGCAGGCTGCCACCAGGGCAGGAAGGGAGGGGCTGAGGTCTGCAGGGCACCAGGAGGCGGGGATGGGGCTTTCCAACATGCCATGTGCAGGGAGCTGTGAGCTGCAGCAGCTCAAACCTCCACTGGCGGCCCCCAGCTTAGACCCCGGGCTACGCAGAGCAACTTAACCCTGGCCTCGATGCTGTTGCCCCCGTATCCTTTAGTGGGGAAGGGACGAAGGTCCCCAGGACAGCAGGGGGAAGATTCCAGCATCCAGGGAGCACTAGTGCTCAAGTGGGGGTGACTCTGCTCCCCAAGGGACAGAATGTATTCGGAGCAAGACATTTTGGGCTGTTAAAACTGGGGTGTGGTCAGCCCAGCGTGGCTCAGTGGTTGAGCATTGACCCGTGAACCAAGAGGTCACCAGCTCCATTCCCAGTCAGGGCACATGCTCAACCCCCAGGGGGCGTGCGGGAGGCAGCCAATCAATGCTTCTCTCTCTTCAGTGTTACTATCTCTCCCTCTCCTTTCTTCTCTCTCTAAAAATCAATACAATTTTTTTTAAAAAAATAGGGATGTGGGCTACTGGCATCTAGTGGGTAGAGGCCAGAGATGCTGCTCATCATATAACCACACCAGAGAAAGCATGATCTGCCGGAACGCCAGTGGTGCCGAGGCTGATATGGCAATGCTGCAGACCTTCTCACTGACACTAGAGAAGCAACGACCGCCACCTCTCCTGGGCTAGCAGGCACTGTGCTGGTGTTTTACCCACCACTGAAGACTGCGAGGTGCAGGTAGTGCTCACACATTATAACCAATATACACACACATTCAGGGGCTCTGGAGCCAACACTGTGCAGGCTCAGAGCCCTACACTGCCACTTCCTGGCCGGATAGGGCTGGGCGAGTTACTGAACTCCTCTGTGCCTGGCTTTCCTCGTCTGTAAAACAGGATGAATAATGGGATGGACTCCATAGGGGGAGGGGGACTGTGATGAGGAGTAAATGAGGCAATACACGGAGAGTCCTTAGAACAGTGCTTGGCACATAGTAGGTACTCAGTATGTGGTAGGCAGACAGACATTAACAGAGCAAGGATGAGGATGGTGATGATGATGGGCCAGGTACAGAAGATCAGGGTGGGAAGGCCCAGGTGCCTAGCAACAGGCATTTGTAAGGTGGGACCTGCTCCCAGGGTGACTTTTCTCCCCTGGCTTATCTCTGGCCAGGTGTTTGGACCAGGACCCCCTGCTCCCCATCTTTCCTCCCCAGAGATAACATCTAGGCCTCAACTTGTATTTCAGCTCCAGGCCGATAAGCAACAGAACCAACCTCAGGACCAGCTGCACTGAACGACCCCCTGCCCTGGTGCCGGCCAATCAGTGGAGACCACAACCCTAAAGGACACAGCTGGGACACTGCTGAATAGTCTATTTAGATCTTCCCCGGGCACCTCCCCTAAGTCTCCACTCAAAACACCCTTAGGGTGAGGACCCGCTGCTCTTCCTCCTGGGAGCAGGCCTGTGCCTGAGCTTACCCTCTCCCTCTCTCTCTCCCCCTCCCCGTTTCCCTCCCTCTCCCTGCCCCATGCTTCCTCACTCCCAAAGAGGCCCTTTCTTTACCTCCTTAAAAGCCCATTTCATCTAAGAATTACTTGTACCTCTGGGATTTACCAAGTAAATGTTCTCTTATAGTGTGGGGCTTGGCTCTGAATTCTTTCCTGGCCAGAACCTAAGTACCGAGGTTGAACCCAGGCTTGGCCTGACCCCGCCGGTCTGACACCTGGTGCCGCTCCCACCGCCTACAACAAACCCACTCGGTGGCTGAGAGCACAGGCCGTCGTGTGGATCCCGACTCCAGTTTGGACTGGCTGTGGGATCTGGGCAAGTTCCTGGGGCCAGTTTCCTCATCTGTTAAAATGGGGGTTTCCACAGCCCCTCTCTGTGCCACACGAGCAGCAGACGGGATATCACATCGACGTCCTTGGAACAGAGCACCTGGCGGGAGTCTCACTGGTGTGAAAGTGGCTGCTGCCGTGAGTGCTATAGTAATAGAGCTGATTATTAAGTGCCTGGAGACGCAGCCATGGATCAGATCCCTGGTCAGGGGCCTTGGCTGGGAAAGGACAAATTAATAAGCTATAAAATAAACAAACTTACCAATAAAAACCCATATAACCCCCTGACACAGAAAAGTACCTTCATTCCCATTATCCAGGTGGGGAAACTGAGGCTCAGAGCAGTAAAGAAACCAAGTACACACAACCGGTCAGTCCCCAGCAGCCTAGTTCTGTCTGTGCATCTGCCCAGAATAGAACCGAAGTCTAGGTACCCCAGAAGCTGACCTTCAGGGAGAGGCCTCGCCCACGGGTGCCTCTCAGCAAGAAAGCGGAAGTGCAAGTTCACCCCCCTGGGAGTTGCGAGGCAAGGCCCTCGAGTCCACCCACTCTGCAGAGATCCTTCCCCCCCACGCGGCCTCAGAGACAAGCTGCTGGGAAAAGCCAAACGGAGGACAGCTGAGTGGAGGGCAGCACCCTGCACAGAGGGACCAAACGCACACACCGTCTTTGATGGGCTGTCGCTCGATGCTGTCTGGATCCAGCTCCTCGTGGGACAGAAAGATCCTGAGGCGTTTGAGGGAGACACTCGCCTACACAGGAAGCAACCATACACAAGGCATGGTTATTTTTAAAAGGATTTTTTTGCAAAACAGACCCCAGGCTAGCATCCAGTGGTTTGCCCTGGGTGCAGAGGGCCCACGCCCTCCCTCATTGCTGAAGGCTCTGCATTTCCCAAAACCAGCCTTCACCTCAGAGTAACAAGTAAAACAGTTCTATAATAATTTGTTCTCCTTTAAAATCCCACAACAGGTATTAGAAAGGACTTTTCGAGATGCAAAGGGACTTAACAAACATAATAATGGAAGGCAATGGTCCTGTTTAAGGGCACAAATGAGCAGCGAGGAGCTGAGTAAGTCCTGGGACTGAATGTACAGTGTAGTTGCTAAGAGACTAGATCCTTAACTGTTCCCATCACAGAAAGGGAAATGATAACTGTGACGTGATAGAGGTGTTGCCTGACACCATAGTTGCCATCATACTGCAATGTATCAATGTATTAAACTTACAGTTATATGTCAAATATATCCCAATAAAAATAAAATCAAACACACACATATACACCCACAAATAGCCCAATTCTGATTCAGACAACCCGACTGTAAAGACATGAATGAGACAATCTGTGTGAGGCAGTTAGACATGAGCAGAGCAAAGGCGATGAGCCAGATACAGAAGGTCAGCAGGGAGGAGTGCCTCGTAAAGGACAAATGTAGGGCAGGACCTCACCCCCAGGGTGACCTTTCCTCCTCTAGCATATCGCTGGTCATGCAGGTGGGGCCCCCTGACCTTTCCATATAGCTGGTCATGTGATTTGGACCCCTGACCTTTCCTCCCTAGAGATAACATCTAAGCCTCGAGTTGTATTTCAGCTCCAGGTCCCGAAAAGCAGCAAAACCAGACAAGTGACACCACTGCTGACCTCAGGACCAGCTGCTCTGACCCTGAAAGGACACACCTGGAAAGCTGGTGACTATTCTACTGAGATCTTCTCCTGGGACCTCCCTTGAAACCTCCACCCTCAAAACCCTCAAGACTGAGGACCCAGCAGTGCTCCCTCCTGGGAGCAGGCCTGTGCCTTTCTCCAGCCCCTCCCCCTCCCCCCCCGCCCCCCAGGCACTTCACCTTCACCTTCCTCACTCCCAAGCTCCAAGGGCCCTCCCTTTACCCCTATAACTTGTTTCCTAAGCCTATCTTCTCTATGAGCTACTTCTTCACCCTCTGTGATTTTCCAAATAAATGTTCTCTTATGGTTTGTCTTGGCTCTGAATTCTTTCTAAGCCAGAACTCAAGTACCGAGGTTGCTGAGCCCAGGTCCGGTCTGATGCCACGGGTCTAACACTGGCGCTGTGCTGCCAACAAACCCGGGAAGTGCTCATATGGGCGGAGTGTTCCTTTAAGAAAGGACTGCTAACTTCGTGAGGCATGAGAATGGTGTCACAGCGATGCAAGAAGAAAGGCACGCAGGAGTATTTTTGGGTGAGTGGCCACGAGGTCTTGGATTTGCTTTAAAAATTTTCAGCAAAGAAAAAAAGAAATGAAGAAAGGGAGGAAGAAGGGGGGTGGGGGTGGAGGGATATAAAAGGAGCTGATAAACAAACCAGTGTGACATAATGTTGAATCTGGGTGACGGGCTCACGAAGTTCATCATTATCTGAGTCTCTTCTTCTGTACATGTTTGAAATGTATCATAATAAAAAGGGGTCTTATCTGCTTTTCTAAAAATAAATAAATAAATAAGGTCTACAACCAAATCTTAAGGCCGATTCTTCTGTGTGGCTGAAAAGGGTTTTCAACATGAATGCGTGCCATGCGAGGCTGACGAGTGTGAAAAGCACGATCGGCGGGAAAGTGGTGGGCGTTTCAAATGGGGTAAAAGAGGAGAGGGCGCTTTCCTCTCCTTACAGGGTCACTGCGTGAATGTTAGGACTTCTAGGGGGGTGGTCTAGGTTGGGGTTTTTGAAATGGGTCAAAGCCTATTAGTGGCTGGTGAAATCAAGGGCAATGGGTCAACAGATACATTTTTAAAAAGATAGACTAGGGCCGTGGTCAGCAAACTGCGGATCTTTGGTCCCTTGAGTGTGGCTCTTCCACAAAATACCATGGCCTGGGCGAGTCTATTTTATAGAAGTGACGTTAGAAGAAGTTAAAGTTTTAAAAAATGTGGCTCTCAAAAGAAATTTCAATCGTTGTACTGTTGATATTTGGCTCTGTGGACTAATGAGTTTGCCGACCACTGGGCTAGGGGATAGGGCACGGTGGAACACAGCGGACCGGAATAGAATAAACACTTCAGAAAGCATCTCACAGAGCACAGGAAAGCCTGGCTGCAGTAATCCTAAGCATATGAGTTCCTTGTCAAGAACGAATATGTATTGCTGTCTTTGGGGCACAACCAAGAAGCAGGAAAGCCACGGGGCCAGGCTCGCCCGGACCTCCGGGCGCAGTGGGATGGGCGCAGTGGGATGGGCGCAGTGGGATGGACACAGTGGTTTGGGCGCAGTGGGATGGGCGCAGTGGGATGGAGACAGAGGGATGGGCGCACAGTGGGATGGGCGCAGTGGGATGGAGACAGAGGGATGGGCGCAGTGGTTTGGGCGCAGTGGAATGGGCGCAGTGGGATGGACACAGTGGTTTGGGCACAGTGGGATGGAGACAGAGGGATGGGCGCAGTGGGATGGGCGCAGTGGGATGGGCGCAGTGGGATGGAGACAGAGGGATGGGCGCAGTGGGATGGAGACAGAGGGATGGACGCAGTGGGATGGGCGGTGCAGAGGGAGCTGCCTGCAGGGGGACTGTTAAGCCCTTTTGTTTTGTTCCCGGAGAGCCCTCCCTGCAGCCCCCCAGCCTCCCTCATACCTGCACAATACTGCTGATGACCATGGGGAGAATGTTCAGGGGGAAACGAAGGATGTTGAACAAGGCCAAGGACACGAAGGCTTTCTGGGCATCCAGGACGTTGGTCTCTTTGACAGTCACATAGACGGCAAAAGTAGACAGGGCCACCTGCAAGCAGAATGCCATCACTGACTTGTGTTCCCGAGTCAGTCCCAGTTACCCTGCTGGCTCCCCAGCCAGGGGTTCAGGCCCTCCCCTCATGAGCTGCAGTCACCTACACTGGCCACAGGGGGCAGCAGAAAACGCCCAAGGTGACACTCAGAAAATGACTGGATAAATAAATGACCCGGAGCCCAAATTACCATCATCTTCCTTTGGGGCACACCGGACTCCTCAACAACACAGCATCACCCCACCTCTGGGCCGCTGCCTGTGCAATTTTCTTTGCCCAAACAACCTTCCCATCCAAACAGGGGCTGGTTACTCCGTCTTACCCACACTCCCATCCCAGTTTCTTTTTCTTCACAGCACCTATCACCATCGAGGGTGACAATACATGTATGTACTGTCTGGCTCCTGCACTAAAATGTTAACACCACGAAGGCAGGGGCCCCGTCTTGCCCAGATCCTTGGTGCCCAGAACAGTCCCTGGGCCACAGGAACCCTGAGTAAGTTACCTCCTCTCCCCATGCCTCCGCTGCCTCATCTGTGAAATGGGGGTGAAGGTGGAGAAGAAATGCCACTTTCAAAATTCCTCCTAGCTCATAAACCTTTATATGGTTTTATATTCCCAGGACAGGACGACTTTTTTATTATTATTATTATTTTAAAGGAAGGAAGGAAGGAAGGAAGGAAGGAAGGAAGGAAGGAAGGAAGGAAGGAAGGAAGGAAGGAAGGAAGGAAGAAAAAACAAACAAACAGCCACTTTCTTCCCCATAAAGTCAGGCTTGCCTTCAGCCTTGTGGTTTTACTACCTTGCTTTACGTTCTTGGGATTTTACTACTCCGGTGACCAGAATTTGGGTTCAGTTGTTAGAGATGGAGAAATGAGGGACCCCTGAATAACCCAGGGCCAGGCTGCTTGCTCAGAGAGCAGGGAAGAGATAATGGGGTGAATGTCTGCACCCCTCCCCATCTCCCTCACTGCTGGGGAGGCTAACAGAGGCACCCCAAGAGATCACCTGGTACATGCCAGCAGGGCGGTCTGGTCTGGAAAACCTTGGACCCGGCAGACGAACAGAAGATCCCAGTCCCCTGCCAGCCCCAGGCTCCTACAATCACTGGCGGGGAGGAGAGGGGAGTAACAGACTGCTGGGAGTCAGGGGTTTCCAGTTTAAACCTCTGGTATAGCTGTGGTTCAGAGTATTTTCAGGGTCTCCTTTGCTGCCTCATTTCTTTGTTACCCTTTAGAAGGCTGTAAAGCCTAAAAATTAAAACCGTAAGTTTGGCCACACACCAGGCGGGTGTGCCGCCTCGTTTCTCCGAGTGAGCCTCTATTTTCCCATCTACAAAGTGGGGATCCCGACACCCCTCTGCAGGAAGCCCGGGGCTCGCAGAACACTGAGCACAGGACCCGGGGCACAGAAAAACGCAATCTATGGCAGCTGTTTTTATTTCTTGTTACAAAACTCAGCCCCAGCTCCTTGGATTATTCTTCCAGAGAATCTATAAACCGGCTCCAAGAGCAAGGCGCTGGGAAGCATAGCTGGTGGTGCCCTGGCTCTGACATTAACGAGCTGGATGGCCCCGAGGCCCGGCACACATTTTCCAGCCCCACGGCCAGGAGCGGGGCGAGGTGCTCCTGCTCTGGCTCCCCTCTTCCGGGCAGTGACCTCTTACATAACCAAAGGCACGCTCCATCCAAACACCACACGGAGGACCAGCACTGGCCCGGCTACCATCCGAATGAACCTGAACACCTGGTGCCAAGTGAGAGCAGACAGACGCAAAAGGCCACATAGCAACAGGATCCCATTTGTAGGAAATGAATATCCAGAATGGGCAAATCCACAGAGACGGAGAGTAGGTGGGCAGGTGCCCAGGGCTGGGAGGTGGGGGGTGGGGAAGGGAGTGCGGAGTGACTGCCAATGAGGGTTTCTGTGGGGGGTGATGAAAATACTCTGGGATTACACAGTGGTGACAGTTGCACAACCTTGTGAGTAATACAAAACACCACTGAATTTTACACTTAAAAGTGGTGAATCATATCTCTATAAAAATACCAAATGATTTTTAAAAGCCCAATTCTTCAAACCTGTCCTTTTTGCTTACGATAGCAGCTAAAGTTTGACTCGGGCCCCTGGGCCCACCTGATTTGTCAACATCCCATCTGTAGCTTGTCTGGCTCCTGCTCCTGTCATTCTTCCCCTCGCCCCTCAGTTCCAGCCCACTGGCCTCCACAGTTATCTTTCCTCTGGGGCTGGCCCGGTCCAGCCTCAGGGCCTCTCCACTCACTCTTTCTTCTCCTTGGAGGGGCCCCTCACCTCCAATAAGTAGAGACTCAAGTGTCCACTTCTCAGTAAGGCCTTCCATCATCCTATTTAAAACGGCAAGCCTTCCCCATGGCTCTAGCCCGAATCTCTTTTCCCTGTAGCACTTACGGCGGAATAGCACACTATATGATGTGCTTGTTATGCCTACCGCCTCTCCCAATTAGGATGAATTAGGGCGGGGAATTGTGTCTGTGGTATTCACTGCTCTATCATCAGTGCCTAGGACAGCACCTAAATCAAGGTAGGTACTCAGGTAATGTCTGTGGGTGGGAGGATGGATGGACGAATAGACAGGTGGGTGGGTGGATTTCCTGAAGGCAGGAAAGTGTGCACTCAGATGTGTCTCTTCAGCAGTGGAGAAAACCAGGCATCAAGGATCTGACCACCAGAACACACCAGCTCCCTCAGCCCCAGGGGGTGGGGTGAGCCGGCGGCACAGGCTGTGAGTCCAGAGGGAACAACATCCTGCCGCCCCTTGTCAGACCCACAGCTTTGGCTTCTCCAGGAAGTAGCAGTCATTCATTCATTTGCTACTAACTGGGCACCTACTATGTGCTAGACACTGTGTGCTCAGAGGTGAGGCAAGCATGGAGATCCTGACATTACCGGCGCCCTGGATAGAAACAGAAGAGATCACCAGAAACCGATCTAGAGCATGGTGCACTGGCCAGGAATTGATCCTGGGAGGCGGGTGAGAATCCTACCATGGCTCCCACTGGGTTCTTGGGAAACTGCGAGTTAGAAATCATGCGAGTTCCCCAGAAAGCAGTACTCAGGCAACAGGTTTATCATACGTAGCTGGTGCACTGAAGGAAACAACTAAAGGAGAATGAGAAATATTGCTCCCCAAGCAAAAGCCAGGGAACGATTTGAAATGAGTTGAGGTGGGAAAGATAACATCTAAGTATGACATCTAAATATGTAGAGGCTGGGACTCTTCGGCACTTGTGTGTGTAACTACATGCTTCTTCATGCATTGAATGTCTCATGGGCATATTAAATCTCCACCCAGGGGTGTGTGTTTTAGCTAATTAAATGAGGGAAGGTCAGGAAAAGGATAATCTGTTGCTAGCATGCACTAGTGAGTGAAAGGAACCACATTTAAGCACATCGAAGTAAATCTTGCAGAAAGCCATGTTCTTCAGCCTAGCTGCCAATTAGCTGTTAGGAGAAAAGAAAGCATTGGGGCAATTACTGGGGCCCTGGCTTCCTGCCAGCTGGGCGGGGAAGTAGCCTGCCTGTCTCAGTGAGACTCGGTCCAGTAGGAAATAGGTCTAACCTGGTTCTCTCATCAGGGTGTGTGTGAAGGTGACGGGTGGTAGGTGGTGGGGAGCTGGGGTTTGCTACCACCTTGTCATGGGTGCGGGTAGAGAATGGGAGAAATCCTTCACCAACAACGAAGAACACTGTTCCACTCTAAGTGCTCACAGCGCCGCCACCGAGAACTGGGGCAAATGACTGAACCACCTACGCCAGCCCAACCCCTACACAACCTGGCATCTGTCCTTACTGCCTGCCCAGCACCCACTCCCCAGGTGCTGGTAACATCTCAATTTCCCTTTGGGGAACTGAACCTCACCCAGCCTCAGTCGATAAGCTTCCGCCACAGAGGAATCGCCCACGTCCCACCCCAAGCTCATGACCCAGGTCTAGTTAATCCAACCATACCATCTCCCTGGCTGTGGTGATTCACGATAAGCACATAGGCAACTGCAATCAATGAGACTCAATCCCACAGCTTTGCAGGAACTAACAGGGAAAGGGGGCTGTCTCCCCACAGGAGTTACTGAGATAACAGAATGAACTGTAACTGTGTGGAAAGCACATCTGACAAAACACACACACACACACAGACACACACACACACACACACACACACACAAAAAAAAACAGAAAGGATGAAGCAGAGCTAAGCAACAGAGATCTTGGGAGCACCTAGATCTAACCATGCCTGAAACCCCAGTCGTGCTTAAAACGAGCATTTTCCTAGACTTCTCAGTCTTGTGACTCAAAAATCCCTTTTTTTTTTTACTCTAGTCAATCTAAGTTAAGTTTCTGTGCCTTACAAATAGGCTAACATGCTAATCAACTGAACAGCAGAACAACCGATCACTATTTGCAAGACAAATAGTTTACTCCATTATCTCATTCATTCATTCCTCCACATACACTCGCTGAGTGTGCACCATTTGCCAAGACCCCTATGTTCTAGGAGACAAGCAAAAAAACACAAGGTCCACGAATGACACCCCGAATGGTAACTACCTAATGAAAGGAGATATACAAGGTAAGTAAGAGGCAAGAAGCTCACAAATCTTCCAAGATGGAAAATGCTAACTAGTGCCGGCTGCCTGGGGGTGCTATTTCAGGAAAGTGCATTAAGTGGACATGATAAATGCCAGGCTCTGGAACCTAGAAAAACAGTCCCATCAATCCCACCATATGGCATCCCCATTCCTGTCTGACCTCCCGCGGCCTCTGTCTTCCATCACACCTCCCAGCGGGTAAACACCTCATCATCCTTGAAGCTCAGGAATTCACCAGGGAAATGAACAGGCAAACACCTTCCAGGCGAGCTGAGGGCCACATATTTTATCCTAATGTAGTCAGAGGCTCCGGTGCCTCCGCCAGGGCCAAGGTCCCAACTGACACCCAGCTCAACAAATCCCCATCTCAGGAGGCCCGTCACCCACCCCAAAACTGAGTGGCAAATTCAAGATCAAGAAAAGGCAGTCTGCACCTAAGCATGGCTTCCTAATAGAGACCAGGGCAAGAGACAGTGAGTGAAAGGCAAGCTGGTTCAGGTGACAAGCTGGAAACTCGGTTTGGTCAGAGGATTTAATGTGCAGAGCAAAGGGTGATGGGAAGGAAAAAAAAATTCCCCATCCTAAGTGTAACACAACCCATGGATTAAACCCTATTGTTGCCGAAACCGGTTTGGCTCAGTGGTAGAGCGTTGGTCTGCGGACTAAAAGGTCCCAGGTTCGATTCCGGTCAGGGGCATGTACCTTGGTTGCGGGCACATCCCCGGTAGGGGGTGTGCAAGAGGCAGCTGGTCGATGTTTCTCTCTCATCAACGTTTCTAGCTCTCTATCTCTCTCCCTTCCTCTCTGTAAAAAAATCAATAAAATATATTTAAAAAATAAATAAATAAATAAATAAAAACTCTATTGTTGCTCCCTCAGGCTGCAGATCATTTCCTATTTAAAAAATAAAGTGGGGGAGAGAGGGAGAGAAGGGGCAATTCAAAACTCCTTCACCCAGCTGGAGTGGCTCAGTGGTTGAGTGTCAACCTAGGAATCAGGAGGTCACGTTTTCGATCTCAGTCAGGACACATGCCCAGGTCGTGGGCTCAGTTCCCCATGTGTGGCATGAAGGAGGCAGCCAGATCAATGATTCTCTCTCATCACTGATGTTTCTATCTCTCTATCCTTCTCCCTTCCTCTCTGAAATCAATAAAATATATTTAAACAACAAAAACAAAACTCCTTGGATTTCTATATGATTTGCTATCACTTGTGTAAAAGTAAAGCAGCTAAAAGAGCCATATAAGTTTAATGACATTTGTTACGCATAGTCACTGTTATGCTGACATATAAGGTCTCTCTAGAAATACACACAAGAAACTGGGAGGAAAAGAGCTGTGCTTTTCACTGCAGACCACGTTCTCAACGGGGGGCTGTTTGGCAATGTCTGGAGATGCTTGTGATTGTCACACTGGAGGGAGAGGCACCACTTAGCATCTTGAGTGTAGAGCTCAGGAATGTTGCTAACCACCCTACAATGCACAGAACGGCCTCAACAACAAAGAGACAAGGAATTATCGGGGTCCCAAATGCCAATAGCGCTGAGGTTGCAAAGCTCTATCGTAGATCCTTCGAAATAGCTTTAACTATTTTTACCATAGCAACACATTACTGCTTTTTAAAATAAAATGTATCACATATACAAAATAGAATCCTATATAATAAAAGGCTAATATGCAAATCGACTGATCAGCAGAACAACCAGTCACTATGAAATGCACTGACCACCAGGGGGCAGATGCTCAATGCAGACGCTGCCCCCTGGTGGTCAGTGTGCTCCCACAGGGAGAGCACCGCTCAGCCAAAAGCCGGGGCTCACAGTGGCAAGCACAGAGCAGTGACAGGAGCCTCTCCGGCCTCCACAGCAGTGCTAAGAACCCCTGGGGGGATGTCCGACTGCCGGCTTACGCATCCCCCAAGGAGTCCCGACCTGCGAGAGGGTGCAGGCCAGCCTGAGGGACCCCCATTGCCACCCCCCAGTGCACGAATGTCATGCACCAGGCCTCTAGTACAGTTATAAACATGTAGAGACTATTTAGCAACTTAAAGAAAAATAATTAAATGAACACCCTCTACAACTACCATCCAGTCTTACACTGTTTTTATTTTTAAAAATCAAAGGTGGTCGTTGAATCCCTGGGGGAAATCAGGGAGACTGCAGGGTGAAAGAATAAGACGGTAGAACCTTCTAGCCCGGAACGCCACTGTGTCCGAGCTGGAAGGCATCTTGGAAACAGAGTCCCAGAACAGCTAGGAGATGGCAAGTCACTCCCTGTGCCAACTCCTGCCAGCTGACAGTGGTCACCGGGGGTGTTGCTGGAACCTAACTAGGTGGGTGGGAACACCATGACTGACTGTGGATGTCTGGAATGGGCAAGGGAGGAGGGGGACAGCAGGGCCCCATATGTGACATCCATGTGGCCGAACCCCTTCGTGTTTAAGATGTGAAAACCAGGGGAGGAGGTCACACCCTGAGCTGGCAGTAGAACCTGCAGATGTCCTGACTTGGAAGAACATTCCATTCCTCTAAGCCGGGTCAGCATCCTACGGCCCGTGGTCCACACCTGTCTACGTCAGGCCCCTGGCTTAGAATAAATAGACGTCAACATACACTGAAAAGACAAGAGTTTCCTTAAACATTCCACCTGCAACTCGGCTGTGATGAAACAGATGTCAGTCTAATAGGAAATGGGATGATTTGTGAAAACGTGTGCTTTTAGGTCATAGAATTCTCATTAAGAATATACAGGGTTAGGCAAAAGCAGGTTTACAGTAGTGAGTACACAAAGCAGAGTTTATTCCTGTATTATTTCTTAGTTATTTTATTGTTTATTTCTACTACAACTGAAAAGACAAAACCCCTGCCTTCCTGGAATTGACATTCCAGTCGAGAGAGACACAGTAAGTGAAAGAGTAAGTTAGTTTTCTAGTGTGTTTGCACTGCCACTTGTAGTGTGGTGCACAGCTCACTGCCAACACAAGTCTTACCGGGCAGCAGTAGGTAAGGACCCGGTACTGTCATGTAGCTCACCTATGGCACTGAGCACCCGGTTTACCTCAGCTGACATCTTTATTCTTGGCAAGACCCTCTCGAATGCTGGTGGACATTCTGGTGCAAACTCCTTACTTCATGGGGAACCCGTAACATGCAGTTGCTGAACTGGCTACTTTTGAGGACCCTGGGCTGGAAGCCGCTAAGTGTTACAAATAAAATAAAGAGTGTGTGTGGCATTCTTTATTTTTTTAAATATATTTTTATTGATTTCAGAGAGGAAGGGAGAGATAGAAACATCAATGATGAGAGAGATTGCTCGGCTGCCTCCTGCACGCCCCCTACTGGGACCAAGCCTGCAACCCAAGCATGTGCCCTTGGCCAGAATCAAACCGGGGACCCTTCAGTCCGCGGGCATGAAGTGATGGAGTGATAAAAGGCCCTGTTGAAATTTAAAAATACTTAGATAATAAAGCAACATAAAATGATGTGGCCAAGATGAAGCTGGCTTCACTCACCAGGAAAGGTGTGCAGACCCAGGTGAAGGTGCCCATGGCGGCCAGGTAGGCAGACTTTTTCAGCACCTTCAGCTCCTCCTGCCGGATGGCCAGCACCTTGTCTTTGAACGCCAGCTCCCAGGCGTAAAGCTTCAGCACTTTGATCCCGTTGAGAATTTCATTCATCAGCTTAATCCGGCTGTCCTTGCTCTTCATGTGGGCCACCTTCAGAGAGAAGCCCATCAGCCCACATCTGGGGCTGGCCGCTCACTGCTGGCCACGGCGGCCGCGGCATCACACCATCCATCACTCACACACCGCCCCCCGCCCTCCCCTTTCAAATGGCCTTCCTGAGGGTGCGAAAACACAGCCAACTCTGGGACTGCCATGAACCCTACTCCTGACCCTGGGGCGCTCCAAGGGACTCTTCTATCTCTGGGGAAGAAAATCAACCCTGCTTTGGGGAATAGAAACAGGGGAAAAAGGGAACATGGTCCTACACCGCAGACTCAAATACAAGAGAGATGATGTTGGGTTCTTCCCTCTGTTGTGTTATTTTCTTTATGAATTCTCAGCCACGATACTGGTGAAATACTGCAATGTTTCTCACACAGCTGGCACTGGTTCTGACCCCTGGGAGTCCATACCACACAGCAGTTAAAATTGCTAAGAGCAATCTTGCACCTTCCACCTGCCAGGCACTATTCTGGGCCTTTTACATGCCTCCAGGCATTTAATGCTCACAAGAACCCCGTCAGGAGTGCCAGGGTCGTGCCTGGGCCCCCGAGGAGGACACTGAGCACCAGGAGGGGAGAGCCAGGACTAAAGCTGTTTCAGAGGTGGCTCTCAGGGAAGCCCACGTGTCGTAGGCGTGAAAGGCGGCAGGGCCACAGCCCCTTCCTCGTCTCGCCTCGCCTCTCCTCTCCTGCCCATCCTGTCCCCACCTGCTGAGGCCTCATCCCCACAATCCTGGGAGTCATCTCTCCTCGGGCACCATCCGGGGGCCTGGCCCTCTCGTTTGGAACTCCACAGGCACACCCTAAACAGCCGTTAGCAGGGGCAGGAAAGTAAACGCTGACCCGGCTCTGTTATGGACCACCAGGCACCAGTTCAAGAGGATGAAGTCAGACTCACACCACAGAAAAACCCCCCAGGCACGGTGTCAAATGGTGACATCAGGCCAAAATACATGTGGTCACAAGAGCACAAAAACATACTCATACACACCAAACCTAACTATCTGATTGGATCTCTCTCTACATGCACAGAGAGTTCCGGAAGGACTTGCTTCACCGTATTCACGGTGGGTGAAGGGGGAGGGGAGGGGACACCCCCTTTTAGTCTATGCATCTTTTGTATTATTTGAACATTTTTTTATAATGAGTAAGCAGTCACTCTGCTACTTGGGTATTTAAGAACTTAAAAATACGAAGTACCTCAGAAACAGAAGAGCTGACCACTGTATCTAGCACAAAGGGGAGTAATTTTTACTTAATTCTTTAAAATGCACACACGCACACATGAATCAGTTCTTAGAGGCTCCCAGACATGCTTTCAGTCACCGGCCCGCTGGTCCAATGATTTCGGGAGCTCAGAACCTCGGCTGCCCATTGTGACCACCCAGGAAGCTTTAAAGACGTTTGACGCCCGGCCCCACCCATATCAGGTGAATCAGAATCCCTGGACGGGGGCCCGGACACCAGCATTTGTTAAAACTCCTCCTCCAGGGATCCCAACAGGCAGGCAAGGCTGAGAATCCCACATCCGGAGCAGAAGAAACTCAGCCGGAACCCACGTAGAAAGGCCCCAGGCCGGGGCCCAGGCTGGAGTGTGGGGAGACGGACACCCTACCTGGTAGGTCTTGGTCTTCATGGCCATCACGGCGTTCAGGGGCACCATGAGGATCATCACAGCCACGCCGGCCAGCACGGAGGGGCCCAGGTTCTGAGGAAGGAAAGAGGACGAAGGTTCACACAGGCTTCCCGGGCTGAGCCACCACTCTGACTCTGCCAGGAAGTTCGAGGCGCTTCCACTGCTTTTACCCAACTTTCAGATTTAATCCTGAGCACCTCAGCCCCTTTAAGAAGATGCAGGTCGCCCCAGCCAGTTTGGCTCAGTGGAGAGAGTGTCAGCCTGCAGACTGAAGGGTCCTGGGTGCAATTCCAGTCAGGGGCACATGCCCAGGTTGCAGGCTTGATCCCCAATAGGAGGCCTGTAGGAGGCAGGCAATTCATCAATGATGTTTCTCTCTCTCTCCCTCTCCCTTTTTAATGTATAAAAGAACATGCAGGGCCGAGACTGGTTTGGCTCAGTGGATAGAGCGTCAGCCTGTGGACTGAAAGGTCCCAGGTTTGATTCTGGTCAAGGGCATGTACCTTGGTTGCGGGCACATCCCCAGTAGGGGGTGTGCAAGAGGCAGCTGATGTATGATTCTCTCTCATCGATGTTTCTAATTCTCTCTTCCTCTCTGTAAAAAAAAATATTAAAAAAAAAACAACCATGTAGGGCCATGATCCTTTATCAGAACCCTTTTGACCAGAGGTAATAAGGCGTTGAGAAAAAAACAGCTACCACAGCCAGCCCGAGGAGTATTCTTATTTGAATGTCCACCTACAAATCTGGCCCTTGACTGGCATCTGGGAGCTCGGATTTGGGGAAAGCTTCCATCATTCTCAGAACTGATACAAGTGGCCCCCTGTGCCTAAACGGTTTATACAAACAATGTGGTGTGTGATGAACACCCCTTTTCCTGCTGGAATCTGGGGGTTTGGTAAGTGCCAGGCAGAGGCTTACTATGTGACCAGCCCCCTATAAAAATCCTGGGCTCCAGGTCTCTACTGAGCTTCCCTGGCTGGCCACGTTCCCCCAATGCCACACCTGGTGGCTGGGAGTCAAGGGCATCCTGTGTGTCACCCCTGAGAGGATTCTTGGAAACCTGTGTCTGGTTTCCCCCCAAACTTCAACCCCTTCCCTCAGCCTGTGGCAATGAATTTTAGCCCCGAGTCCTCCTAGTAAGTCCTCGGCCTGGCATGCTCCCGGGGACCCCCCTTCTATGTATCCACCCCACCAGGGCCTGGCCCAGCACTCCATGAGCAAAGGCACCGGTTCTTCAGCAGCCAAACAGGAATGTTCACAGCGAGAAACATAACCCGGGTCACCAAGAGTTCGCGTCAGGTCAGGTCAGGTCAGGTCAGGTCAGGCTTTGTCACCAAAGGAATTAAGGGAAACTTTGGGATTTCAGAGCTGTCTGGCTGGGATCTGTAGATAAGAGGCTGTAGATTTTTTTTCTCTCTCGTTCCATTGCAAACAAGGAAACGACTGTCTCAGAGAGGTCAAGAAGAGCCAGCCATATAGATCGGTATCTGTCAGCTTCCACAAATGCAGGCGACAGCTTGAGAAGCTAGCCCAGGGTGCATTTACTCAGCTGGAGCATACAGAGGGGACTCCGGGGTCATGTGACTCCCCCACTTTCGGCATTCAGAAAAACAGGAGCGTTAGTCCCTTCCAAGCAGTCACCTGCAAGGGCTCTGGGCCTAGTTCCAAAAAAAATACTACTGCTGATCCAAGTGAAGGTTAATCTACCTTTGAGAACAAAGGTGATTTCTACCAACAATCAAAAGCATTCAGAATCCTGACAGTAACTAAAAGAGACAGAGAACATCTGTGTACCACGCAGTGTTCCATAAGCATGACCTGCATTAATTCATTACCTGGTCCCAATATCCCGATGATGAGAGGTACCGTTATCATCACAATCTACAGAAGAGGACACTGAGGCTTAGAGACGCTAAGTGACTAAGTCACAGAGCTAGTACTGGGAGAAGCAGGATTTGAACCCAGGCAGTTTGATTCCAGAGCTTGCCCTGTTTTTGATGGTCAAATAGAGAAATCCTATTTTTGGTCTTAAGCTAGTGATCCCCAGCCACATAGGACTTTCCCCTCTCAGAGTACAGGCAATGCCTAGAGACATTTAGTTTGTCCTTACTGGGGACTGAGAGGAGAGCTGTGTTATTGCTGTCAGTGGGTAGAAGCCAGGGATGCTGCTAAAACATCCTACAACAAAGAATGCAACCCCCACAATAGAGAATTGTCTGGCAATAACACCTTCAGCATCCCTCATTGAAAACAAAGTAATTTTCTTTTCATAGTTGATAAACCAACCCAAAAATCAAGTGTAAAAGTTTTTTAAAGTATTTTATCCACAGCAGCACCTTCTGGGGAAGTGGATACCCCAACACTCTCTGGGAAAGCGGATGTTGGAAAAGACATTAATTTTGACATCTAAATAGTGGTATTTATCTCCCAAGTTTCATTAACAGAAACAATTTATAATCATCTGCTGTCCGCTGTATAAATACACAAAAAGTGGAAAACACAGCTAGATCAACAGGTAATTTTGTGCACCTCTTATGCTCCTGTTGGAACTATACCCAAAGGATATGAAAACAAGACCCTGTGAGTCCATGAGTAGCAAAATGCCCCTGAGAGCGGAAGCGGTGGTACACTGAGTGTGCAAAAACTATTCTACTATAAGGTAAAATCAGATGAGTTTCTATACTTAAGCTATTGGGGTTCAATAAAGAAGTCCATCTAACTGAGAAGGAAAAAAACATCAGTGGCATTTGTCACAGCCTTGAAGGATGGCGGGATTACATCCTTAGGGAGGAAAAATGGAAGGGCATTCCTCCTGGAAGGAGAGACACACGCAAAGGCTCAGAAGGGAGAAAGAATAAGTCGTGTGTCAGAATATGAGCATCTTTGCTCCTTATCTTTTGATTTTGGGAACTGTTCCTTGTCTTGTAGAAGGGCTGTCAATCATACCTACGCCCCTTTCACAGTGAGAGAGAGAGAGCTTGTGATCCAGATAGCCAATCAGAGAACTTCACCTCCTGCCTCACAGTGATTGGTTCAGGGATACGAATAGTACTGTGCCAGGCCAATCAGATGCTCCCTGGAACTCTAGCTAAGGCAAAGAGGAATGCTTTTTCTCTGACACCACTATCTGTAAAAATGACACAAGCCCACAGTATAAAAGCCATTTAGGGAAACTCCATTGAAAATACAGTCAACTCAGGATCCAAGATGGCTGCGCCCAGGTGAACACCTAGCCGCAGCCGCACACAACAATTTCAATAAAATACAACTAAAATATAAAACGGACATTGCCCAGAACTACAGGAAGGTTGACTGACTGGAAATTCTACAGCGAGAAGCAAGGAGAAAACCAAAAGGAGGCACGGAGGAACTGTAAAAGCCCAAGGTACGGAGACAAGCGGCGCACGCGGAGAGGAAGGAGCTGGAGAGGAGGGAGGCCGAGTGCCTGGCTGGCGTTCCCTAGCGGGAAGGAGATAAAACTCCGACTGTGCTGGACCCCCGACTGCTCTGAACCCCAGTTCTAGGCCAGACCCCGGGGACTCAGGCTCAGCCATAGGGAGCCGGGCTGTAAGGCGGAACCCCAGGGAGAGGCGAAAGGAGGTCCCGGAGGTGCGCACACTGCACACAGAGAAGGGACAGTCGGCTGTGCCGCGGGATTGCCCTGACGGGAAGGAGACTGGGGCTCCAGACTGCTCTGAACACCACCTCCAACTCCACTTCAAATGGAACTGAACCCCAATACCGGGCTCATTGTGGGAGAGCATAGACTGTTTGGCAGCAGGCGAAAATCGAGGGCACCTTTCTCTCAGAGGCACCGGCAGCGAGCACTGAAGGACCCGCATAGGGCGGGGCTGACGGAAGCCAAAGCTGCAGGCTCCACCCTGAAACCCCATCCCATCTGTAACTGCGAAATGCGACAACAAAATAGATCACAAATGCGACAACAAAATAGATCACAAACAAAAGAAATGGAGGACAAAAAGCATCTGGATATAGAGTTCAAATCTACGCTTATAAGGTTTTTCAAGAATTTCCTAGAAAAGATGGATAAGGCCTATGAGGATATGAAAAGAGATCAACTAGAATTAATAAGGAGTCAACAAGAAATGATAAGGGATCAACAAGAAATAAAGAATACATTGTCTGAAATAAAAAATATTTTACAGAGTCCTAAAAACAGAAGGGAAGATCGCAAGAATCAAGTCAAAGATTTGGAACATAAAGAGCCAGAAGACACTCCTCCACAGAAGCTAGAAGTCAAGAGAATCCAGAAAATTGAAGATAATGTAAGAAACCTCTGGGACAACTTTAAGCGAACCAACATCAGAATTATGGGGGTCCCAGAAGATGAGAGAGAGCAAGATATCGAAAACATACTGAAAAAAATAGTGACAGAAAACTTCCCCCACCTGGTGAAAGAATTAGATTTACAAGTCCAGGAAGCACACAGAACTCCAAACAAAAGGAATCCAAAGAGGACCACACCGAGACACATCATTATTAAAATTCCAAGAGCAAAAGACAAAGAGAGAATATTAAAAGAAGCAAGAGCAAAGAAGTTAGTAACCTATAAAGGAGCACCTATACAATTGTCAGCTGACTTCTCAACAGAAACCATGCAGGCCAGAAGGGAATGGCAAGAAATATTCAAGGTGATGAATAGCAAGAACCTACAGCCAAAAATAATCTACCCAGCAAAGCTATCACTCAGAATCGAAGGCCAGATAAAGAGCTTCACTAATAAAAAAAAGCTAAAGGAGTTCATCACCGCCAAACCAGAATTATATGAATTGCTGAAGGGGGTTCTTTCAGAAGAGAAAGTAAACAAAGATAAAAATTATGAACAACAAATACGTAACTATCAACAAGTGAATCTAAAAACCAAGGAAATTAAAAAAATCTGATGAACAATATTAACTGTTGAATATAATAGAATCAGAGGTATGGAAGGGGAGTGAACTGATGATTCTTGGGTAAAAGGGGAGAGGGGGCCGTGGGAAGAGACTGAACATAAACTGTGCACCTATGGATGAGGACAATGGGGAGAGGGGAAAAGGGTGGGGTGGGAACCTGGTGGAGGAGAGCAATGGTGGGGGGGGGGGAGGAACATTTGTAATAATATGAACAATAAAAACTTATAAAAAAAATAAATAAAATTGGGGGAAAAAATTAAAAAAAAAAAAGAAAGAAAATACAGTCAACTCAGAGGGAAAGAGGGCCAAAAAATGACTGGAGAGTAAAACTGAATCCTTACAGTATTCCTTGAATTCCTAGATCCATCCATGCCTGAAGTCCCTGGACTTTTCAGTTACATGCATGCACCCACAAAATTCCTTGATTTGGCTATGCTATTTAAAATGGATTTATTTTCTTTTTAAGAAAGTATGCTCAGATGTTACAATTATGCCTGCTGCGATCCTATCCACCTCAAACACAAAATTGCATCAAGAGAGCTCCAAGAAATGTGATGGCAAAATGTATTGCTGGCCACACAGGGGTCTCCCTAATCACGTTATTACTCAGCAGACATTGGTAGTGCACTCTAGTGCAAATTCTGTGGATGTAGTGCCTTCTTTCTTTTCCCTGCCACTTTCCTTATCTACTTTTTTCCCCCATCTGTCTATACCCCTTCCCTTTGGCAATTGTCAGCTTGGTCGTATGGGTCTGTTTCTATTTTGTTTTGTTTATTCATTTGTCCTGCTATTTTAAATTCCACATATAAGTGAAATCATAATATTTGTCTTTTCTGTCCGACTTATTTCCGTTAGCACAATACTCTCAAAGTCTATCCATTATGTTGCAAAAGACAAGATTTCATTCTTTTTTATTGCTGAGTAATATTTCATTCTGTGTCCATTCATATGTGGGTAGACTTTTAGGTTGCTTCTATATCTTGATTATTGTAAGTAATGCTACAGTGAACACAGGGGTGCACATACCTTTTCAAATTAGTGTTTTTGTTTTCTTTGGATAAATACCCAGAAGTGGAACTGCTGATTCATACAGTAGTTCTATTTTTATTTTCCTGGAATTTCCATTCTGTTTTCCTTGGTGGCTGCAGCTATTTACAACAATACCAACAGTGCACCAGGGTTCCCTCTCCACATCCTCACCAGCACTTGTTATTTGTCCATTTATTAATGACTAGTGGCCCAGTGCACACAATTCGTGCAGTGGTCCCTCTCCAATCTGGGACCTCTCGAAGGATGTCCTACCACCAGTTTATAGGGATCAGACCTAAACTGGCAGTCAGACATCCCTCTCGTAATCCAGGACATCCCTCTCGTAATCCAGGACTGCTGGCTCCTAACCACTCACCCGCCTGCCTGCCTGATTGCCCCTAATCACACCCAACTGCCCCCCATGCTGGCCTGCTCACCCCCAACTACTGCCCCTGCCAGCCTGCTCACTCCCAACTGTCCCCTCTGCTGGCCTGCTCGCCCCCAACTGGACCCTCTGCTGGTCTGCTCACCCCTAATTGCCCCTCCCACTGGCCTGATAATCCCCAATGTCCCCCCCACCGGCCTGCTCACCCCCAACTGCCCTCCCCTCTTGGCCTCTAAGCTCCTTTACCTTGGCCCCGCCACCATGGCTTTGTCTAGAAGAATGTCTCTTGCAAGGTCTCCCAGTCTGATTAGCATATTACCCTTTTATTAGTATAGACAGAGGCCTGGTGCACGGGTGGGGGCCAGCTGGTTTGCCCTGAAGGGCATCTCAGATCAGGATGGAGGTTCCCTTGGGGCATGGTGCAGCCTGGACGAGGGGCCTGTGGTAGTTTGCAGGTCGGCCACAGCCCCATGGGGTGAGGGTCCCTGCTGGGGGGTGGCTAGCCTGGGAGAGGGGCTGAGGGCTGTTTTCAAGCTGGTCACATCCCCTTCAAGGTGGGGGTTCCCACTGGGGTGCATGGTCAATGGGCTGATGGCTGTTTGTAAGCTGGCCATGCCTCTCAGCTGGGACCCTCACCCCATGGGGGCATGGTAAGCCTGGGTAAGGGGCTGAGGGCCATTTTCAGGCTGGCCACACCCCCTGGTGACCCAGGCTCCCAGCCCCTCCTTGAGCAGAGGCCAGGGCGAGTTGGAAGCTTGGCTTCCTCCATCGCTGGGAGAAACTCAAGCCTCCTAATTGCTCCAGCTCCATGGCCGTCACCATCTTGGTTGGGTTAATTTGCATACTCACTCCTGATTGACTGGTGGGTGTGGCAAAATGATGGTCAATTTGCACATTCCTCTTTTTAGTATAAATAGATATTCTAACATTGTGAGGGGATATCTTATTGTGAATTTAATTTGCATTTCCCTGGTGATTAGCGATGTTGAGGGTCTTTTGACAGGTCTGTTGACTATATGTCTTCTTTGGAGAAATGTTTATTTAGGTCCTTTGTCCATTTCTCAGTTGGATTGTTCTTTTTGGTACTAAGGTCTATACATTTCCCCATATAATTAGGATAGTAACCCCTTATTGGATGTGCATCATTTGCAAATATCTTCTCCCATTCAGTAGGTTGGTTGTCTTTTTGTTTTGATTTGCTTCATTGTGCAAAAACATTTTAGCTTGATATAGTTCCTTTACTTATTTATTTATTCTTTTGTTGACCTTGACTGAGATGACACATAAAAAGATATTGCTTTCTTTTCATTTCTGTTTGCATGAAATATATTTTTGTATCCCACCACGTTCAGTTTGTATGTTTTCTTCGTTCTGAAGTGAATCTCTTATAGGCAGCACATACATGGGGTATGTTTTTAATCCTCTCAGTCACCCTATATCTTTTCATTGGAGCACTTAATCCATTTGTATTTAAAGCAGTTCTTAGTATGTTTATTGTCATTGTGCTCATTGTTCTCAGGTTGTTTTATAGATGTCTTCTATATGTTTTCTTCTCTTGATCTCTTTCCTTGTGGTTTACTATTGTTCTGTAGAGTTCCTATCTCTTTGTTCTTCGTGTATCTTTTGTAGTTTTCTGGTTTGTGGTTACATGAGTCTTATGTACAGGGTGGAACAAAAGTAGGTTTATAATTATGAGTATGCAAAACACAGTTTATTCTTATATTATTTACTAGAGGCCTGTTGTACGAAGATTCCTGCAAGGATAGGACTTCCTTCCCCTAGCTTTGCTCCCACCCACCCGGGAGCCTGCAAGTCCTCACTCCCAGCAGAGTGCTACCTCCCCTCTCATAGCAGGCGTCCTGCCCTGCCCAGCTGCTCAAAATTGACCCATCTTTGCATACTCACTCCTGATTGGCTTATGGGTGTTGCAAGGTATGGTCAATTTGCATATTTCTCTTTTATTAGTGTAGATTATTTGTGTTATATTCCATATGCACAACTGTAAGCTACCTTTATCCCACGCTGTATTTCATTCTTTATCTATAGCAGTCTAAGAAATTCGTGTTTGAATGTATTTTGTAAGGACTACATTTAATCCCCCTCCATACTTATGTTACTAATGTTATGTTTTAGATCTTTTTCTAATGTGTTATCTGCTACTCCGTATTATTCAAATCTGGTACTTTTTCTTTTGACCATTCTAGTAGGCTTTCAAATGTCTGATTAGCTATATTTATTAAATATTCGGCTTTACATGTGACTTTTTTTTCTTTCTATTCTCATCTTTCCTTATTTCTGGTTATGGCCTTTTCTACTCTGCTTAAAGAAGACCCTTTAACATTTCTTGCAAAGCTAGCTTTTTGGGTGATGAACTCATTTAGTTTTTGCTTGTCTGGGAAACTCTATCTTTTTTCAATTCTGAATGATAAACTTTCTGGGGAAATTATTCTAGGTTGCAGGTTCTTTTCAGCACTTTCAAGATGTCCTGCCACTCCCTTCTGACATGTAAATTTGCTGATAGCATCATGGGGTTTCCTTTATACATAACTCATTTTCCTCTCGCTGCCTTCAAGATCATATCCTCATCTTTAATTTGTAATATATCTTGGTTTCTTTGGGTTCATCTTATTTGGAACTCTCTATACTTTCTGGACCTGAATGTCTGTTTCCTTTCTTAGATTTGGAAAGTTTTCAGCCATTATGTCTTCAAATAGGTTTTCTGTACCTTTCTCTCTCTTCTCCTTCTGGGAACCCTTATGATATGAATGTTAGTGTGCATGACATTATTCCAGATGTCCCTAAGATTATCCTCATTTTTAAAAATTCTTTTTGTTGTTCTGATTGATTTTATCTAGTCTACCTTCTAGGTCACTGATTCATTCTTCTGTGTTAGCTAATCTACTGTTGATTCCTTCTAACGTATTTTTCATTGCAGTTATTGTATTCTTTGAGTCTGCTTTGTTCGTTCTTACACTGTCTTTTTGTTGTTCTCCCAAAGTTCCTCTATTGCTCTCCCAAATTTGGTGAACATCCTTATGACCCTTTAATTCTTAATCAGACAAATTATTTATCTCCATTTCCTTTTTTCTGGGGATTTTTCTTATTTATTCACTTCACAGAGATTCTTTTGTCTTTTCATTTTGTTTGATTTTCTATATTTGTTTATATAAATTAGACAAAACAGCTACCTCTCCCATACCTGGAAAAGCAGCCTAATGGAGAAACAGCCTCTGTAGGCTGCCAGGTGGTTTTGGCAGGATGGTAGGAGCTGAACAGGTGCCTGAAGTGTCCAAATTGCTGGCCTCCTGAGCTGGAGTGGTTCCACATGGGAGGCCACATTGTGCAGCAACGCCCTGTGGATTCTATTCTGCTTGCTCCCTTTGCTCGAAGCAAAAATGGGCTCAGGCGGTGTGCGTCCAGAAACACATGGCAGCAGTCTTGCAGGTAGGCCAGAGCACCTGGCTAGAGCCACCACCCACCCTATGGAGACAGAGCGGGGCATAAACAATGACCTGCAATCCCAGGAGAGCCCTCGCAGCTCTCCGGCCATCTCTGCATGTCTCTCTCTCGTCTGTTATGCAGAGAGTGGTTTTGTGTAGAAGTGGCCTCCTTGCAGGCTCCTCTGCTGGGTCCTTTAGGGAATCCAGCTGGATCCAGGCAGGCACTTGGCTCCTGGGGCACTGACCGGTGTGGCTGCAGTGGTTCCTGGCCTTCCTGCCAGATGCCAGTGGTGACACCTGTTGTTCCCGCTTGCTCCCTTGCTCAGAGACAAGTGGCTCTGGGCGATGTAGCTGTTAACTGCCGGGGTGATCTCGCAGACAGGCCAACGCCCAGATCAGAGCTCCACCAGGACGTGGACTGGAATGTAAACAATGGCACCACCCGCTGCTCCAGCTTGGGGCTTCCCTAGCTTCCCGCCATCTCTGTTGTCTCTTTACCTTGTGGTTCAGGAGCTGCTCATTGTCAGCATACCTATATATTTGAGTTTGCTCCTGGGAGAGGGGAGTTCAGCATCCTTCCCTGATTCCATCTGGTATATTCCTACCCCTTGCAGCCAAGAGATATTATCTTGACTGACATAATTCAGGGCTAGTGAGTAAATGTTAGGCTAGTGTTTGGGAGAACACAGTGGCAGAAATACAGTGTGTATGTCGCAGGCTATGTTAATTACACATATTCTCAAGAAAAGATGAATGCAAATACTATGCCCAGAGGCCAAAGAGAACATAACCCAATAACGGAGGAAAGGAATAAAACATCCAGGAATTGCCTGGTGGTCAGAACATAGAATGTAAATGAACAGCAAGAACTACCAGTGAGCTATAGAGGTTCTGTCAACACCCACTCCCTCACCCCCACCGCCCACACACACAGGTCCCTCCCACAGGACAGACACCCACATCGAACACACACCAGCCACAGAAAGTAGAGCGCAAAGATGACTTGCAGAGGGGCTGACCAGATCATGTTAATGTACGTGGTCAGGTCCATTAACCTCTGGGCGTCCACCGACATGAGGTTGACGATCTCCCCGACCGTGGAGGACTTCCTGGCGGAATTGGTGATCAGCAGAGCCTGTGGGGCAAAGGAGTGGGGAAGGGTGAGCGTGGCCGGTGAAGAGCCTGCGCTCTGCCTCCAGGCCCTCGTGAAGGACGAGGCTGCTCCCGAGTGGAAAGGACACTGCTCCTTCCTCCTCTCCTGCTGACTTACCTGCCTCCCCGGCCGCCTGTCTCAGCACAAAGCCTCCACGCTGCCGGTGCACTCACTGCCTCCCCAGCTGGAGGCAGTGGAAGGGACCTCAGAAGTTGCCTAAACCTGGACTTTGCATCCTTTTTCGTGTACATATGCCGTACACGGGAAGTTTACGGCTCTGATTCGGCAGGACTGGGACAGGACCCGAGACTCTGCATTTCTAACGGGCTCCCAGATGATGCTGGCTCCGCTCGTCCCCAAACACACTGAGGGACCAAGGTCTAGGCCAGGGTTCCTCAATGTTGGCATTCCAGACATTCGAGGCTGGGTCATGCTTGGTGAGCTGTCCTGTTCAGCAGCATCCCCGGCCTCTCCCCACCAGGTGCCCGCACCCCAAGGTATGACAACCAGAAACATCTCCAGACATGGACAAACATCATCAGGAGGGACAAAACACCCTGATTTTCAGACGTGGCATCACACTATGATCTGGGACTTTTAGAGATAATGATGCCTGGGTCCGACCTAAGGGATCATGATTTGATGTCTTGGGGTGCAACAGGTCTGGCATCAGGAGTTTTTGAAGCTATCTAGGCGAGTCTGACCTGCAGACAGGGCTGGGAACTAACGAGCTAGTCCAATCTTCTGTTCTGCTAGACAGTCTCTTCCCAGCCCATGGGGCCCAGGCAGTGTCCTTGCCCCAGAGGCGAAGGAGAGGGTGACCAAGAAGGCAATCCAGCTCCATTAGAGCCTGCTAAGTACCCTGTCACCCAGGGGAGGGGCCATCTGCTCAGTCCAATGGACAGTGAGAACAAGTTCAAACACAGACTAGGACTAGCAGAGCTAGGATTTGAACTTGGATTTCCCCAAATCAAGTACCACCTGAGAAATTCCGTCTCCCATGACTCCTGAAGGCTCCCCGGTGAATCGGCTTTGCTGAGGCCTACTGCAGAACTGCCAACCCGTGCCGTCCGCAGTCACCGAGGCCACCCCAGAGCCACTGCTCCAGGAGCTGGGCCCGCAATCCCCAGGGTGGCCTCCGAGGACCCAGCCAAGTCCTGACAGAATCTGGGGCCACAGCAGATGTCAAAGTCGGCCCACGCGCTCACAACCTGGCCTCACCCACCTTCCGGTAGACGGCACCGATGACGGCGGTCTTGACCCTCATGCCGCTGACGAAGCAGATGTGGAAGTACTGGTGCAGCATGAGGGTCTGGAAGCAGGCGCTGAGGAACAGGACCGCCGTGTAGAAGTAGCCCTGCCAGGCCGGGGCCTTCTTGTCGTTCACAAAGTTGATGAGCAACCTGCGAAGGAGCAAGGACAGAGCCCAGAATGACGCGCACGAGCGGGGATGAACGTCCTTCACCTTCAGCATTTTGATTTCCCCCCAAGCTGGGTGAGGCGAGCGTTAGTACTTCAATTTTATAGACTGAAAACCAGTCCATGGCGGTGATCTGACTGGGCAGCAGCTCATGTGTGACAGGGTGCCTCAGGCTTCTGGCACAGACTACTCTCGTTCATCGCCCGCAAGTCACCCGCAGGTGACCAGAGAGGGAGCAAGAGGGGCGAGAGCAGGGCGGGCTAGGGAACAAATGTGTGGCCCCAAAGAAACAGGGAGAGAGGGAGAGAGGGAAGAGAGAACAGGAGGATAAGGGGAGAGGGGGAGATGGGGAGAGGAGGGAAGAGAGAGAGAGAGAGAGAGAGAGATGGAGGGGTAAACACAGAGCAGAGAGAGGTGACCTCCTTTCTGACTTTCTGGTGTGAGATGCAGTTTTCATGGGATTTGGTACTCTTCGCTGCCCAAGACAGCCCCCTCTCTCTTCCCCCTTTCTGGCTTCAGGGGAACCTAGTAATTGGTTTCTGTTACTTGCAATCAGAGTGTCCTTAATTAAGATGCTACTGAAGAAAAGCACTACGCCAAGCAGGTAGACGAAGAGACGGGGCTGAAAAAGCCCCCTGGAGCATGCCCCCTGACCCTAAGGGAGCATTAGCAGGATGCGCAGAGTCGCTCAGCTGGGAAGGAAGGGGTCTTACCTCAAGATCTCCGGGCCGATGAACATCATGATGTCGTGCAGGGCCTTGTAGAGGAAGCTCATGAGGAAGTAGGGCCCGAAGGTCTTGTGCAGCACCTTGAACAGGGACGGCTCCCGCGCCTTCTGGGGGCCCCTGACAATCAGCGCCTCCGCCTCCTCGTTCACATCCACCCTGGAGCCCCCTTTCGGCTTGGCGGGGTCCGTGGAGGGATCCTTGGAGGAGTACAGGATCTTCACCGGCTGCCTGGAACACAGGGAGTGTGGGGCCCTGGGGGCTCGGCCTCTGGCAGAGCCCACCGGCTGCCAGGGCGGCCGGAGAACCCCGTCCTCGGGAGGCTCGGCCAGAGAACCCCGGTCATCGCAGAGGCAGCTTTTTAGCACAGCGGCAGTGAGCTTGAGCTCAGGATCCTGGCTCAGCCACTGGCCAGCTGTGTGACTGAGGCAAATCCTTAGTTTCCTCGTCTGTAAAACGCAGATTACAGTAGGACCTACCTCCTAGGGCTGTTGCGAGAATGGAGCGAGTTAATATGCGTGAAGGGCATGGCAGAGTGCCAGCCCCAAATTGGTCTACAGATCCAGTGCAATAGCTGTCAGAATCCCAGCTGGCTCCTCTGTAGAAACTGGCAAGCTAATACCAACATGTGTATGGAATCTCAGGGGACCCAGAAGAGCCAAAACAACCTTGAAATGGGTTAGAGACCTAAACACAGAGCTAACACTATAGAAATCTTAGAAGGCAACAGAGGGATCAATTTTCATGGCTTTGGATTTACCCTGTTTCCCCAAAAATAAGACAGTGTCTTATATTAATTTTTGCTCCCAAAGATGCGCTAGGTCTTATTTTCAGAGGATGTCTTATTTTTCCATGAAGAAGAATACGGTACACATTTATTGTTAAATGAAAATAAAGGTAATTTATTACCTGTATACGGTACGGTAGTATGCTAGTTGTCAACACAAACCAGACAAACTATGAATCCTACAGTATCAAGAATTTACTCATTTATTCAATGACAATCATGTCATCATCTTCTGGAACATCATCATAACAATCTAATTCCTGAATTTCCTGGTGAATTTCTTGTGACTCCATTTCTTTCAGAATCAGTGGACCAAATCTCTCATGTTTAGCCTGGGGGGGGGAGCTTATTTTCAGGGGATGTGTTATATTTCATTCAGAAGGAAACCTGTAGGTAGGTCTTATTTTCGGAGGATGTCTTATTTTCGGGGAAACACGGTAGTAATGGATTCTTAGATATAAACACCAAAAGCACAAGCCACAAAAGAAAAAATGAACTGAACGTCATAAAAATAAAAAACGATAGTACTTCAAAAGATACGACCAAGAAAGTGAATCCTCATAGTCCTTGAGAAGATTTCATTTTTTGGGGGGGGGGGGGAGGTGAAAAGACAACCCATAGGAGAAAATATTTACAAATCAAAATCTGATAAAGGTCCTGGCCAGGTGCTCAGTGGTTAGCGCATAGGCATGTGCAGACTGAAGGGTCGCAGGTTCGATTCCGGTCAAGGGGATATACCTTGGTTGCAGGTTTCCCAGCCCCAGTAGAGGTGCGTGTGGGAGGCAACCAATCGATGTGTCTCTTTCGTGTTGATGTTTCTCTCTCTCCACCCCCACCCCCCTTCCTCCCTTCCAATCTGAAAACCAATAGAAAAATATCCTGGACCTCCGCTCAATCTTCTACATCTAATCAGGCCTGTGTCTTGTCCGTTCCATAGCTGCGATGTATGTAGTCAGGTGAGGATTTTTTTTAAAGTCTGATAAAGTACTTGTAACCACGGCACATGACGAATTCTTCCAACTCACTAACAAAAAGACAACCCAGTTTTTTAAAGGGGGCAAAGAGCATATGCAAATCGCCAGTGAGCATATGAAATGTTGCCTAACATCAGTGGTCACTAGGGAAATGCAACCCCAAACCGCCATGAGATATTACTTCATAGCCATGAGGATGGCTGGCATGAGAAGGTCAGATAAAACAGCGTCTGCAAGGATGTGCAAAAATCGGAACCTTCATACACGCCCCTGTGAAGTCCTCTCTCATTCGGAATAGGACACTGCAGAAACCGTGGAGCATCATGTGTAAGACTGGGCCATAGGGCACACTGTGGCTTTCACCTTGTCATCTCTTAGGCCACTCACTCTGGGCAAAGCCAACCGCCATGTTGCAAGGGCACTCGATGGCCCTCTGGAAAGACCCCCTGTGTGAGACCTCGCCAGCAGCCAGCCCTAACCTGCCAGCCATGGGCAACCTGGAGCAGATCCTGTGGCACTGGGTGCTGACTGCACCCTCATGAGAGACCCTGAGCCAGAACCACCCAGTGGGCGGCTCCTGGACCCCTGAGTCAGTGAAGGGACACTGTTCTTTCAGCTGCTGGGTTTGGGGTCTTTAGCTCTGCAGCAGCAGACATGCCCCCTCGCTCCCATCTACCAAAATGCAGGGAGAACATCCTCAAATGGCTGAGCCTGGACTCCAAGCTTCATCCCCACCCAACCCTCACATTTACAACTTACAAACTTCTAACACAGCATGAGTTCACCAAATAGCATTTAATTTTAGGGGACTCTTTTTTTCTTTACTTTTCTGATTTTTTTTTCCTTTTTTTTTATTATTTTTTTCCCCCGAAATGATCTTTTTTCCTCCCAGAATACTTTGTGCTTACTTTTTTTTTTAGTCTTTATTGTTGAAAGTATTATATCCCCTTTTTCCCTCCCATGGACCCCTTCTAGTCCAACCCCACCCCCTGCCCCAGGCCCCTATTGTTGGTATCCATGGGTTATGCACGTATGCACACAAGTTCTTGGCTTGATCTCTTCATGTCAGGGGACACTTGTCACTTCTATGTCACCTCTATGCCGCGTCTACCCATCTGGCCCATGAGAAACTGCCCCCTGGAGACCACAGCCTTCCCGCCTGCCTTGGCTGTGTCCCACTCCAAACTGGGGCCCCAGTCTAGGCCCTGTCAAGTCCTGCTCTTTCTCCTCTGTGCTCCCTGCCCCGGAAATGGACCTGAAACATGGGACTCAACCCAGACCCCAACCCCCCACAGTCTTCTAGATCTGATCAGACCTGTGTCCTTTCGTTCCACATACGGGATGTATGAAGTCATCTGTCCACTCCTCCCATTTCCACAGCCTCGACTCTAGCAAGTGACCACTGCCGGGACCGCCTCACCACTCCCCATTCCCACCCCCGCTCCCCCCGCTCCCCCCCGTTCTTGTTCCCTTACAACCAGCTCCTAAAAACTCATCGTCCTCCTCCTCCAACCCCACCGACGAGGTTCCCCTGCACCCAGAGCAAAATGGAAGCTCTGTGTGAGGCTGCACAACTTCCTGTGGCTGCCGTAACAAGCTGCCACCAAAGAGGGGACTTCGAACAGCACAGATTTGTCATCTCGTCCTCCCGGAGGTCGGAAGCCTACGTGGGCACACGGGACTGCGTTGCCCTGAAGGCACTCGGGAGAGCCAGCTTCCCCGATAGTCCAGCTCCTAAAAGCTGCCTCCAGTCCCCTTCCTCCACCTTCAAAACCAGCGGCATAGCATCCCCCCACTTCCTCTCCCTCTGACCTCCTGTCTCCCTCTTATAAGGACACGGGGTTATTGGGCCCACGCAATACACAACAGCCTCCCCATTTCAAAATCCCCCGCTCAATCCCACCCGCCAAGTCCCTCTGCAAGGGGAGTTGGCATAGTCACGGTTCTGGGGGTCAGGACGTGGGCATCTTTGGGGAAGAGGGACGTGATTCCACGGCCACAGAGAATTATTTGTGTTCCGTGCTGTCTGTGTGACTACGTAAGGTCCTCCCCTGCCCCCTTTACCGACGTTTCCCGGTTTCTGGCTGGGTTTGGCATTTCTCTCGGCACACACACGCCTTCTTGGCAAGGAGGAGGCGGCCAGCAGAGAGGAAGGAGTGGCCCAGCCCTCCCCCATGCATTCTCTGCGCCACTTCCCAGGAGGGGCCCTGGCCCTGGGCCTGCGTGGCCTGGCTAACCCAGGGCTGTTTTCCGTGGCTGGGAGACGGGCTGCCAATGGAATAGGATAAAGTTTGGGCAGGCAGGAAGGCGGCGGCTCAGGCCTGGGGGAGGAGGTCAAGAATGGTGGAAAGGATCAGCTAAGGCCCGGTCAGGGGAAAAACACACAGTGACAACGGGCCTGTGAGGAAGGCACTCTGGGAAGGGGGAAGCGAGCGGGAGGGGAATGGACAGTTAAAGGTGAAGGTCTGAACAGGGAGAAACTGCCTGGAACAGGGGAACAGAAACTGGTAAGGAAGCTGGAAACTGGAAGAAAAAGGGACCTGCAGACTCGAAAGGATTTCGACGTCACTTGTCTATGAATGGACTGAACACATGCCCTGGGCCGGAGGGAGGAAGGCATGTTTCAGTCCATTCATAGATGAGTGACGTCGAAATCCTACCATCAGGAGCTCGTGAGAGAAATGGGTCTTCACAGCCTGTGGGAGCAGAACCTGCAGGCTAAGGGAGCAGCCCAGCTGGGGAGGTGAGGGGGCTCCAGGCACAGGGAACAGGTGAGCCAGGCCTGGGACTAAGGATTTTGAAAAGGGCTGGGACACCTCTTCCGGGAAGTCAGAGCCTCGAGATAGCCAGAGGGTGGGAGAGCAGGCTGGAAGGGCCTTGGACCCACCAGGCTGCAGTGAGGAGATGAATATTCTATTGAGATCTTCCCCAGGACCTCCCCTAAAATCTCCGACCTTAAAACCCTTAGGAGAGAGCACCCAGGAGCATGCCCGTGCCTTTCTCCTCTCCGTCTCCCTCTTCTCCATCGCTGCACGCACACCCACCCCCACACCCCCATGTGTGTCACCTTTACCTTCCTCACATCTAAGCTCCAAGGGCCCTTCCTTTATCTCTATAACTTGTTTTCTGCACTCAATTCTGCTACCTCTATGATTTTCCTTCTCTGATAGTTTGAGGCTTGACTCTGAATTATTTCCTAACCAGACCTCAAGAACTGAGGCTGCAGAACCCAGGTCTGGTCTGACTCCCCGTGTCAATACTTGGCTATACATCAGACCTCCAGGATCCAGACCAGCTGTCATCTAGAGCAGGGGCCGCCAATTGGTGGTCCGTGGACCACTGGTGGTCCGTGAAGTCCAAAAGGTTGGCAACCGCTGATCTAGACAATTCCAATCCAGAGGCTAAGAGAGAAGACTGACTTCTCAAGAATGTACCGTTTACTATCAGGACTCTTAGCTTTTCTTTCTTCTTGAAAGCAGGGTCCTTAAGACTTTTATAAAATAAGTTTTAAACCCTAGCACTAGAAATCCTCTCTCGAATTTCTTCTCTGTAACCCTCAGAAACCCAGCCTCCCTCCCCCATTATCAGCAACCGCTGACACAGCAGAAGACAGTAGCCCAGACCTGACTAATGATCACAAGGCCCGACCCTCTGGCAGGCTAAAGATAACATCCTGCTGGGCCTCAGCTGTGTTTCAGCTCCCCTGGCTACCTTCCCAGCAGACAGTCCAAGGGACTCTGGAGCAGACCTCAGGACTGTCCTCAAAACTGAAGGAAGGATTTGTTATCCTTACCTCCCCTTGGACCAACCAGCCCCCAGCAGGACCCCCCATCCCCTAACCTGTGAAGTCTTGTGATTCTGCCCTCGATAATCTGACCTTACAGGCCTTCGGGAGTCTGGTGTCAAGCATTAGCTTCCCATCTGGCCAAGTCAGTATTAAACTATTCTTCTTTCTACACGGAGAACTGCTCATGCCTTTCTTTGGACCGGGGTGTGCAGGCCGACGGACTCATAAACATGGGGGTCCCGATAACACACTCTTGGGTATTGCCTAGCTGTGCTCCTGGTTTGCAGATCCTAAAACCGTTAAGTAAATCTTTGTCATTTATTTCTAGCCAAAGCCTCCAGACTCTTTTTGAGTTCGTTTGACAAATCCAGTAAAGGAGCTATTACAAAATCTTTGTCTTCAAGGGGATGACGAGTCTGAAGGGTTGAGAACCACTGCTTAACATGCACATTTTGGAGAGTTTTGTTTTCTATTTGTAATTTCTACTTGCATTCCTTTATGAGCAAGAGACAATTAAGTAAAATGGCCACTCTTTCTTTAAACACTACTACTTCTTTAATATACAGCTTTATTGGGGGTATAACTGATACACGATCACCTGCACATACTTAAAGTGTACAATGTGACGAGCTTTGACACATGTGTACACCTGTGAGTCCACCAGGAAGACCGAATAAAAGAACTCATCCATCGTCCCCAAAGGTTCTCACCCACCTCTCTACTTATTCCCCCACCCATCCTGGCAGCCACTGATCTGATTTCTGTTACTCTACAATGGTTTCCATTTTCTATAATCCTAACATATAAAAATCCTGGGTCATAACAACAAGTAACGATTGGAGGCTGACCAACCGGAAGTCAGTGCTGGCCCCCCCTCCAAGCAAGTGGTAATGGGCAATCAGGCAGGCAGGCAGAGGGGTTAGGGGCGATCAGGTAGGCAGACCAGTGGTAGCAGGGATCAGATAGGCAGGCAGGCAGTGAGGGGTGATCAGGTAGGCAGATGGCTCCTCGTAGGGCTGGCCCTGCCCCCCTAGCAAGGAAAGAGGGAGGCCCAGTCCAGCCAAGTCATTCATTGCACCCCAGCCTGTCACCTGCAGAGGGAGGCCACTGGTGGCAGGGAAGTGGGGGCTGCACTGCACAGATGGCAAGCAGTGGCAGCAGCAGGGCCAGCTGCCTACAGCCCAGCGGATGAAAGTCCTGATAGGCCCTGAGGCCCTGATCTCGGGCCAGGCCTAGTGACCTACCCGAGGGGTCCCGGATTGTGAGAGGGTGCAGGCTGGGGTGAGGGATCCTCACCCCCCTCCCCAGTGCACGAATTTTCGTGCACCAGGCCTCTAGTTATATATAATGGAATCACCTAGTATGCACTCTCATCTGGCTCTGTTCACTTGACATACTTATTTTGAGATATTTCCGTGTTGTCAAGTGTATCAAGAGATAATTCCTTTGTATTGTTCTAATGTATTCCCTTCATTGCTACACCATGTTTTGTATGTCTGTTCCCTTGTCAGTGGATGTCTAGGTGGCTTCCAGCTTGGCCCTCGCACACAAAGCTGCTCTACAAGTCTTTTATGAACAGGTCTCCAGTTATCTTGGGTTACACACCTAGAAGGAGAATGGCTGGTGGTACAATAACTGTAACTTTTTAAAAACTGCCAAACTCATTTCCAGAGCCACTGAAGTGTTTATAGTCATGCCAGAGGAACCACAGTCCACCATGGCCTTAACATACCAGAGGCTAAGAGTCAAAGAGAATCTCCACTCCATTTTGTTAAACTATTGGATAGAAACCAATGAAGCACTGCATTTTAAAAGGCGGGGGGTGGAGTGGGGGAGAGGGGAGGAAGCGGACAGACCTGACTTTGGAGAGGAGTACAGAAAGGAGTGAGAGGGGCTGGGCTGTCTCGACCCAGGGCCAAGAAGCCAAGCCAGACCCCCTGCCAGCTGCCACTGCCTACTCCCCAGAAGGCCTGGGAGCGGCTGAGCCGCACACTACACTGGTCCCCAGCTAACTAAAGAGGCCTCACTGCAAGAGGCCACACCCCGAAATTCCTAGAACCCGACTCTCCTCTCACCCCCACCCCGTCCATCCCTCCCTCCGCAGGGTTACAGGTGCTAGATCTGGCTCACGCCTCTGGGAGCAGAGTAAGTGACCTACATGCCAGAGTCCCCACACGAGGCAGCGAACTCCCAAGCTGAGACGCCCTAACGGCCGAGGTGCTAATGGACCCAGGGCCCCGGGGGTGGCCCAACGAGCCAGTTCTCAGCAGGTCCTCCCAGGCAGGATGCAAGCGCCCAGCCCGGCGAGCAAAACGAATAAACACAGCCTGCACAGCAGTACTGTCCAGGGTTTTCTCAGGGCTTATCCAATGACAGATAACTTGTCGGGTGATGTTTATCTCGCTGAATTCTCAGAAAGCCCTCTGCCTAGGAAACAAAGGCTCCAGCGCAAAATAGGGACTCAGGCAACTCTGGGGCCCGCCAGCGTCTCCCCGTCCGGAGTCTCGACACCCCCCCCACCCTACCACCACCACCTCCCCCGGATCCACCTGCCCCAGGGCAGTCCCAGGGTGGCTATAGAGCAGAACTCACCATGTGCCATAGCCCTACCTGAAACCCACCTCTTCCTTCTCCCCGCACGTGGGGCCAGACCCTAACTCCCTCCCACTGCCCGGAGACCCTGCAAATACTTCTCCTGCTTTATCTCCTCCCGGTAAGGGGAGACGGGGGGAGCACTGGTCCCAGAGTGTGTCTGGCTTCCCCCGTGGCGACAGGACTCGCACTTACTTTCTGGATTTGGCACATTCCTTCTTCCAGTTCTTGACCAAAACGGGCACAACTTGTTCTGACGTGTCCTCCTTGTTCAGGGACCAGAGGTCGGTGCTCTCCAGGGGCCGGCGGTAGCCCCGGACCATCAGCCTGGGGCAGGGACACAAGGAGGGAGGCGGTGAGCGTCGGGAACAAGTGGACACCGGCCCTCACCGCACCCGCCCGCCACCGCCCCCTCACGGCAGCCCTGCACCAAAGCTGAGCGGCTGGGGCAACCTGGCTGTGGACGGGCATGTGGGCACACTGAACAATTACTGCTGAATTCTGCCAAAACCGGTTTGGCTCAATGGATAGAGCGTCGGTCTGCGGACTGAAAGGACCCAGTTTCGATTCCGGTCAAGGGCATGTACCTTGGTTGCGGGCACATCCCCAGTGGGGGGTGTGCAAGAGGCAGCTGATTGATGATTCTCTCTCATCGATGTTTCTAACTCTCTATCCCTCTCTCTTCCTCTGTAAAAAAATCAATAAACTGTATTTTTTTTTTTAATTATTGCTGAATTCTGTCAGGTCATCCAGGAAAAATGGCCTCATTTCTTAGAGACACATACAGACTATTGAGGAGGGAAAGATCAGGATGGCTCCCATGTACATTAAAAAAATAAATAAATAAAAATGTTAAGGCTAAGATGGCAAAGCATTAAGAACTGTTAAATCTGGGTGAGTTTAGTGAGGTTTATTGGACTAATCTTTCTACATGTTTGAACACTCTCATAGTAAAAAGTAAACCTAATATTTTAACTTGCTGTTTTAAAAGAATTTCAAGCTTTCAGAAAACTCACATGGATTGTAGAAAGAATTCCCATCTATCCTTCACCCCGTTCCCCAGTTTGCTATATCATTTTCTGTCTCTATGAACACACTTGTGTGAACACGTTCTTTTCTGAACCATTTCAAAGTAGGTGGCAGACTCTAAACGCTGTACTCCTAAATACCAGTGTGCATCCATCCCTCTAACAAAAAGGACATGTTCTTATTTAACCAGAGAACAATCATCAAACTCAGAAATACCAGTATGGATGGCATAGCCCACAGTCCGTATTTAAATTATACCAACTGTCCCCTGTCTGGCGAGTGTGGTTCAGTGGTAGAGCATTGACCTAGGAACCAAGAGGTCAGTGGTTCGATTCCCAGTCAGGACACATGCTTGTTTATGAACTCAATCCCCAGTAGGGGGCATGCAGGAGGCAGCTGATTGGTGATGTTTCTCTCTCACTGATGTTTCTCTCTATCTCTCTCTCTAAAAGTCAACAAAAACTTATTAAAAATGTAAATTATACTAACTGTCCCAATGGTGTTAACAATAATTTGAAAAATAATTAGGTCTGAAAAGTATTTAATTTTAAAAATTTTTGTGAAAAAAAACTTTATAAAGACAAGGAACAGCCAACACCGGTTTGGCTCAGTGGTAGAGCGTCGGTCTGAGGACTGAAAGGTCCCAGGATCGATTCCGGTCAAGGGCATGTACATTGGTTGTGGGCACATCCCTGTGGGGGTGTGCAAGAAGCAACTGGTCGATGATTCTCTCATCGACATTTCTAGCTCCCTCTCTCTCTCCCTTCCTCCTCTCTGTAAAATATCAATAAAATATATTTTTTTAAAAAAAGACAAGGAACAATGCTGATGGGGGGGGGGGGGGGTTTCAAAAAATCCCCAGTAAGATACTGACAATGTGGGGGAGGAATGTGCAACCCCCCTTCTGGTGCTTTCTGTTGTTGATCTCTGCATGTTTCTCTTACCCACGTTTCCTACTACGTTGCATGCATAATATGTTTCGGATGGTGAAGGGTTTGAAACAATGCCAATAATAGTAATTATTCCTAATGTTAAAACATACTCAAACCTAACGCTAAGACAAGAGCATGCAGCTGCCCTAGGCCAAGCCGTCCACAGAGGTCCAAGTGACTATGGGGACAAGGTCAGTGTCTCTGAGACCCCTGCCTGGGGCATGCACCCTCAGGGCACAGCTATGCCACACACTCCCTCTCCCTCTCCCTCCCCCCCCAAACCCCTCTCTTCCCTCCACCTGGGCAGGAGGGCCAGGCCTTACCCTGTGATCCACCAGAAGGTGATCCTGGAAAGGAAGGACGCCCCAGACTCCGGGCAAGGATTCTAGCGGAGAGAAGCACAGGGAGGGGAGGGTGAGTGATTCCATATCTCATCTCTGGCAGCACTCGGAAGCCCACTCTTCCTCCCAGAGGGCCAGCCTAATTTACAGCCTGAAAGGATGCCCCTCCTGAGCCTTACATAAACCCACGGCAGCTCTCCCAGTTTTACCCAGCAAATACCTAAGTGTCTACTAAGTGCAAAAACGGTACAGTGCCTTATCTGTATCCCCACAGCAGCCCAATGAGCGTGGTGCCACTGCGGCCCCCACTGCACTCCATGCGTTCCTTCATCCGTTCCTTCATTCTCAAGTACTTTCTGAGCATCCACTGTGTGCCTAGCACCATGTACTCACAGACATAAGCCCCTCTTTAGAAAGCCCCTGATACACCACGGTGGTAGTGGTAACAAGAATAACGTCACCTGCTAACATTCTCCACTAGCTAGCTCTATTCTGAGCTCTTCACACAAATTATCTCATTCAATCTTCATAACCTCCTAATGAAGCAGGTAAAAAAAACATCAACCCCCTTTTAAAAAGAAGACACCGAGGAGCCCAGGGGCGAAATGACTGGCCCAGGGTCCCCAGCGGGAAGTGGCAGGAACTGAATGTGAGCTCCAGTCAGGCCCCAGAGAGAGACGGTAATAAATGATCCCGTGAACAAATACAAAACTGCAGCTGCGATGGGGATCCCGCCCTAAGGGGATGTCAGGGGGGTCACTGGGATGTTCCTGGGCTCACAGTAACTGAGAGAGCCGACAGGGGCCGGGGCCTGATCTGGAAGGAGGGCCGGGACGGGGTTCCTGAGGAAGACGTGTAAGGCGAGGTCTGAAGAGGGAGACAGGACGATGCAGTGAGGGGGAGCTCTGCAGGGAGAACGGCGTGGGCAAGAAGGGCCTGGTGGTACCAGGGGGCAGAACCCCCTCCAGAGACTAAGAGGGGGTGTGGGCAGTCTCCGCTGGAGGCCCTGTACGGAATTTGGGTCGTCATCCAAAGCGCTATGGGGACATGGACAGATTCTCAAAGAACCGCTTTCCCAAAGGCGCAGAGAGAGCTCCAGTTCAACAGCACACAGACAAGGGAAGGGACAGCAGCACGGAGCCCCCGGAGATTACACACCCGGCCGGCTTTCACTGCAGAAATGTTCAGCTCTAAATCCTCAACTACCAGCCTCAGTGAAGGGGTCACCGTGCAGCGATGAGCTCTTCGGCTGAGGATGGTGCTCCAGCATTTTTCAAAGCTGAGGCCCTGAGAGACCCCCTGGGCCTGGTAGTTTCCCATCGGGGCTGGGAGCGCTTTTAGAAAACACCATACCTGGGCCCCATCCCCCAGTGACTCTGATGAAGCTGGTTTGGGGGGGGACCAGGGCCTCTGAGTCTTTGTTTTTAGCTCCCACAGTCTCCTTGGCAAAGTGGCTGGGCAGGAAATGTGTAAGATAAGCCCAGAACATGGCGTAACACCCAGCACCACGGAAACCGAAGCTGAGTAGGATTGCTAAGAGGCCTCAGGAGCAATCAGGCGTGGCTCCCACTGCCCCACAGAGAGACACCCTGAGCTGCCATAAGGACAGTAAACAGAAGGAACTGAAACACATCACGTGTTTAAATACACAAGTTCATACTGGTACTGAAAAAACACAAAACACACTCTTGATGTCACCGATCAAAGATGTTAGTGAACCAAGCCGTTCTGAACACAGAAAACGGGTAGGAAACAAGCATTTTCCCCGCCTTTGCTAACTGACCTACACCAGAGGGGGACCAAAGAGATGAGGGGAAGTGTCTCTGCATAGAAAGAGAACAGCTAACAAATGAGGGGATGATAGGATGTAAGAAAGTGCACTAGGTTGCAACCACAATGGAATATGGAAATATATGAAGACATTAAAGATAATAGTCGTATTGTTTAAAATCATATTCTTTTAGATACTATCACTGGGGCAGGTTGGGTAAAGGGTACACAGGAACCCTGTAAATTTTGCAAGTCTTTGTGAGTTGTTATTTCAAAACAAAAAGTTATTAAAAACTTAAAATCCCTGCCCTGCCCGGTGTGGCTCAGTTGGCTGAGTATCATCCCATGCACTGAAAGGTCACTGGTTCAATTCCCGCCAGTGCACATGCCCGGGTTGTAGACTCAATCCCCAGTCAGGAAGCATGTGGGAGGAGGCCATCAATGTTTCTCTCTCACACCAATGTTTCTATTTCACATGGGTGTTTCTCTCTCACATTGATGTTTCTCTCTCTCTCTCTCTCTAAAAATTAATTTAAAAAAATTTTTTTTAAAAATACATCCTCAGGTGAGGATTAAAAACAATTTTAATTTCTTACTTTTCAGAGATATATACTGAAATCTTTACACATGGCAGTTCCTTTTACTATGCTCTCCGCTTTCGTACACGTGTGAAAATTCCCATCAAGACAAACTTCCCCGGTGATTCAAACACACATCCTGGGCTGAGAACCCCTAAGCTCCACTCTGGGGCCACAAGGCCTGGGGAAGTGCCCAGCCCTGGCAGCCACAGGTCACCCAGCTGCCCAGGGTGGGTCCCGGCAACAGTATGTCTTTAATGGAATCAGTCAGGTGCAGCCGGCCACAGTCCTACTTCCAGACCAACCTGAAGCAGAGTAAGTTCACACTGGGGAGCCAGACAGACCTAGGTTCAAATCCCAGACCTGCCATTTTCTAGCTGAATGACCTAGGGGCAAGTCCTTTCACCTCAAAGCCTCAGTTTTTGCATCTGGGAAATGGGAGCAGTTTGTCCCAACTGCTCAGCCTCCCTTACAGGACTACAAGGGGGAACAAGTCAAATGAGGTTCATGGGACTCTGTTATAAGCTAAATTCTTCCAACCTAAGGCAGCAATATCATACGTGGAGGAGGTGGCTCTGTAGGCTGTTTTTCTCCAGAAGTGGCTGGATTGTTAGGGAATCACCAAGGTACTTCAAGCGTGGCCCAATTCCTACCCATTGTAAAAAGTTAAGTAGCACTAGCAGAGAAGGGGTGGGGCAGAGCTGGCAGTGACTCATTTATTTATTGAGCAAATATTTAGGGAGGACCTGCCTATATGCCAGGAGGCAGCTAAGGGGTGGAGACAGAGCTAGGAAGGAGAGAGCACCACATAAAATGACCCAACTGAGGGGAAAATGGACAGAAAGCAAACCAAGACCCAAGTAAATATGTAAGTACTAGAGGTCTGGTGCACGACATTCCTGCGCTGCAGGGTAGGGGGAGGGAGAGGAGGGGATGCCTAGCCTGGCCTATGCCCTTTCACAGTCCAGGAGCCCTTAGGGATGCTGAAGCCAGCAGTCGAACATCCTTAGCGCTGCCTCTGAGGCAGGAGAGGCTCCCGCCACCACAGTAGCGCTAGCCAGCATCAGCCCAGCTTCTGGAGTTAAGCATCTGCCCCCTGGTGGTCAGTGCGCAGCATAGCGGTCAGATGTTCCACCGTTCGGTTGCTTTGCATATTACACTTTTATTATATAGGAGAATAAACAATGAAAGCTAAAACAAGAGGAAAAACAGGATGTCAGAGAGAGAAGGGGTGGCGGAACAGGGTTGGCTGATGCATAAGGCAACACAGAGCGAGGTAGTTAGAGGGTATGAATCCCGCTCTGCCACTTGGGACCATGGGACCTTGGGCACGGTACTTGGTGGTGCTGAGATTAAATGAGATAAAGGATGTTAAGTACTTAGAACAGTACCTGGCACAGAGTAAAACCCAAGAAATGGCATCAGTAGGATTAGCATAAATAACAACAGTGAAAACAATAACATCGCCTTCTGGCAGGCCCGTCACACACGGGGCCCTGGACCAGATGCTTTATATCCGGGCAGCAAACACAGGCCCGTGGGTGGCCGCTGGGAGATAAAATTGAACTGCAACACCGTGATGGCCATTCACTTACAAATGCCCGTGGCTGCTGCAAGGACAGAGTTTAGCGGTTTTGACAGAGACCATGTGGTCCGCAAGGCCTCAGATAGCGACTATCTGAACATGTTGGCTGACCCCTGCTCACCCCAGACCTCATAACACCCCAGGACACAAAGATTACTAAAGGGGAAACGAGAGCTCCGATGACAGCTTTCTGCCTCCGAACCCCGTCCTCCTTCGGTCTTGGCACCAGTGCAGTAAGGAGTGCAGGTTAAACCTTGCACAGAGAGGCCTGGCCGGCGGGGCAAGTGCGGGCTGACAGGCACCTGTGCCAGTCTGACAAGACCGCCAGGTCCCGTGCCAGGGGGCGAAGCGGGGCCGGTCTCCGAGGGGGGGGGGGTGAGTCATCCTTTTCTAATTTGCACAGACACGTGGAACAAAAAGCAAGGGCGTTAGGCATATGCCCACGGGACCCTCACAAATGCTGGCCCCCTTTCAAACGCGGGCAGCTCCGGCTGTGGTCGAACACGCAGCAGCCTGTGGACTGAACAACCGTGCACGGATGAGGCTGCAAGAACGATGGCCCAGAGGGGAAACGCCAATCCTCCCGCCAGCCCCTCTAAAGGCCAGCTCCTGTGAGAAAATCCGCCCGGCAAATTCAGAGAGGAATTTGCATTACCACGGGCATTCCGGTTTCTAAGGTGTACACGCCGAGGGCTTTAGTCAAACTCGTCTGCCCTGCCCTCCTCCCTCCAAGGGACCCAAACCCAGATTTTCAGATTACCGCCAAGTCACGTCGGGCTGACACGGGGTCCCCATCACCAGCAAACACTGTACCGACTGGGAACCACGTTCTGGAAGTCCCTCTCTGATAACAGACAGCTGGAGTGCTTCATAGCCAAGAACTGATGATTAAATTAAAGAAGAAGAAGAAGAAAGGGGCTCAAGGATGAGGATGCAGATAGCAGACCATTCAACCGAAACCAAGCAGAATGTTCCGGTGTCATTCATTCCAAGCAGAGCTGCCAGCTTGGGGTTTCCGGACTCTGAGACTAACTCCTGACCTAGGACCGAGGCTCGTGGACGGGTGCCCCCTTCATTTAGAAGCGAGACTAATTCACACGAGCCCTGGCAG